TAGAGTGTTAGCGACACAGGGGAGAGTGGAGTGTGTCAAGATCGTCTTGGCCATCATGGACATGCCCAAAGAGGGAAAGGTTATCTTGAGATCTTTGAGAATTGTGCAGAGCTAAGTATGAGAATTCTGAGTTCTACTTCTCAGTGCTTTTTTTTTGGGTCTAGGAATTGTTGATAGCTTCAGATATGTTTATGCTTCAGTCAAGTTGTCCCTGGTAACGTTCTGTGATCAGATCAGCTGGCTTTCGGGAATGGTTCTTGGCGATACAGAAGCAGGGGATGCAAGACAAAGATGGCCTCTCTGAACCCGGTTTAGGTGGGTTGTTCATGCTCCTCTCCTGTCCTCAGCCAAGGCTATGATCATATCGCCGGGAGGAGATATTATATTCAGCCCATTAAAGTTCTTAACAACGCACAGCCGAGGTTGTCGAGATAGGATAAATGATAGTGGCAGAATGAAGATCTGCAAAAGCGGAAGCATGGCAAAGCTACCGGTGTTCTTCATCTGCAGAACAATGAACGCCACCAGCTGCCCGCCCACTATCCGGTAGGAGGGCTGGCTGTTGTGATACGTCCACCCCTGTCATCTTCCCCCGCATCGCACGCTATCACCTATCAGCCATTCTCAACTGTTACAAGGCACAAAAAGCTGGATTGCTGTGAACTACCAAAAAATCTTTTCACATTGTGTGATATCGATTGGGATTTTGTCAAAACCAGGAATGGCGCAGTAGCTGAAGCTTCATATCACATTGCTAGGACCCAATTTCTGTGATGAAGAATTTTAAAAATTAAATCACCAAGAAGAGAGAAAGGCCCAGGCAGCGCTCCGACGATGCATTCAGAAGCCCTAATCTCATAGAGCAGAGATTTGTCAAGGTCCGTCTTGGGTTTAACCCCGCGCTCACTGCAACAACCCTGGTTCGGAACTCGGAGGAAAATGCCCGTATCTTGCACCGTGAGAGTGAGGCATGAGGCAGGTCGATAATTCTCGCAAAGAGGGGGTAGGAATCAATTTTTGTCTGGTTTGAAGAAGTCGAGACCGTGAAGAGTGCTTGTGCGGACAACTTGGGTTTGGAAGCGATGTGGTGCTTCTCGCCCCAGCGTGGTATCTGGGCTCTGTTGACAAATTCCGTCGGCGCCGTTGTCGGCCTTTCTCTGTTTTAGCCGTGAAAGCCATTGAACGGTTGATGGTGATAGCGATATGGATATCTGGTAGCAGTCTGTGTGTTTCTGGTACGAAATGGGACGGAATGGGTTAAAACCAAGGGGGAACCATGATGAATTTGTTAGTTTGTAGGATGCCATTCAGGTTGGAAGTCTTGGATGATGCCGACAGGACAGTCATTGTGAATCGTAGATGGGCCGAACACACGGTTGCCGGCTGCATGCTGTTCGGCCCTGTGATTTTCGGGTGGTTTCCCGATGGGCTCGGTCACGCTCCAGGCAGGTCACCCAAGCTGCGGCCGGAGTTCACAGGTGTGATCCGATGCAAGTGGGTTAATTTGGTTGAGAAACAAAGTGGGCAAAATTAAAAATAGGACAGCAACCCCGCGTGATGTGCTTGCGTCCAGTTTCCCAGAATGGTGATTTTGGTCGTTCATCTTTTTGCCATAATTAGGCCACATTAGCATGCCAAGTGTGGACCAGCACTGCAGTCACATCGCCAGCTAATTACCCCAAAATGGACAATCGGCGGCTAATTAACCCATCTTCATGTGCTCACTGCGGGGTCTTCCGAACCAACATGCCAATTGTCAGTCGATCATCAACATCCACATGCGATATGGCAATCGAACAATGGGTTCCGATCAGCTGGGTCACTTTCATGCATCTTGAAGATCTTATAAATACTGATAGAGCGGGTCAACGAGAACCAGGAGATGGAGGTGAAACTTGCAAAGAATTGCAGCCAGACTTCGAGAGCAACCATGGAATCGATTCTATACCGTGCCATCTTCATCATGCTACTGCCGTCTCCTCCAAATTAAAGCAAGTCGGCTATCAATGCTTAAATGATGACACAATGTCCGAGCGAGAGCTGAGCTGCCTGCCAGCTGCCAGAGCGAGAGCTGCCGTCAAAAGAAGGAAAGGCACGTATCCTCGGCCTTCCTTGGCAGCAGAGGTGAATTCGATGTTGAGATGCCAAGGCTGGCCTTCCGCATGGGGCGGGCTGGAACTAACAATCATTGGACTAGGGGATGCCCGCGTTGAACCCCACCATGGCCCTAAGGGACCCACCATTCCGTTGTTCCAGTGAGCCCCACCGGGGTTTCTTCCGTGCAATTGGCTCGAATTCCAGCCACTGGCGTTGCAATGCCAGCCGTGGAGCCATGAGAGCCCTGCCTGATCTCGATGGACGAGCCAATCTTGTTTGGTTGCCGTCCCTCGGGCCGCACGCTCATATGCACGAGCGATTTGCCGTCACACTGTCAGCCCACTTGGCTCGATCTTGGCATTGTACTTGGTGGCCACTGGGCCGATCTGCACTCCGTCGTCAACCACCTTTTGCGCAACGTTTTGCATTGATTTTTGACTGCTTCTCGCTGACTCAGCAGCTCGGGCAGCCTGGGAGGTCCCGCTGTGCCATGGAGTGCTTCCAAGGCATCGCAGCGCGCACTTCGCAGAATAGGAAGCCGTGAGAATTTGTGCGCATGGCCCACGGTGCCCGGGCAGCACCCGATTTTCGCAAGGCATGGATGTACCTTGGCTAGCTCCCTCCGCTGCTCTGCGTCTGGACCATGACGATAAACTTTCTAGAGTTGTTGAGAGGACTGCTACACAATAGAGTGCTGGAATTTGGCTCTGATGGTCCACGACGGTAAAGTCAGGAGACCGGCCGAAGTACTTCGGTACCTCCCTATTTAGCACCTTTCAGGGAAAAGCTGGGCCGCAGGCCAGCTTTACCGGCCAGCCACACGACTGAAAAGAGCAATCGTCATGATTGACTACGAGGCGACCAATCTGGTGTGAATTTCCAGAACGAGGCTTCTGATTTGCAGGCTGCTCAGATTTGGGCAATGGAAAAAGACTCGGATCTAAAGAGACCACAACGGGCAAGCCAGCACTGCTCCCGGTACGGAATCTCAAATCATAATGACAAAGTCACGCGGGGACCACGACGTCAAATGACGCACTTGGCTAAGAGCCCCTCAGTGAGGCATCAATGCCCTGTTGTGATGGCCTACTATAGACTACAAAGATGGGCTGTGGTGCTCACTGAACCCTCTATCCGATGGGATGTCTGTGGAGGATGCCACTCGGTGCCTTACAACCAGCAGGAGCGAGACACACACCAGCAAATGCTGTGCCGGGCCGCCGCAGGCATTAAGGTGTACATCTACTTGCTTTAAAATGCTACGATACAACACCAACCAGCAGCTATATAGAAATGCAATCAACCTGCGCCGTGCAGGCACGGATACTGTGTTACGTCGAAGGATGAGGAGAAAGGGGAACACAGGCACCGGGGGGGAAGGGGGGGGAAAGCCATGCGTGGTTGGAGCAAAAATCTATTGCGTACACCATCTCGACAACCATGGGTTCAGCCCATGTCCCACCGTGTCCTACGGTATAGAGGTCTCTTCTATCGGCACAAAGTGGAAGTGGAGATAGAATCATTGACGGCACACGGCCTACAGCCTTCAATTTCCACCGCCTGGCTCCCGGGTTTTCGGTCCCAGGAGGAGAGGGGGGCGGGGGCCTGGGCCGTCGCGCAAGATTTCGTAAGGACCATTGCAATCATGCTTGTGGTTCACAGTTCATGCGGTTTGGCACAATGGAGCTGTTTTGCGGCCTCGTTTTCGACTGGACCCAAGAATTCATTTTTATTGTCATTCACGGTGATTCCTTCATTTTTTTCAAACTAGAACAATGGTAGGCTTGTTTTTGTTTGGATCATCATATTTGGCCTTTCCCAAGCCAAACTGGACCAGCCAATAAGCAAACTAGTCTGTCACTTGACATCTTGGGCTGTGATGAGCTGTCTGTCCGTTCACTGGGCTTACTGGCTCCATGCAAAAGCCGGCGAGGTGCCAAGGTGGGCCACTTCTGGATGGACCCCATGTCTCCAGCTTCCCTCCAGCCAGCAGCAGCCTAGAACTCGCTTGCTCGCTGCTGAGACTTGATGCCCTGTGGGGTCTGCTTTCCCATCCGGGTAGAGTCGTGCCGAAAAGGTCGGCTTGCGATGACGGCACCAATGAGGGCCCTTCCAGGGCCCCTGCTGAGGTACTTCCCTTCCCGATCCCCAGTGGCCCCTCGCCCAGTGCGAGCAGCAGCCACGCACAAGTTCCCCCACAACCAAAATCGATAGATTGGCCGGCACATGCATGTCATGTCGCTCACAAGTGGGCAAATATCCAAAAGCGGGTTAAAATCAAGAAGCGGTCATTTAGCCCGCAATGTGCAAAAATAGAAACACAATTCTTTGGGCACACTGCTGCCGGGCTAGGTCAGATATAAGAATTTGCCCACTTCACGTCCAGAGAGGGCTCTCTCTCTTTTCTACAGAGCAGGCCAGCACAAGTGTCGTCAGCAGCCTGGCAATCCAGGTCCCGGTCCAGTCCAGTCCAGCCCAGCTTTTCAGGATACCATTTGCATCTCTCCCTTTCAATACTAATCAATTCTCCTTACTCGCCGCTGTCCAACCAAGAGCAAGCTCGAGGACAGCAAGCACCTCTACGATCCACGATTTTGATACCGAGATTCGCAAGCCGGACTTGCTAGAATCCAGTCATTCCTTCACGACTAACATCACTAATTTAATTGCCCCCAACGGGAATTTGAGTTTGGCACGAGTGCTTGGAGGTGCTTGGAGGGTTGGCAAAGCTCGACAGAGAGAGACCCTTGTCCGATAGCTTTACCCTGGTCTTCTCCGCTCGCAGCTAGCTCGGGGATCGCTGAACCTTACCCCCTCTCCAAATACACCCCACCCCTCAGACCCTCAGACCCTCAGACCCTCAGGGCCCACACCCTGACCTAGTACAAAGGTTACCATACAAAATGTCAACAGCTTCCCCCAGCCACCAGAGACAGCAGGTGAAGACATCGCAGGTCAAGATGGCTGCTTCAACGACAACGACTACAACCAAGGCGAAGACCGCTAAGGTCGGTGCCAATGACAACCCCAAGCAAAAGACAGTCATGCATCGCCGCTCCCGGACAGGTTCGTCGTCTGCCGTCTCACACAACTTATAGTTACCCGATTAGGAAACTAACACAGGTTCGTGATGGTAAAGGCTGCTACACCTGCCGGCTACGGAGGAAAAAGTGCGATGAGGCGGCTCCCATTTGCACGGCCTGCAGGCATTTGGGACTTGTTTGCGAGTACAAGCGGCCAATGTGGTGGAGCAACAACGATCTGCGCCGCAAAACAAAGGAGGAGATCAAGATGATCATCAAGCGCAAGAAGCTCTCCGATAAGTCCTCGCACACCATCCAGACATCGGTCGGCACGCCGCCGGGCCTTTCGCACTCGCTGCCGACTTCTGCGACTTTCTCTGGCCCGATGGATCGCACGCGGTCTGCTTCGATCGACTCACACTTCGGCTTTAACTTCAACAGCCCGCCCAGCACTGCCGATTTTGGGCCTTTCACGCCGCCGCAGGTCACTCCCGAGTTCATGTTCCCCTATCCGTATGAGATTGATGTCAAGACAGAGCGGCAGATGTTCATAGACGATGTCCAGACCTTACATGAGTCGACAACAGCCACCTACAGCTACGCCGTCCCTCCGCCGCCCGGCGTCATCCCTCCATTCCCTCTGGTAGGTGAATGGACCGAGCAGGTTTACTCGGAGCGACGCGAGTCGCTGGCGACGACGGAGGAGACGGTCGACCTCAGCTATTTTGATGCGGGGGCAACAACAACAACAACAACAACAACCACTAAGCAGCTCGCGATTGAGCTCGACGAGGGCGACCAGCGCCTTCTGGACCACTTCATCAAGTTTGTCCTGCCGATGCTCTTTCCAATTCTCGAGGCCACACAAACCGGATCGACCGCCTCCGACCTGATCCTGCCCTCGCTGCAGACCAACAAGGCCTACCTGCACGTGTGCCTGTCCATCGCTGCGCAGCACTACAAGCAGACGATGGGCCTGACTGGTGAGGCCGCCACACAGATTGACAATGACATCATGAATCACCGCAGCTCAGCCATCGCAATGCTGGTTGACGCGCTAAACCGCGACGAAGACCACCAGCAGATCCTGGAGGCCGCCCTGGGCTTCATCTTCTTCCAGCGGGTCGTCGGCCGCCTGGAGGACTCCCTCAGTGACGTCGCCTGGCACCAGCACTTCCAGGCGGTGATCGCCCTGGTGCAGAAGCTCGATCTTCCCCGTCTAGTCTCCGACCCCAACGAGCCTCTCACGCAAGCCCCCTTCGGCATGACGCTCACCGCGTGGGTCGACATCCTTGGCGCGACCTTCCTTAGCAGCCCGCCTGTCTTTGCCCATACCTACCGTACCAAGCACCTCTCGCCGACCAACCCCTTCCTGGGGCTCCGCGAGCTCATGGGCTGCGAGGACCGTGTCATGTATCTGATCAGTGAGATCGCCTGCCTCGAGGCGCTCAAGAAGAACGGCATGGACGACATGACCATCATCCAGCACGCGCATACCCTCGGCGAGCAAATTAACATCACCGAGCTGTACTCCGCCGAGATGGCTACCGCCATCCCCTCACTCAGCCGCAACATCACTGCCGCCTACCGCCTCGCCGCCCGCATCTACCTGTGCAGCCTGATCCCCGGGTTTCACCCGACCCAGGGCAGCTGCATCCAGCTGGTCGACAAGCTTGTCGCCGTGCTGCGGCAGATTCCTGCTGGCCCGACAGGTTTCGATCGCAGCCTGAGCTGGGTGTACCTCATTGGCGGCAGCGTGGCGCTGGCGGGGTCGCCGTTCCGCGCTTTCCTTGAGGAGCGCGTCGCGCTGATGGGAGATTTAGCCAATATTGGGTCGTTTGGTCGTGTGGCCACCCTCCTTCGCGAGGTTTGGGCCCAGCAGGATGTGCTCATGGCACAGCAGGCTGCCGTGCAGAGCGTTGTGGGGAGCCCGAGGGCGAGCCCCCCGCCAGTAACTACAACAATGGAGGCTCCGCAGCAGCAGACGGTTGGGCAGACGGCGGTTGCGGGTACATCGGCGCTGGCGCCGGCGTCCCAACCCTATGTCCACTGGCGGGATGTCATGCAGATGAAGGGTTGGGATTACCTCCTCATCTGAGCACACATGGCAATTCTGCCGCCGCTGGTGTGGCGGGATGGCCTCAAAAGGCACATTTTTTTCTTCATTGTCTCATTTTCTCTCTACTATCTATTCTGTATTGTTCTGTTCTGTGCTAGAGGTTGCCGCGAGGCTGGTGAAGGGGATCTGGAGGGGAGATGATAAGCTGGGTTTTGGCTTCAGTCATGGGGATGACGACACTGGATGAGAGTTGTGGGGGTTGAGATGATAGCGGTGTCGAGTGTAGGCTCTTCGCACCTTGAAAACAGTTCCTTGGACTGGACTGGCTGTTTTCCTTGAGCGGGCACCTCACCGATAGTTTTCTCTTTTCCTTTCTTCTTGGGTTGCTGAGCATTTCCCGGGTATTTCAGAGAAACATGCATGGTCATGGAGTTTTTTTTGGGACAGTTGGAATCAGGATACCACGGGTCTTCAATTAATCCATTAGGGCGGTTGAGCGATGATGGCATGAAAAGGAGTTTTATGTATAGTAAGGAATATACCCCCGCCTATGATGGCAAATATGGGAATGAAAAAGTTCAAAATAACGACTTGGTCCTTTCAGTTTGTGAAATGTGACTTGTATAATGGAGCTTGAGCCTACATACCTGAATAGGATGTTCCTCCCCAAGCAGAGCAGTCAAGTCACCCTCAAGATCTTTGACAAACTTGCTTTGCTTCATGTAGTGTTCTCATGTGAACTTCTTGCACACGGTGCAATCAATCCCCACCCCAAAAATTTCCTTCCATACCAGACAATGCCATGTAAGTCAACCCCTCTTGTCGACTTGTCTTTGCGATAAGGCTAGGTTACAATCAACTTAGCTACACGTTTTTCAACAGATTCTGTTTCTCATGACCCCTCATCTCGTGAAACTGTGTCATGCTGTGTTCTTCGTGTTGACGGCCCACGAAACGCTAGTTTCCGACGTCACTCAAAACGTGACTCATGAAGCATCGCCGAGTAGGTACCTACCCAGAAGATAGCTAGAAGAAATTCATTAGGTACCACATACCAAGGGTTCGAGGAATGAGGCGTAAACTATGAACATGGTGAGTTTTCGAAGTCGGAAGAGTCGTCTTGTTTCTGGCACACGATGGTTAATACTCCTAGAGGCCATATGCTGTCTTCAGTCTATGGTGGTGTGACACCACCACTTCCCCAACTGTACTGATGATATTGAATCCACTCGATCTGCATTCTATATTTATGCTTTTCTCTTGCTATATATTCATTATCTTCATAGAAGTTGAAATGGGGCACTTCCACGCTAAGATCATATGTGGGCCTTTATCGACACTTCTAAGAACACACATCTATTACACTGCACTTCACACCTTGCATGAACAAACAAGCGCTCGATGGGTGCCCAACTGGACCGGGTCAAAGTGTCTCGGCCATGCATGAAACATACGGAGAGCCACAGGCGAGGGTGGTTCTGTCCCCCTGGGCCGGACGAGGATGGACAACTCTGCAGGGCCAGCCACGAAGCCCAGGACTCGGCATGACTTAATTTGGCATATTTTGCATTGTCTAAGCGAAGTTTCTCGAAGAGAAACACAGATGCATACTCCTTCCTCATTCTGCTCTGCATGTTGCCGCTTGTTCATTGTCGTCATCGAGGCAGCCGGTTGACGGTGAGGGCCGGAGAGGCACATGACCTGCTAGCGAGACCTTGGGGAGGGGGATCCTTGACGGGTAAGGTCGGTAGCCATACACACCGAAGGAGTGGCTATGTCGTTAAATCGAGCTAAATTGCAATGACTCTACGAGGCCTCAAATTAAGAGATACTCACCTTGATAGTGGTGAAGTCGGTTGAGGTCAGAAGCAGGGTTGATATCTTGAGAGTCGGTGAATCTGGAAAACCACCAAGTCCCGTGCCAAGACCACCCTCTCGGCCAGTGCACATGTGGGTCCAAGAACTGACAGACCCACCAGACGTTGCAGCACTGGCGGCCAGGTGTCAGGGCCGCCAGGTGCTCTCGTCCAACCGCCAACAGCCAAATTTAGCACCGAGCAAGTGACAGGCCAATCAAGCGCGTGGTCGCAGATGAGTCCAACCCTCTCCCAGACGCCGAAAGAAAGAAAATTCAAGTCAGCATTGATGAGAGAACCAGCGTCTCGCCAGTCGCGACGCTTGCTGGCCATCAACATCAGTCATAGGCGAGCCGGCGCTTCACATGGACCTTTGGGACCGCTCAATGGTGCACGATGACCCTGGCTTTCAGACTGACATCAATGCACTGCCCCGTGAAAAGTTCGGACGAGATTGCAACGAGCACGCATCCGCAACGTGCTTTCTTTGACCTCTATGTTCTTTCTCGCCCCATTGTTTACCCAATGCTGCCCGAACAGCCCCTTGTGCGCACCCCATTTAGCAGGGATCTCGTGAGATGTGCCGGCCCTTTAAGCTGGCCACTGGAACTTGAAGGAAGTCAGCGAGTATGGAGTCCATCATGATCTTAGGCGAGTAATCATGACTGGCTCATGAATTTGATGCCTTGCCATGGCCCGAGACCGACCATCGGACCTCTCTTGATGGGGCCACTCGCTGGTTGCTGGAGCCAGGTTGTGAGTGTTCCTCTTGACTTGTCTAGTTGTTTGACTTAGAGCGCCGGACCCTTGTGTCGCGCTGGACATGGGATACGTCATACCCAAGGTGGCAGGTCATCAAACTTACTCCTGGAGTTGCGTCTTGCTCTCGATATACACCCCCGGATAGACGCCTTGGTCTTGAGGCCTGGTGTTCTCTCTTTTCCCACCCATTATCTCTTCTCTTGCCACCGTATCCCCCTGACGGCGAACAGTGTCTACACAATCTTTGCTCGTGACTTTCTTCCCATTGTGGTACTCTGCCACCTATTGTTGATATCGAGGGGCATGCACTGTTTACTCATTGTTTCCACGTCTAACAAGCCCTTTATGTGAATCGGTGGCTTGATCCTCGTGGGTGGGTATTCGCCTTATCCTTAATCCCTCTTGACTTTCCAGGACCATCGCGGGCCGACCTCCTGGGGTATTCTGCCACATCAAAAATCCCGTCCTGCGCAAAGACTACGAAATTCCTTTCCAATTACTCGTCCTGCGAGTCTGCTCGCAGCAACAACCGATTCCCTTCTCGAAGACAGCAACGTTCACGATGCCCAAGCGCAAGCTGGCGCTCTGGGCGGCTGCGCTCTGCGCTACAGCCACACACGTATCTGCATATTCGATATCGAGATATGATGTATTGCTATCACGACAAGCAAACACTTGCTCTGTCTCCGGCTTCTCACCCTGCCAGTACGGCAACTTCCCCAACAATTTCTGCTGTCCAGCCGGGCAAACATGTCTAGCGCTGGCTGGCAACACTACGATTCTCTGCTGCCCCAACAACGTTTCCTGCCGGCGTATCGCGCCGATCCCCTGCGAAATCTCGCTGCAGGATGTCTCCAAAAACCCGGATGCCGTGATCAAGACGACGGCCTTGAACGTGCCACTCGGGAAGTGTGCCAACGCTTGCTGTCCGTTTGGGTACTCTTGCAAAGACGACGAGTGTGTCATGAATGATGACCAGTCGAAGGTGCCGGAGGGGTTCAAGCCTAGCACGACGGTTGCTCTTACGCCAACATCAACGTCAGAAGCGTCATTGGCAACATCACGTCTGTCATCAACATCCACATCCCCAACCTCGACAGCCATTTCCGTCCCGGCCGAAGATGGCGGCGAAGAGGGCAAAAAGTCCGGCATTCCCGTCGGCGCAATCGCAGGGGGCGTGACAGCCGCGGTAGTGATTATTATGGGGACGGCCATCCTCGCTTGCATCTTCTACCGCAAGCGGCAAGCTGCCAACAGCTCGCCCAAGTCCAAGCACTCCTACATCAGCGCGCCCATCCCTTACGGCGAGACCATCCGCACCGACTTCAACGCCAAGGCGGCGGCCAAAAACGCAAACTATGATTCCGAGTTCGAGCCGGATAGTGTTACGGGAGCGGTGCTCAAGGACAGGATGACCCCTTCCGTGTCGCAGGGGGCGTCACCTGATATGGGTAATGCCTACGGCACCAGCAAAGAGGGGTATGGAGGATACGGCGGGCTAGGCACCACCACCAGTGGTGATAACAAAGCCCCGCCCCGTCTCGAAATGCCCACCTTCAGCATCTCCTCCAGCGAAGAAGATAACTATCGTACCGACGTCTCGCCGCTCTCATCCGACGGCTACAGCCCCAACGATACCAACACCAAGTATGGACCAAATAACAACGCCTCTACCTCCCAACAAGCGCAGGCAGCTCGCGAGCCAAGCTCCATGACCCTCCCGTTCTGTGCAGATCCGAACATCACCCGCGATAGGACAGGAAGGTTCAGGGAGTACCAGTATGGTGCTCTACCGGATGATGGGGACACGGATCGGAAGCGTGAGACGCGCATGACCACGTTTACGCAGATGCTGGAGAGCGTGGATTTGGGGGGCGTCGTGAGGGGGGAGGGGTATGTCCCCAGGAAGTTGACGTAGTAAAGGGGACTGAGGGGTCCCGAGAAGGAGGGCGAGGGTTGGACTTGAAATGAATAGGAGGATGAGAATGAGGCGAGGGGTAGCCTCAGCCTGCAAGAACATCAGGAGGTTGAACGCAACGGATACCAGACGGACTGAGAGGTTTCCTTTGTCGTTGAACTGGGATGGACTCACTGAATATAATACCCTACTCACTCACGCAGGACGGCATGCTGATTTGATTGGTACCTATCTACATACCCTGACGGGCATTATTAGAGTTTGGCGCAGCATCTGAGCATTTGCAGTGGCATCCCTTCTCACCGCATATAAACCAGCATGCAGGACAGGGCATAACTGTATATTTCCTATGTCTTTAGATACAGAGAGTGCAGCCAAGAACCACTCGCTGGGCAAGTGGTCCAAGTTGACTGAGGAAATTCGGATCGGACACATAATGATTTAGGACTGATCATCATGATGATACCCAGGCTAGATTGCTTCGTTCTAGTTTAGCATCGAATGCTATGCTTTTGAGTGTATTTATTTGATTTATCAATAAGCTGTAATAGCATCATTTGGTGTATGACAAGGTTTAAGACTCGTGATGGTTTTGGTGATAGGGTGAGTGGGTTACGACGTATGTCGCCTTTTGCAAGTCAAGCCTGCCATTCAACCATAAAACTGAACTCTCTCCCTTTCATGCTCCCTACTTGCGAATGCTAAAACAAAAACTCGAGCACATTCAATACATGGAATAGGATAAGACACGAAAAGGAAAAAGGAAAAAAAAAAAAAGAGAACGCGCCAATCGCGCCGGGAATTGAGCCCGACGTGGGGGTCGAACCCACAACCTTGAGATGTCCGTGTTTCTCTCCACCACCTTAAGGATTCATCTTAGGAGGTAAAGTAAGAGTCTCACGCTCTACCGATTGAGCTAGCCGGGCAAGAGCTGCTTCGTTTGTCGTTAGAAGCCAGGGAGGGCAGGCAAGCTATTATTCCAAGAGTTTCGTTTGTGTGGTGTGGTGGAGGAGGGTAGGGGTTTGGGGGTTGAAGGATGGATGATGGAGATGGGATGTGGAGTCGTGGCAAGAGTTTTTTTGCACGATTGCCCTGGATCACTGAGGGGTGAGGGGTTGATGAGAAGTGGATTCCGTGATGGCAAATGAGGATGGGATGGGAAAGATCAAGAGGGGCATTTGTTTGTGGGACTTGGGGCTTGGTGAGAGCAGGGCTGTGTAATAGGTTGGGTTGACATGGAGAAGGCAATGGGCTATTGAGCTGGATGTTCCCTTAAATAATTTACTGATCATCAAGGGGGAGAAGCTCAGCGACCGGGTAAACAATATGCTTTCGACACACTGAAAGGAGGGAGGGAACTTCCATCCTCAGGGGCCGGGGGATGAGTTTCAAACCAACACCCACCAGCACGGGATGAGCAGAGCAAACAGATCCAGGAGCAATTATCTCTGCTCCCATTATCCTACCATACACCCACTGACTGTCCGTCGCAGTAACGCCCATTACCAGTACCCCCAGGCCGGTAGACTACAATCTTGCCCGCATCATCCGTATTTGTCTATGTGATGAGTGATCAGAACAGAAAAGAAAAACAAATCGAGAAACAACAACACGCTGAGCAATGAACAACCGTCGTGATGTGTGTGTGTGTGTGTGTGTGTGTGTGTTGCGACAATAGTACAATGTGTGTGTGTTCCCGCGCGCACAAGCCAATTACATATCATATGAACCGACCGTTACCTTCCGTCCATCCATCCCTCTTATCCATACCTCCCCCTCCAAACCCTTCCTTTCCGTCCAGGTTTCCATTCCCTCAAGATGCGCCGCTCGCTCCCCTTCCAGATATCATCTCCTTAAAGGTCCTTTATTCTTGTCTTTCGTCCTGCCCTCCTATGCCGAGTCCCAACATCCTGTGCTATCCAGCCCGTGGAGACGTGGAAGAACATAGGACAGCGTAAATATACGTGGGGGAAAATCCGCAAGAGGTATGGGATCCGGTCTTAGATACAAGTTGCCACCCATACCCCGTCGCAGGAAGCGATTTAGTGCACTTATGAGCAGGAGATGTTGAGGGTGGCCTTGGAGTTCATGAGCAGCGCGACAATGAGGCCGTACAGACCTGTACCAAGTCAGCCATGTCAAACTCACTTTCCCATCAAGCGGAAAACGTACCCAAGACTTCGGCGAAAATGAGAATCAGAATCATGCCGACGAACAGCCTGGGCTGCTGGGCAGTCCCACGCACACCGGCATCACCAACAATACCGATGGCAAAGCCGGCAGCCATACCGGCCAGACCGACGGCGAGACCAGCACCGAGCTGAATGAAACCAGTGTAAAGCGCATAACCGTCTTGTGTGAGGCCGTCGGAAATTAAGACGGACACGACCAGGCCGTAGATACCAATGATACCAGCCATGATGACGGGGACAATGTCTGCAGCGCGGTCAATTGCCTGTCCAGAGATGGGATCTTGAAAGAGGACGTACTCTTGACGATGAGGTCAGGCCGCAGCACACCCATGGCGGCGATACCCACGCCAGACTTCGCCGTGCCGTAGGACGCGCCCAGGCAGGTGAAGACGATGGCGGCGGTGCAGCCCATGGCACCGAAGAAGGGCTGTTACGGTGTCAGCATGGTAAGTCCGAGGGAGAAAACACAATTTCGAGCCAAGGAAAGGCCAGCCAGCGATATCATGATCATTGTTGTCGTCGGAGAGGGGGGCTTCGAGGTCCGATTGGCGGGGAGGTCTACTAACCGCGTAAACAGGGCTGTGGGCAAGGCGCATGGTCAGCACAGAATCACGGACAAATCTTAGCGCAATTGGCAAGCCAGAGCAGAAATTGCAAAGGAAAGTCTCGAAGGGACGGCATGGTGATGGGGGACGATGGGATCGGTGCTCGGGGCCAACTCGGAGAAGGCGAGGAGGGGGATCGATAGCGCTACAGGGGGGCTAGCTGGCTTACCAGTAATCCGTCATTTTGGCGGCTGCGAGAAGGGTTTATTTGGGCACAGGAGATATGATCGATACTAAAGGCAACAGAGGGCGTCGTGATTGGCACGGAACTGAGATTTGACCGGGAAATTGTCGTCAGGCGGCGTGGATGACGATGGAGGTTGTTGTAGGCTCCAGGAAGCACGTTGCACGTTGAACGTTGGAGGTTGGTTGGTGCCAGGCGGTTGGCTCGTGCTCTGACTGTTGCTGCTCTCCATGGCCCGTGCAGAGCCTCGAATGGGGCATAGCTGCGCGCTCGGCAGCGCTCTGGCTTATTTCATCATTCTGGCTGCCACGCCAAGAAGAGGATCCACCTGGATGATGTAATTACGTAAGCAGTCAAGCCAAATCAACCCGTTCTGCCGGGTCTCACCGCCCAAAGTTTCGCAGATTGCGGCGGCCAGCGTCGCAGCACTGGTGTGGATTTTTCTAGCGGGCCATTTGCGAAGGCGTTTTGTCTTTTTTCCCTTTTACTTTGTTAATCTTTTTTTGCTGGTCGCATTGCTCCGCAACCACACCACAAGAACCACGCAACTCCAGGGCGAGCAGACGCAGTGAACCCTGGCGACAAGTTATACAGCTGAATTGCCATTGATAGCCCGGACCGAGTCCCGCGCGCCGCATATCTCTCTCAACATGTCGAACAACGAGTCTGCCGCTTGGCCCAAGGCCGAGGACCCTGCGCTGGTCCAGGAACTGCTTGATTGCGTTCAGCAGGCTAGCCACTACCGCCAACTGAAGAAGGGCGCTGTAAGTTCCATGGCAATCTGGTTGTATCAAGGCACTGGCTAACCTCGACTGCAGAACGAGACGACCAAGTCGTATGTGCACCCAATCTATCATTGAAAATGCCTGGGCAGCAGCTAACACAACCGCAGCGTCAACCGTGGCACCAGCGAGCTCGTTATTCTCGCTGCTGATACCCAGCCACTGAGCATTGTTCTTCACATCCCGCTCATCTGCGAGGAGAAGAACGTGCCCTATGTCTATGTCCCCAGCAAGGTTGCTTTGGTGAGTGGCTGAGAGTCCTCTCAAGTGCCATATAAGTCCGATGCTAACTTCGTTCAGGGCCGCGCTTGCGGTGTCTCTCGTGCCGTTATTGCCGTCTCGCTGACATCGAATGAAGCGTCGGATCTCAACTCCAAGATCCGCGCCCTGCGTGACAAGGTCGAGCGCCTTGCTATGTAAAGCGGCGAAATCTCCTTGCTTGAGAGGGGAGCAGCGCTGCTTGGGATGAGATGGTGGATGAGGATACTGTCAGCCTCGTCTGCTTGCTGTCTCTTTGCATGGGCTTCCGGCAATCTCGTCAGGATGGAAGGGGATAATGATGACTCTGGGGATTGATGCATGTCGGCTGGAAGATGCCCGGTCTGCGCAATCTCTAGAGCTGAAGCAGGATAACAGAGTTATGGCTTTATATCAAGCCCTCTGTAGTCTTAGCATACATAGTACCAGATATCCTGGCGAATGACACTGTCGTGGTTTATTGGTTGCTCAGCTTGGCGTTTGCTTAGGTATTCCACCCTTTTCACGTGCTTTCTGTTCCCATACCAGCGCATACCAGTGGGCTTTTGATCTCGGAATCTCTCCATCGACCGCGTAGTGTCCGTATGGACTCATGTGATCACTCCATGTGGTGTGTCAGCCTGACATCCTGTCAGCGATCGTCGGCAACAAGTGATGAGTGGGCGGTTCATGGTGGGGTGCAGCCGCCGGAGCTGGGATGGTGGGGACCCCACCGCCCAAGACATCATCGGCTCCAGACCCGGCCGGGGCCTGCAGCGTGAGCACTGAAAACAAGTCCATCCAACCAAACTGTTCTCTTTGCCGTTCCCGTCTTTCATACTTGCCTTTTAAACTCTGGGTATCTTACCTACGTGTTCTTCTATTTTGAGCCTTCCTATAGGTCCAGTAGACGTATCTGTTGCGAATGAAAGGTGCCCTACCAGACCCTTAATCCACCTCTTGGACCCTGCCCAACACGCTTCATCGTCCCAACCCAGCCCAGCTGCCGCCCCTGACCGACAACCGTCATCGTCGACGTTTTCGCCGCCTAGGTGCAGCAACGAGAAGAGGGATGGGTTGAACCACCAATCTCTCCGTTGTCCAACTCACATTGCCTTCAGCATCATCATATCTGATCCGCTCTCAAGTCTCAACACCTATCCTCGATTCTCGATTCTCGGCCCAACACCCGCCAACTACTTGAACAATGCCCGGCCTAGCCCGCAAACTAACCATCCATGCCTCTCCTGACGGGCTGATCATCCACCCTCAAAACATATCCAAAGGCCTGATCCGCATCAACGATCCTCAACCCAAGAATCCTCACTCACATACCCGCTCGCCCTCTGCGTCAGCGCTCGCCACGGCCCCTGTGCGCATTCGCTATGGGGATGGGGCCATCTCTACCGTGGCGAGGAGTAGTTTGGCTGCTGGGGGAGTGGGGGATTTGGCGGGGTTGGTGAGAGAAGGGGAGGCGTTTGAGGCTTTTGGAGTTGTGGGTAGGTATTTTCATGTCTTTCCATTTTTCTCTTTCCCAATGTTCAAAATAAAAAGAGAGATGTTGGGTGCGGTGTGAGTGTGGATATGAGGTGTGGGGATCCCAATAAGAGTGAGACGCGATGCATAAGGGTTACACAGATGGATCACATACATTCGAGATCATGAGATATTGTGATCTATGCCAAGCGATATTATCCGTCCTGTCCTCACATCAGGCTACTTCCCATAGTTTTGCGACTCCCGACCTGACTGACACCCCCAGGCCTGATCCGCGTCTTCCGCCACATCTACCTAGTCACCATCACCGGTCGTGAACAAGTCGCCTCCATCCCCTACCGCGGCGGCACCGCTCCCGTCTACGTCATAACTGACGTCGCCCTCACCCCCTGCACCTCCCATGAAGAAGCCCGCGCCGCAGTATCCAAAACCTCTGCTGCCTTACGTAAAGCCCAGCAACATCAAAAAGGCAGACTCTCCTCCGACTCAGCATCCAGCCGCTCCTCCAAAGCCGCCAGCGCTAACAATTCCTCTGGGGACGATGAAAGCAGTCCCGAGGGTGACGACAACGAGAACGCGATTGAAGGTGAAGTCGATGATGATGATGTTGTGGCTGGCCAGGGTAAGCAGGGCGGACCATCATCATCAGCAGCAGCCCCGGAGACAGGAGACCCGCCCTCCCGACGAAGCAGCATCGCACAGGATGTGATTGAGCGCCGGGGCAGTTATGGTCGGTTCGCAAAGAAATGGTTCAGCCGTAGTGGCTGGGCGATCGATCAGAAGCGAATGATGGGCCTGTCGTCAAGCGCGACGGGGAATGACAGCAGTGATAGTCTGCCGAGCAGTATCAAGAAAGCGTCAATCGGTGGCAAGACTGCCGGTCCCAGCGCTGGAAGGAATGGCACGGACATGCCGGACGGGAGTGAGGCGGCGGTGAGGTTGTTGCCAAAGCTGTTGCGGACGAGTCAGATGCTTTTTGGGTCGAGCAGGACGTTCTTCTTTTCGTATGAGTGCGATATTACAAGGAGTGTGGCGGCGGAGGTTGCGAGGACCCCTCCTCCTTCGCCGTTGGTGCCGCTGCATCGGCTGGTGGATCAGACGTACTTCTGGAACAGGCATGTCCTCCAGCCGTTTATTGACGCTGGGCTGGACAGTTTGGCATTGCCTTTGATGCAGGGGTTTGTTGGGCAGAGGACGTTTATTGTTGACAGCCAGCCGCCGCAGGTTGATCCTGACGGTGGTGGTGGGACAGGAGGGGGAGGGGGTGGAGGAAGCAAGAAAGGGAAAGTTGTGGTAAAGGAGAGCGTTGAGTTGGAGGATTTTGGGTCCAGAGCGGCATCGCCTACCCCGCCAGAGCCGTCGATGCGTCCGACGGAGAGGAAGTTCGATATTACGGTGATTTCGAGGAGGTCTACCAAACGAGCTGGGTTGAGATACTTGAGGAGGGGTATTGATGAAGAAGGGAATGTGGCCAACTGCGTCGAGACAGAGCAGATCCTTTCGCCGGCAGGCGTACCTTGGGATGGGCCCAATGTGAAGGTTCATTCGTTCGTCCAGACGCGCGGTAGCATCCCGCTGTTCTTCACCCAATCTCCCTATTCGCTCAAACCGGTGCCTGTGATGCAGCACTCAGAGGAGACCAACTTCTCCGCGCTCAAAAAGCACTTTGAGGGCTTGAAGAGACAGTACGGCTCAGTACAGGTTGTCAACCTTGTCGAAAAGCAGGGTGTCGAGGCACCAATCGCCGAGGCATACCAACGGAACATTCAGCGACTCAACGAGGAGGAACTGCAGAAGGACTCTGACAAAGTAGCCTTTGAGTGGTTCGACTTCCATGCCGTTTGCCGTGGCATGAAGTTCGAGAACGTCGCGCTCCTCCTAGAAAGCCTCCGCGGCAAGCTAGAAGGTTTCGGCAGTACTGTGCTGGCCGGCGGACAACTTGTGTCGCGTCAGCAGGGGATTCTAAGGACCAACTGCATGGATTGTCTTGACCGGACGAATGTCTGTCAAAGCTCGTTTGCTAAGCACATGCTGGAAGTACAGCTCCAGGAGGAAGGCTTTGATTTAACTATCCAACAAGACCAGCAGCAGGTGTGGTTTAACACCCTGTGGGCCGATAACGGAGATGCCATTTCGAAGCAATACGCTTCAACCGGCGCCATGAAGGGCGACTATACCCGAACTAGGAAGAGGGATTATCGCGGTGCGTTGACCGATGCTGGGTTGTCGTTGACACGACTGTTCAATGGGTGAGTTAAAGTCCATCAAAGGATGAATTCCAATGCTAATTTCAACAGCATGTTTAATGACTTCTTCCTCCAAGCCAGCATCGACTTCCTGCTAGGCAACGTGACCGCCCTCGTCTTCGAAGAGTTCGAGACGACCATGATGACCAAGGACCCGGCCGTCTCCATGCAAAACATGCGCCAGCAAGCCATCGAGCTCTGCCAAAAGCGTGTCGTAGCCGACGAAAAGGAAGAATTCATCGGCGGCTGGACGCTATTAACCCCCAAGACCCCAGATACAGTCCGCTGCACCAACCCCGACATGGAGGAAGCAGTTTTGCTGCTGACCGATGTAGCGTTGTACCTGTGTCGGTTCGATTGGAGCCTGGACAAGGTATCATCCTTCGAGCGCGTCGATTTGGCGCATGTCACCAAGATTCAGTTCGGGACGTACATTACATCGACGATTGCCCCGTCCCATCTGGACGAGATGCGCAACATTGGAATCGTGATCGAGTACCGGCCGGGTACGACCGACATTACCAGGGTTAACACCCGGTCGCTGTCAAGTAACTTGGGAACGGGACTAGAATCGGTCGAGCAAGCCCCTGCACAGTCAGCCTTCGCCAACTTCCTCTCCCGCCGGCCACAGAGCACCGTCCCTTCCCCACGGAAGATCGCGCTGAAAGCGCTCTACAGCCAAACCTCCGTGGCTGACCCCCTCGCGCAGGATAAGGCCGACGAGCCGGGGGCCATTACACGGTTGTCTGAGGTGCAGCAGATGCTTGTGATCGCGACGGAGATTGAGCGGTGGGCAATTATGAACCAGCCGCGCGAGGCGGGTAGTAATGCGGCCGAGCCTAGCCTGATTGAGCGTGGGGATATCGTGTCGGTGGCTGAGGCGAAGAAGAACACGGGGCTGTTCGAGCAGCTGGGGCATTCGATTAAGAAGTTGGTGTGGGCGTGAGTATGCAAGAGGACGTAAATATCCCCGTAGATAGACCATACCATAGATCCGTAGTCCGTATGTTTATAGACCACTACTAATTAATCGTCGTCCGAATTGGACTCTAGACTTGCGTCCTCTGCCCTGTACAAATGCATCTGATACCGCATGTTTTCCAGTTGAATTGGGTAATCCAGTCCCTCAGCCAGACGGAACCAGACTGAGTCTTTTCCCTCAAGCTTCTTCCATCTCCGTCCAGCGATCGGCTCCCGCCTCGTGCCCATTAGGACCCGGTCTAAGAGCCACTGCATCGGGTACCGCTTTGCCTCCTTGCCCACGCTGGTTTCGGAGTAGCTCCCGGGGCTGTCGACAACTAGCAACAGCGATCCGAATGGCACTACAGACGTGATGTCGAGCAATAGCTTAGTCGTTTTGCCGATGCCGCTGGCAGTAAACAATTCGTTGAGAGTAAACAGCAGCGTTATTAACAGGGGAGCGTTCCCCAATATGGACGTGAGCCGGGGTTGGTCCATGGTGAGGACGTCTTCTTGTAAGAAGGCGTGACTGAAGCGGGAGGGGGAGACTATTGCGGCGTTGGCGAGTTTCGCGGCTGCGCTGGCGTATTTGGAGATTGGGGGGGGAGTGGTTAGGCTGGGATAGAGTTGGGTGATGACATCAGCCCAGGGACCGGAGTCGAGGAGGGTGATGTGTCCTGAAAGCATGGGAGAGGGACATTGGCTGAGAAAGCCGGCGAGAGAGACCAACTCGGCAGCGCCGCCGCCGATGGAGAATACTTTCAGTTGATGAGTTTGAACCGAGTCTTTGGGTTCAGACTTGTTATTGCCATTCTCATCATCCTCTTGACTGGGGGCAGGAACCTGAATCGGCTGCGAGATGCTCTCTAGATGCTCCCAGATGCCACTCAGCACCGTGGTATAGCACAGAGCCCGGGTTGGGCTCCATCTCGCAGCATACACAGCCAAATACTCTGGATTTCCAAACGCCCTAGCAAAGTCACGATCGAAGAGAGCTTGTTTGACTGCCTGCATAGTGGCAGTCAGGTTGTCGGAGAAGAGCACATCGCTCAAGGCACGGCGGAAGACATCCACGATGCGCTGTTGTTGTTTGCGCGCCTCCTCTGAAGTCTGTCTTCCTTGATCTCTCTCCCCTTCCAGCTCAAGTCGATCCTGAGTCTTAGCGGTCTTTTTCGAGCCATTGGTTTTACTCGTCACAGTCTGCTTCGGCTTTGCTGTCCTTGCCGGCGCTCTAGAGTTCTTAGGCGGCATATTGAGCGCTTATTCAACTAGAACTTGGACTGTTTGGGAACTGCTTGTTTCGATAATCTTCTCCTGAGCCGCATTGGCATCACACAGAAGCAGGGCGTCAGCCGGCAGTGGATCGAGCCCAATGGTGCGGTTCGTGGCTGTCATTGTCAAGTCTCGAATTTTAGCCTGAATTCCCCCATGTCGCGGCAGTCGGGGTGAAAGCAACCGACCGTGCAGGCTGCACCCCCACCTTGAGGGTTAAAATTTGAATATCCCACGTACAACCCTAACCCTTATCGAAGAGGGGCAACGCAACCCCGCAAGTACTGCTGACGACGAGGAATCATCCCCGGAGCTTTTCATCGAGATGTTTGGTTTGCGCTAATATGTACGCCAATTGTTGCGTGCTCGCCTGATTGTTGAGATCATCAAGGCATCCTGTCACTTTCGGCGGGTCTTGCAGCCGAGCGCTTGCTCAGGAGATGAAGCCCGTCACCAAGTCCCCTGGTGCCCCTCGACCATGCCTGGAGGGGCACCCCTGGTCGCCGACTCGTAAACTTTTACCTAAGCACGGCGGCATGCCGCGACCACAACGCCTTTTTGATCGAGGACTTCGACGTTAAAAGCGAGTGATGCCACTGGAACACCTATGGCCATGTCTTCTTCACCGATACAGGAGATAAGCGTGGGTCGGCAGTCAGGCTCACCGCGGAGATTTTCTGGCCGCCGAGTGCGTGTGAATATTTCCTTGGACTTGCTGGGTTTTAGACGACACACCACTGAGTGATCGACCCCGGACGCCGTCTCCCACGCCGCGCAGGTCCCCGGCGTGGGAGCATCTCCTGGTCGATACGGTAGTGTAACACATCTCCACGGATGTGCCACCCGCAATTCTCTGTCATCAGCGCTCTCATGTCCAGCAGACCTGAATTCAGGTTGTCTGCAGAGGGCCGGGTCCTTGGACAGCAGGCGCAAGGAGACATTGCTGAAGAATATGGTGATATTGGCGTGCTCATGTCACATCCTCCTCGACGTCACCGCTCATCCTCTGATAGCGAGTAGAAGAACAGTCATTGGCGCTCTCCGAGAGAGAGGGCCGCAGACATCAGACCGCATTACAGAGAAATCGAAAAGGTACCTCGCAGTCGCGCCTGTGCTCAGACCTTGAGCTCCAGCTGTCACTTCCATCCCTGCTAGTTTCATGTCAGTTGTCACCAGGAAACCAGGAAGAGCAGGAGCAACATCATCCCCACAGCGGCATTCATCCGGCGAACCAAAACGCCTGCAGCATGCGGCAGCTCTGGTGCAACCCCACTCCGCTAGCAATTGAGCCAGTTGAGCCAGAGTTGAGGGTTGAATGGACGAGAGGGGTGAGGTGAGCGGATGAGCTAAGAATCGTCCCCCAAATGCTCCGCCAGGAGCTGCCAGGGCTGCCACGCACTTAAAACTAAACACCCCACCTCCCCGTCAAGGTCATCTTCATTTCTTTTGCTTCAAACCTCTCATACCACAACTCCCTCCCTTTCCCAACTCTCCGGCACTGGACTGCAGAGAGAAATCAGCCACCATGCCTTACACCGACGTTGATCAGCTTGCCATCAACACCATCCGCGTGTTAGCCGTAAGTCTTTCCTGGTCAAAGCTTCCCCTACCCAGGAGCCCCGCCCCCGCCAAAAAGTTCTGCCCCGCCAAGCGCACGTCGCTGTCATCAGGGCTGGCTTTGAGGACGAGAACGGCGATAATGCTTCGTACACGCGCCAGAACTTGGAGATGAGAGCAAACAATGAAGACTAACATCTTCGCCAGGCGGATGCGACCTTCCACGCTAATTCGGGTCACCCGGGTGCCCCTATGTAAGCTTCAAATGACAACATCGCCAGACTGGCCGCCGATGCCGGACCTTGAGCTAACGAATGCAGGGGCATGGCGCCAGTCGCCCACGTCCTGTTCAACCGCATTATGCGCTTCAACCCTAAGAACCCCAACTGGGTGAACCGTGACCGCTTCGTACTCTCGTAAGTGGCCTAATTTGCACACAATGGCTGGCAACGTATTGACGGGAACAGCAACGGTCATGGCTGCATGCTCCAGTATGCCCTCCTCCACCTCTACGGCTATGCCGTCTCCATTGATGACATCAAGGCCTTCCGCGTAAGTCTCTCACTCCATTTCCCCATGAATGAGCTCTAACGTCCCTCAGCAAGTCGGCAGCATCACCCCAGGTCACCCTGAGTCCCACGACACTCCCGGTGTTGAGGTCACCACTGGCCCTCTTGGTCAGGGCATTAGCAATGCCGTTGGTCTGGCCATTGCTCAGGCGCATACTGCGGCCGTCTTCAACAAGCCGGGTTATGACCTGATCAACAACTACACATACTGCTTCCTCGGCGACGGCTGCCTGATGGAGGGTGTCTCTGCTGAGGCCTGCTCCCTGGCCGGTCACCTGCAGCTCGGCAACCTGATCGCCATCTGGGACGACAACCACATCACCATCGACGGCGACACCAACCAGGCCTTCACTGAGGACGTCCTCAAGCGCTACGAGTCATACGGCTGGCACGTCCTGACCGTTGAGGACGGTGACCACGACCTCGAGGGCATTGAGGCTGCCATCCGCAAGGCTCAGGAGGTCAAGGACAAGCCTACCCTCATCCAGCTTAAGACCACCATTGGCTATGGCTCCAAGCAACAGGGCAGCCATGGCGTCCACGGCTCGCCGCTCAAGGCCGACGACCTTAAGCAGCTCAAGGAGAAGTTCGGCTTTAACCCTGAGGAGAGTTTCGTTGTTCCCCAGGAGGTCTATGACCTTTGCGGCAAGGCCGCTGCTGCTGGCGCCGCTGCTGAGGAGGAGTGGAACCAGCTGTTCGCCAAGTACGGCGAGGAGTACAAGGCCGAGCATGACGATCTGCTCCGTCGTCTGCGCGGCGACCTGCCCGAGGGCTGGGAGAAGAATCTCCCCACCTATACCCCGAACGACCCCGCAGTCGCTTCCCGCAAGCTGTCCGAGATCGTCCTCAACAAGATCTTCGATGCCGTTCCCGAGCTCATGGGCGGCTCTGCCGATCTTACTGGCTCCAACCTGACCCGCTGGAAGGGTGCCGTCGACTTCCAGCCCCCCTCGACTGGTTTGGGCAACTACGCTGGCCGCTACATCCGCTTCGGTGTCCGTGAGCATGGTATGGGTGCCATCCTCAACGGTATGGCTGCCTACGGCACCATCTTGCCCTACGGCGGTACCTTCCTGAACTTCGTCTCGTACGCTGCTGGTGCCGTCCGTCTTTCTGCTCTTTCCCAGGTCCGCGTCATCTGGGTTGCCACCCACGACTCGATCGGTCTTGGTGAGGACGGCCCGACTCACCAGCCTATCGAGGTTCTCACTCACTTCCGTGCGCTGCCCAACTGCATGGTCTGGCGCCCGGCCGACGGCAACGAGACCAGCGCTGCGTATTACGTTGCTCTCACCTCCAAGCACACCCCCAGCATCATTGCCCTCTCGCGCCAGAACCTGCCGCAGCTTGAGGGCTCCGCCATCGACAAGGCCATCAAGGGCGGTTACGTCATCCTCGAGCAGGAGAAGGCCGATATCACTCTCGTCTCGACTGGCTCTGAGGTCGCCATCTGCATTGACGCCGCCAAGCTGCTCGCCGAGCAGCACAACATCAAGGCTCGCGTCGTCTCGCTGCCTTGCTTCGAGGTGTTCGACACCCAGGACAAGGAGTACCGCCTCAGCGTCCTGCCTGACGGCATCCCGTCTCTGTCGGTTGAGGTCATGAGCACCATGGGTTGGGAACGCTACTCGCACGAGCAGTTCGGCCTCAACCGCTTCGGTATCTCTGGCCCATACAAGGAGATCTACAAGGCAAGTTATCTGTTCGTGAAGGTGTTGCGGATTGTACTAACCTGCTGGCTCAACAGAAGTTCGAGTTTACCCCTGAGGGCGTCGCCAAGCGTGCGCTGGCCACCATCGACTTCTGGAAGGATGTTCCCAACATTCGCTCGCCCATCAACCGCGCTTTCCAGCAGATCATTTAAACGGAGATGCTGGATCAGGGATGGGTCGCATGCTAGGAATCGCGGTACATTGATAGGCATATTAGTGGTGAAAAAAAAAAACCAAAAACAAAAGGGAAGGATCTGCTGAGGGAGGAAAATCATTTCGGTGTTGGGGGATATGGGGCATTAACAACAATTGCTTGATAGTTTCAAGCTTGCTGAAATAGATTTGCTAAGATTATTCATCTTCCTGAGAGGGCATGACGTGACGCGAGTTGAGAAGAAACGCGATCGAATACTGCGGCGGCCGTTGTCGCACAAAGCGGGGCACTGTCTGGTTAGCAGCCTGGCGGGGGAGCTACCCCACACTGGACCCTGTCCGTGCTTGCTTCGGGCGTGAAAGTGCCACCTCGCCGCATGCAACACACCGCAGCTTGGACTTCTTTTGGAGCTTGAAGATATCAACGTCAGGGCACTAACACCGCTTACGACACAGAAAAGCCTTCCTACAAAAATTGACAGCAGTTGCCAGGTGTTGCTGCGCCAATAGCCACAAACAGGACTTAAGTTATTTACATTGTGACTCTATACAAAACCAGCATTTGCTTGCGAGCGAGGGAACTTCCCTTGCACAACAGCCCACCATCATGGACGATGAGAAGCTTAAGGCCGAGAAGATGGCCGCTGCTAAAAAGAAGGTTTGTGCTCGTTTAATCATCTACGAGAGAAATGTCATGGCTGACCCAATAAATGGTCATTATAGTTCGAGCAAATGCGCAAGGCGAAAGCTAAAAAGGCCGGCAAGAAGGGAGTAGGAGGGGATGATGCTTCTAAAAAGGAGGAGGCTTCCGCTGCTGCTGCGACCTCTGCTGAGCCGGGAACTCCTACGTCGTCTACCGCTGGGGAGGGTGTTGCTGAGGGGGGGAAGGAGGAGAGGGATAAGGGGGAGGATGTTTCGGAGGTTCAGGAGGAGAAGACGGAACAGGCTCCTGAAGAGCAGCCTGCGGAAGAGGCTCCAGCCGAAGCTGAGGAAGAACCTGTCCCTGCGCCTGTGACCAAAACACCCTCCCTAGCGCAACAATCCAAAGCGCGCTCGCGGTCTTTCCGGCAGGGCTCCATCTCTATCACCACCGGCAGCACGCCGCTTTCCCCAGGGGGGTTAATCAGCCCCGTTGGTGAAGGAGGTGAGACGGCACCAGATATCTATCGCAAGCAGGCGCAACGAATTGAGGAGCTGGAGAAGGAGAACAAGGCGCTGGCGAAGGAGGTCAGGGATGTGGAGAAGAGATGGCAGAGAGCGGAGGAGGAGTTGGCGGATTTGAGGGAACGGGATTTGGGGGATGAGGGGGAGGTGGCAAGGCTGGTAAGTACTTGCTCTACGACACATATTCTTGACTTAAAGGGGGACAAGGTGCTGACAATGAGCAGAAAAAGGAGATTGAGGCTCTGCAGAGGCAGAACGCCCAGCTGCAGGCTCAGATCAGCCGGTCTGGGTCGGGAGCAAGCAGTCGGCATGGGTCTTCACCGTCCCTGTCGCTGGCAAGCCCACCTGCTGCGGCAACGGCCGAGCTGGAAGCCCAACTTCGCAGCAAATCAGCGACAATTGAGACGATGGAGCTCGAGATGTCGCGTCTGCGCGCACAAGTTGAGCGGCTATCGCTCTCGGCGTCAGCACCTTCTGAGCAGATCGCTGCTCTCGAAGAGAAACTCGCCCGTGCGGAGAAGGCAGCTGGTGTTGCCCAGAGAGAGGTCAATGACTTGAAGGCGGAGCTGGAAAATGCCTCCAAGAAAGCAGTCAAAGAGGGCTCGGAGAGGGCAAGTGCCGAGACGAAAGTCAAGATTTTAGAAAAGGAGGTCGAGACCCTCAAGGGGGAGAAGGAAGACCTTGCCAAGAAGGTCGAGGCGCTAGAAAAGAAAGTTGCCACGCTCACCACACTGCATAAGGAACAGGAAGGCCGGATGTCTGCCCTACGCAAAGAAAAGGATAGCTTGGAGGAGGAAATTAAGAGGCTCAAGAAAGGAGGGGAGGGAGGCATCGACGACGAAGGGATGGACGAACTTGAAGATGAGGAGCGCCGCAGGCTTGAACAGCGGATCCGGGAGCTCGAGGCAGAGAATACGGATCTCCGCCGGGGCATCTGGATCGAGAAACGCAAGGAGATGCAGATGCCTCCCGAAGGCGAGACTGCCGTTCGCTTTGAGAGTGTCGACCTCGACCATGGCGGTCACTTGTCACCACATGTTCATGCCCATGGTAGTAAGAAGGGCGGCGGACTGGGAGACTTACTAGCTACCGGCCTCAATGTCTTGACAGGAGGCGGGACTACGGCTACCGCTGGCGGCGGGGCATTTGATGATCTGCTGGATGATGACATGGAGTTTGACGAGGAAGCCTTCCGGAGGGCTCAGGAGGAGGAGCAAAAAGCAAGGATTGAGAGGATCAAGGAGTTGAAGAGGACGTTGAAGAATTGGGAGGGGTGGCGGTTGGATTTGGTGGATATCAGGCGTGGTGGGGGAGAAGGGATCGGGGAGATCTTCGAGGTCTGACCGGGCAAGAGAAAGGTTCTTTGTCTTTGCTTAGATTTGGTTTGGGGTCCTATGCCTGGTCTTGTTGTCCTCTATATACATTGTATTGTTGTTCTTTGTCTTTCCGAACTTCATGGTCGCGGCCTCGAATGCCGTTCAATCCCACTTCATGTGGTTCTTTCTATTGGCTCTGTTCCAAGCCAAAACTGGTCCCCGCATCTTCATACAACTGCTCTTGTCGTCGGGAACACATCAACATGGGGTTTCTGCCCTCCTGGAGACCGGGCATGGGCCAAGTGCGTTGGCCATCTTGCTACTGTTCCTCACATACTTTTTCTTGTTATTGTTCGTTTGGCGATAGGGCTTTTGTTCTTTCCTCAGTTAGGGCATTGGTATTCTTCCCTGGTTCACAGATATTTCTTCTCCCCCACAAAATGCGTGATTCGATTTGAACTTTTCCCCCTTTTCCTCGCGCACTTTCCCCCTAGCCAGATTGCCAGTCCAGTTATCACTGAGCACGCCTCTTCTACCAACTTACGTTGACGACTAAGCCATCGCATACCTCACTCTTACTTTTTCCTAATATTATTAATTTCTGGTCTTCTTTCTTCTTTCACTCGCTTTTATGAGACCGAAGCGTGCTTGATCAATCTGAAGCGTTTCCCTATCATTACATTGATCTGAAGGTTGAATGACAACCCTCAACATCATCTTACCGAAGGTAACACTCTTACTTTACTCACTGCTGCTTGAAACCGAACATCTTCTCATTGACCTGAAGGTCATATTGCGACTTTTGACCCATCTTGCCTCGAACAGCACAAGATACTTTTGCTCACTGTTGCATGAGATCGAACACTCCTTCATCGATCTGAAAGGTTTGTCGCTCCATCATTCTATTAGTCTGAAGGCCAAATAGTGACTTTCACACATCTTACTTGGAGCAAGATAAGACAATGTCGATCTCAAGGACTGCTCAATTCCAAGCGTTTTTCAATTAAAAAAAAAAAAAACCTCAATCGATCCCAGGGTTCAAAGTCAAGGCTTCATCGATCTCAAGGTCACCGGTCCAAAAGTGGACTTTAACTCCAAGTCTCCTCTCAAAAACGCTTCTTCATCAGACCAAACAAGAACTCTGATCGATCAAACAAGTGTTGCTCGATCCAAAGCAAGCAGCATCAACAACATTTTCCATAAGAATCCTAACGGCCATCAAGTGTTGGTCGTCCCGAGCCTCAAGGCTGAATTAATCATCACAAAGACAGGGTCACAAGCGTGATCCTTTGATATCGTCTTTTTTTCGCAGACGAAAGAAGCCTTTCATCTGCGATGTCGCACAAGCGCAAGGCCTGCGATATTCACCCCGGTGTCGACCGGCATTCGGATGACCATGTCTGTCATCAAGACGAACAGCGTCTGAGGAAAATCAAAATCTTGGACGACAGTGATGTGGACCCGCTGTTGTTGGAAATCAGCGAGTTCAGCAATAACGAGATCGCCGAGGGCGCTGCTGCTGGCCCTGCTGCTCCTCCGACTGCTGCTGCCATTGCGGTTCCCGCTGGTCCCGCCTCCGTTGCCCCTATGCTTCTCGGCCCAGCCTTCGGCTCCGCGGCTTACTCCCAGTGGATGCGCGAGCAGCACCTGCTGCAGCTGACCGAGAGCTCGGTTGAGGCTTCCTTCCCGTCCGTCTTGACGTTGGAGGAGCTTGCCCGGGCCGGTCTTCCGACCGGCCACATCGAGATGGACTTCTGGGGCCGTCTAGTGCGCGTGCCTGGTTCTATGGTTGCCCCCCAGGATCTCTGGCCACGGCCTCTGGGTCGATGGGTCTGGGCGCTGGCGAGCCATCTTTGTCCGTGTAGTTGCCTGCATCAGGGCGCGGATTGCGGTGCGCGATGTGCGTCAGAAACCAGCGCATCGTGGGGACGCTTTCCGCGACTGGATGGCTCATCCAGCCAACGACGTGGCGGCGCTGACGGTGCTCAGCACCATTCTCGGTTCGATTTTCGCAATGGTCGACCGGTCCGATTTCTCAGTTGCCCGGCTGCAAGATGTGCTGGGTCCCGTGGAGAGGCGTTCGTTGAGGCTGACGGCATCATCAGTTACTTCCTGACGGTGCGCCCGACGCTCGAGCTGAACAGCCCCTTGACACTCGACCAGCAGTGTCGGCTGAGTCGGCTCGGCTGGTTGACCCGGATTGGTCAGGGCCGAGTCATGCGCGCTGGAATGGACTGGGATTAGGAAGGCCTGGTGCCGGATGTGCAACGCGCGTTGGAGCGCGCGCAGGGCTGGCGTGATCCGCTTTCTGCACTGGTTAAGGATATCAACAGTGCGCTGGACGTTCTCAGGCACCACGAAGCATGAGGAGGCGACGCAAAAGGGGAGTGGGATGGATGGTGAGGTCGGGACGGGGCATGGTTACTATATCGGTTCCATAGGTTCACTTCGGCTTGGCGTCCTGCCTTCTGAACCACTCAATTTTGCCATTAGTAGGCGAGTATTTCAAACCCACCGCCTAGCTCTTTGTAGGTCGCCAACCTATGCGCCTTAGTAACCATCTGTCCACACAGTGTCCTTTGCCGACTATCCTTACAACATCGAGTTCTAGAGCTTATAAGTAATATCAGTCACAATGCCGCCTACAGTCTTGCTGAGATTTCTCATCAGTTTCAGAAATGGTATAGTCCTTGTTTCCTTCATACCTGTTTCGTTCCTAATTTTTCCTCGGGCTAATCAGTCTACCAGGCTGTCAAGGAAGCCAATGACTCTCTTCTGCCCCGGCATGCCTGGTTCTGGCAAGACTATTCTCGTATCGATCGTCATCAATTATCTCCAAAGGAACTTTGGAGACCGTGATGTTGGTATCGCCTACTTATACTGTAATTTCCGGCGCGTGGACGACCAAACCGTGGAGCAGCTCATCGCCAACCTCGTAAAGCAATTACTCAGCAACAAGTTTCCACCACCACCTGGAGCCATGGATACCTATACTCGATGCAAGAAGCATAAATCACAACAATTCTTAAGCGATCTTGAGGAGATGTTTTATGTTATTGCTTCACTGTACACGGATGGGGTTTTTGTTATTGTTGATGCACTGGACGAGTGCTAAATGAGCAACAATGTTCGTTTCGAATTCATTGAAGCATTACTGCGCCTTCAATCGAGGGGGAGTAATGTCAACATCTTGGCCACATCCCGGCCTGTACCTGATATCGTGGAAGCCTTTGATGGGCACTCCCGCCTCGAGATAGTAGCCAAAAGGGACGACATCGAGCGATACATACGCAATCAGATGTCCAATCTGCGCGCTCTCTCAAAGTACCCGGACCTCCAACACGAGATCATCAGTTGCATTGCCGATGTCGCAGATGGCATGTAAGTTATCAGTGTTCCATGAGCCATGGGTTATTGATTCAATTGAGCATATGCTTGCTCACAAAATCAGGTTCCTACTCGCTCACCTCTTCTTCGAGTCCTTGAAGGATAAAGTTAGCGCAAAACTTATCCATAAAGCACTGGACGAGCTTCATAACGACGCTAAGAAAAAGGAGCCAAAGTTTGCCCTGTTACGCCGAGCATATGACAACACAATGGAGCGAATCAATGGGCAAACGGCTGGATACAAGGAGCTTGCCAACCATGTTCTATCCTGGATTATCTGCGCCAAACGTCCTCTTAAATTCATAGATGTTCAGTACGCATGGGCTGTCAAGGACAGTGAGGACAAGCTTGATGAAGCCGCGATTCCTGATGTCGAAGACATGCTTTCGGCATGTTGCGGGCTCGTTGTCATCGACGAAGAAAGCGAAATCATTCGACTGGTCCATTCTACGGTTCAGGAATATTTTCAGGATACTTTGACTCGGTGGTTTCCGACCGCCCATCTCGATATCGCAAATACCTGCGTACTATATCTTTCGTTTGAGGACTTCTCAGGTGGCCCTGTCAGAACACATGAGGAGGCGCTTGCACGACTTGAAAAACCTCTCTTCACCTATGCTGTTGACTACTGGGGATATCATACATCTGCGGGTTGTTTCTGCACTCCTCAGCTGCTTAACTTATTGACAAAATCGGAATGGGTCAGGATGGTGGTACAACTATGTGATATCTTCTCCAATATCAGAAAGCGGTTTTGGCTTTCTTCAGTGGACTTGAGGCCATCTCACAATGCATTTCATGTACTTGGTGCCTATGGGCTCAATAATTTGGTCAAGGTTACTCCTTGTGAGTGCTCGGGATATAGATCCAGACCAACAAGACCAGGAAGGTCGAACGCCGCTAAATTGGGCTGCAGAGTATGGCCATACGGAGATTGTTAAAGCGCTATTATGTGATGGCCGAGCTGATCCAGACCGACAAGACAAGGAAGGTCGAACACCGCTAAATTGGGCTGCAGCGTATGGCCATACGGACATTGTTAAAGCTCTGTTATGTGATGGCCGAGTTGATTTAGACCGGCAGGACAACTATGGTCAAACGCCGCTGAGTTACGCTGCAAAGAATGGCCATACGGAGACTGCTAGAGCTTTGTTATTTGATAGCCGAGTTGATCCAAACCGACAAGACAGGCAAGGCCGAACGCCGCTGAGTTACGCTGCAATGAATGGTCATATGGAGACCATTAGAGCTCTGTTACGTGATGGCCAAGTTGATCCAAACCGACAAGACAGAAATTACCGAACGCCGCTGAGTTGGGCTGAAGAGTATGGCCATACGGAGACTGTTAGAGCTCTGTTATGTGATAGCCGAGTTGATCCAAGCCGACAAGACAACTATGGCCAAATGCCGCTGAGTTACGCTGCGTGGAATGGCCATACGAACATTGTCAGAACTCTATTATGCGATAGCCGAGTTGATCCAGACCAAGAAGATAAATATGGCCGAACGTCGCTGAGTCGGGCTGCACAAGATGGCCATACGGAGGTTGTTAAAGCTCTCTTATGTGATGGCCGAGTTAATCCAGACCGAAAAGACAACTATGGCCAAACGTCGCTGAGTAAAGCTGCACAGAATGGCCATACGGAGGCTGTTAAAGTTCTGTTATGCGATGGCCGAGTTGATCCAAACCGACAAGATAGGCAAGGCCAAACGCTGCTGAGTTACGCTGCAAAGAATGGCCATGCGGAGATTGTTAGAACTCTGCTATGTAATGGCCGAGTTGATCCAGACAGACAAGACAGGCAAGGCCAAACGCCGCTGGGTTACGCTGTACGGAATGGCCGTATCGAGGTCGTTAAGACTTTGTTGTGTGATAGCCGAGTTGACCCAGACCGACAAGACAACTATGGCCGAACGCCGCTGAGTTGGGCTGCACAGAATGGCTATACGGATGTTGTTAAAATTCTATTATATGATGGCCGAGCTGATCCAAACCGACGAGACATGGAAGACGAAACACCGCTAAGTTACGCTGCAAAAAATGGCCATGTGGAAGTTGTTCGAGCTCTGTTATCTGATGGCCGAGTTGATCCGGACCGACAAGACAAGCAAGGCCGAACGCCGCTGAGTTGGGCTGCACGGAATGGCCACACGGAGGTTGTCAGAGCACTGTTATGTGATGGCCGAGCCGACCCAGCCCAGCAAGATGACAAAGGCCGAAAACCGCTGAGCTATGCTGCACTGTATTACCATATGAAGACTGTTATGGCGCTGTTATTCCATGGCCGATATAGGTCAATAGGATAGTCAGGACTCATCTTAGACTGGTGTCATACCTTCGGATATTGTTTAGTTAGCTCATCTATAAAAGCCTCATTTCTCTCATATAGTAAGTAATATCTCCTTGCCCTTCCCATCCTGACTCTAGACTGTCTTGCTCCTCTTGAAGTATCTAAGATGTTCGGAGAGTAGATGATATCATAAGTTTCTGTCTGGTGTTTGTGATTGGTATCCAACATTGGGTGGATGCGTATTCTGCTGATATTTGGAGGAGGTAACTAGATTATTATCATCTGACTGGCAGGCGAGCTTTTTGAACCAGAAAGCTGCAGGTAGTTGAGACTGAAGACCGAAGGTTCGATGTTTCATGCTCCGAGTTTTGACATAGCGGTTCATAGCTTGGAAGTAGATTGCACACCTGCTGTAAAGTCTGAGAAAGTGAGTAGGAGCAGGTATGAAAGCGGTAGAGGAAGACTAAAGAACAATGTGAAGGCGTGCAAGGTATAGTCACCAATGATAAGGCCAGAGCCGCTCTTGCTCACAGCTATTCATGGCGAAGGGTAACGACTGGGTAGCCTGATGGTTGCCTTGTGTGACTTTGCTCATGCGATGAAAGCTGATTCAACGCATGTATCGTTACTGCTCTTATAACATGACCCTTGCACTATCTCTCTTCTCCAGCTTTCAATCTCGTCTTTTAGAGGGCAAATATGAACAGGCAGATGCCAAACCTTTAGGGCCTACCCACTGACTCTCACAGTCCTTTTGCCACTTCTCTCCCCAGACAAGCCCTATTTACCTAGTACACCTCAGCTCCAGCAGTTAATAAATTACCAAACTATGGCTTTTCCCCTTTCCTTCCAACAACTCTAGGTGGCTCAGTCCTGTGAGCCTCTTTCCCAGTTCGGAAACCAGTGTAAGTCTCTGAGAGCTTCCTCTTTCAACACTTTGTATGTCAGATATGAGGATTTTTGTTGGTTCCACGAATGCCAAACGAGGTCTCCTGTCCCTCCAATGTTCTGCTCATGTTAGTTTGTGTTGGACTTATAGAGGTCTCTGGTTCTGCCCTAGCGGCTATCCCGAATTTTGATCAGCATTGCTCTCTCATTCCACCTCTCCCACTGCTTGCAAGAAGATCATCCACGACTGACAGGAAGATGGGATGAAAATTCCAAGAATCGGAAGTCATGATCACAGATGCATCAAGACGCCGAGCTAAACTGCTAGAGCAAGGAGAGAGTCAAACAAGCAACTCAATTCCAAAGATCATATTTTCCCCTCCATCCGCCCGTTTTGCTATGAGACAAGTTTAGTAACTGGAAGAACCGACCTCCATCAGAAAACGCCATCCTTTATATGCACTGAGTGTCCTTGTCCCCCCCTCCGCCCTCCTACCATGTCCCCATGTCCTAATGTGCAACGCACGTTTGTGATGATCAAGCTGAAAGAGCAAACGTGTACATACTCCAGGTGATAGGATACTCTTTCTCCTTTCCCAACTTCTTCCTTTCTTTTTCGCAGTTTCTCCTCCCATTCCTTTATTATTCGTGGAATACGAACTCTCCCTGAAAGCTCCCTCCCGGACTCAACATAATCGTAACTCTCCCAATAATTATCCCTTCATCCCCATAACCGGTCTCTCCTCCCTATCCTTCTCCTCCAACTGATCCATACACTCATGCAGTTCCCTCAACATCCTCCACGTATCCTCCACCATAGCAGCTGTTTCCTCCCTCCCCAGTACCGACACCGTCGGGACACCTGTCGGCGTTGTACTCGGCGAGGCCGCCCGTGCAGCCGCCGCTGCCTCAACAGTCGTAAACGGCCTAACCGCCAGCGGCGGGGGCGGCGAGGACTCAGGCTGATGTTGCTGGTACTGGGGAGGCAGCGGAGGGCGAACAAATGTCGGGGTGGTAGAAGAAGAGTTGTGGTGGTGGCTCCAGCTTCGAGTGGGCGTATCGTTGAGGTTGAGACGCTTACGCGACGTCGAGATCGGGGAGTAGCCTCTTGCTTTGGCGTCAGCTTCCTTGTCGGAGGGTGAGCATCGCGATGCACGCTCTTCGTCAAAGGCGGCGGTGTTAGCGTCGCGTTTGCGCTTCTGGTGCAGGGTAACTTCCTGCTGTTGGAAGGGATCGGTTGGGTGCAGAGGGGAATGAGTGCCGAGGTCGATGCTGTTGCGCAAGCCCTTGCTGCGTTGTTCTTTGTATTCTTTTAGCTTAGCCAGACGGGCGCGCAGTTCGCCGGTTGAGAGCTTGGTAGGTGACTCCTCGCGCTGGAAAGGAAACTCGGGCTCATCATCGTCTTGCTGTTGCTCTTGCAGCTGCCGTAGTTGCTCCTCGCGCCGCTTCCGTTCGTCTTCTTCTTTCCGCTGGCGCTCGGCCTGCTCTCTGCGCAGCTTTGCGACAGCCTCTGGAAGCCAAGCGCCATCGGGCATGGGGACAAACCCGCGAGCGCGCAGTTCCCAATGCCGAGACTTCGACAAACTGCCAATGGCACTCGAGATGCTCGCAACCGACGACCCAAACAACGCCCTCCTCTTCCTCGCCGCGCCACCAAGACTCATAGTATCAATCTCATCACCTGACAACTCCTCCGAATTCCTCTTCCGTGCAGCAGCTGCAACAGAAAAGTTAGTAGCCCTTCCATTGACACTACTCCCAACCGATGAACGCAGCGACTGCCGGAAGCTGTTCAGTCCATCAGCCGAAAACGTGCCCGACAAACTCCGCCGGCCATCAAACTTCGGCACGCCAATACCCAGTTTCTCACGCAGCGAACGCGTCTTCCATCCCTCACGCCGGCCGCCAATGCTGCTAGCAGTATCGGACCCATGATGTGAAGGCGCAGGCTCGAGCTCAAGATCCGACTCAGGATACCGAAAGGTCGATCGAGATGGCGTGACCGACGCGGCATCGGTCACTGCATAGCTGCCATTCATCTCAGCAGCGCGTGCTTCGCGCACAACACTACGCGCAATCGCATGCGGATCCTCATTCAACCCAGAAAAGATGCCGCTCGCAACCAATTGCTCCTCAGTCTGGTCGGCGCTGTAGGCCATGCTGCTGGCGCGTCGCGCACGAATCTGGGATGCGAGGAAGCTGAAGTGCTGGGCGTCTTCCATGATTTCGCGCTTGGCCTTTCTGCGAGCTTCCTCTTCCGCCTTGCGCTGTTCTTCAAGCCGTTGTTTTTGAAGCAGGCGTTGTTGTTCGCGGTAAAGGCGCATCTTTTCTTTGCCCTCGCGCAGTAAGCGCTTTGTGGCAAGAGCGCGTGCCTTTTCGCGCCAACGGTAAAAGTACTTAACCTGCAACCGATGTGTAAGGTGCTCCCGAGCCAGGCGCCATGATTCCTCCTCTTCGGCCTTGCGCTTTCTTTCGGCTTCCTCACGCTGGTGACGCTGCCAAACGTCCCAGAGCAGGTGACGTAATGTTTCCTCAGTAAATTCTTCCATGATGCCTCCGTCTCCCGTGACAAACCATTTCGTGAAATCCGCCATTAGATCCCGCTTAGGCTTAGGAGGTGGCGGCGGCTCTTGAGGTTTGGTCGGGGATGCTGCAGGCTTGATAGAAGCAAACAGCGATGGTTGTGATGTCGAGGCGGGAGGAAGGGGTTGCTGTCCGAAGATTGCAGGCAGCGCTGCAGGGAGAGTAGGCTTACTTTCGGCTGACGTGGCCGGAGTCGAAGTGGGAGGTGGTGTGACCGTGATAGATGGGATGGATGCTGAAGTGACAGGTTGCTTATCTGCCGACTTGGTTGGCGTTGCCGTCGGGAAGAGAGAAGAACCACCTGCAGGAGCTGCCCCGAACTGGTAAGTCTGAGTTGAAGCGGTCGGTTTTGTCGTAGCATCGAATGTCGTAGTGGTAGAGATAGAAGGTGTTGGGGTGGCAGCGCTACCAGAGAGCGTCGAGGTAGAAGGAAAGACAAACGATGTAGAAGGTTGTTTTGCTAGGACGTCGTTGTTTTTGAGGAAAGAGAAAGGATTCTTGTCAGCAGTCTTTGGGGACGTAGTTGTCGAACTGGTAGCTGCTTGTTCGGGTTGCTTGGGAGGTTCAGCAGGAAAATTCGGCTTGGGAGCAGCAGCCGGAGTGGTGGTCATGGTCGTGGTGGTTGGTTGGCTCAAGGAAGAGAAGGGACTCTCCGTGGTAGCGGGCTCGGCAGGCTTGCCGAAGCCTCCAAACACGCTTGTGGTGGTTGTCGAGCTCGCCGGCTGTGAAGACTGGGCGCTTCCAAAGGCCGACAGCTGGCTCGTTGTGCCTGTGCTTGATGTGGCTCTAAGCTGGGGAGTGCTGGATGTTGTCGGAAAGCTAAAGATTGATGAGGCCACTGTCCCTGTCGACGGCGCAGCTGTCGTTGATGCCGCCGAAGGGGCATTGAAAAACGACGGGGTAGTCGTAGAAGGAGCGCCAAAAACAGACCTCGTCAGCTCCGGAGACTTCTGGCTGACAAATAGACTATCCGGACTGCCATCATCATCGATCGACCCGGCCGGCTTCTCCGACATCTCCTCGTAGACGGTGTTGTAGATAACGAAAGGTAGTGGCTGCCCTTGACGCTTCCTCTCCACAATCTGAGCCGAAAACGACTGACGTACACGGGGCGATGGCACAATCTTCTTTTTCTGGTTGAGAAGGAGATATGGTTCCTTGACCTCAGGCTTCCCGTCGGGGACCCAGGTCGTGAACTCGAACTCGTGGAGCTCGGCAAACTCGACAGCCTCCTCAGGTGTGTCGAAACGCAGCATGGCGTTGAGATCAGAGGCTGTGATAGTTCTCGGGGCATCGCGGTGGCGGGCGTAGCAGCGAACCAGGTTCCGAAGGATACCCTGGCGTACCGTGGTGAAGTGGATTTCGGCAATGCAGGCCATGGTGTAAGACACGCGGGGGTCCTCGACAATGGCGAAGTAGTTTGTGAAGGAAGTATCCGAAAGAGTTGTCCCTTTCCGGGGCTTGATAGGACCCTTGGGTTCTCGGACATCCTCCATCGTGTGGATAAGAGACAGCGCGGTCTGCACCTCCTCCGACTCAAACCAGTACTCCTTGCCCCAGGTAGGTATCCGTTTTGCTATGGCGGGGTCACCAGCATTCAGGAGCAAGTAGTACGCCCTGAACTCGGGCTCGTTTTCGCATGGGACCTTCATGTCCCTGCAAACATCATAGGCCTCCATCAGCGATAGGATGGTGCGGCCGAGCTGCTCAATCTCCTGCTTCTGGTCGAAGTCCTCATTGGCGAAGCCTTTCCTCGATAGCAGGTGAAGAGCGATGGCGTGGAACCGGGCGATGGCTTCGAAGCAGTAGACCATGTCCTTCATCTCCTCGGCCGTCTTCTGCGAGTGGAAGGTGAAATCCTTGCGAACGGCTCTCGTCCGATCCCAAAGGAAGTTGTGCATGGCAGGTAGGTTGTTCTCGGATTGCAAGAGGTCATTAAATAGGTAGTCGGTCGTCCTCCGAAGCGCGTCAACGGTACGCACATCCATGGGCAGGGGCGCATCTTGACCGGCAGCTGAGCGACCAAACTTCTTCACCATCTTGGCCGGATCGGGCCACAGAGTATGGCCATCAGGACCGACCGACTTCTCCTCCGTCATGACATCGTACTCAGCAATACGAGACACCTGTTCAAACTCTGGGCACATATCCTCGCAGATGCCCTTGAAAGGCAGAGCATCCTCGAGCTTTCTCCTCTTTTCCGGATCGTCGATCTTGTCGGCTTTTCTCAGTGAAGCATATACACGGGCGCGGTACTTCTTATAAGCTTCTTTGAGGCTCTCAATAGCACCGCGCTTGTTCGGATTACCGGGCTCGGCCGGCCATTGCGGGGGATTGATGTTCTCTTTCTTCAGGTGTCCCAAGAGGTCGTTCGCATATTCATACGCAAAAGTCGACAGCTCTTTGGTCCGCTCAGTCGGTTCGCGCATCGGGCCATTCTTGTTGCCGTTAACCTGGGAAGTGGGTTGGAAGCGCACCTGACGCTCTGGCTTCTTATTCTTTTCTCCTGGTTTGGCCTTCTTCGTGAACTTCTCGGTCTCTTGGCCGGCAATCTTTTTCAAAGTTGACTTCAGATCCGCAAACGGAGTGGCTTCCTGGGAGTTCCGGTTCGTTCGCCCAGCAAAACCAGTTGTATTAGCGTTATTAGTCGCTTTATTTGCGGCTGGCGGCTGCGACTTAAGCCCGCCGAAACCCTTTCCCTTGCTCTTGCGACCGCTCATGGCGTCTGAGTCACTCTCTTCTGACGCTTGTGCTCTTTTACTCGGAGCTTGAGTTCGTTGTCGGGTGTCGAAAGGTGATGGTGTTCGTTTCTTGCCACTAGGCCCCTGGGGAGCGCCGACGAGGTTGGCTTGTTGCCTGCCAGACTGATTCTGACGACCAGCAGGAGACGGCTGGCGACTCGACCCTTTTGACTGGGGTGCGGAACCAGCAGGCGTACTGCCAAATGCAGACGTCTGGCCGGATGCGGCTCCGAATGGATTCGCAGCGGCCAAGGAAGACCCGTTCCCTGCGGTTGGAGCGCCGAACGGTTTGTTCTGGGCGTTCTGAGCGGAAGCACCGAAAGGGTTCTTGATCGGGGCACCGAACGGATTCGCGGCCGGTGCACCAGATGGTTTCGCAGAAGACGCACCGAAAGGATTGTTGGATGAGGGCGCGCCGAAGGTACTTTGTGCTGGCGCTCCGAAGACGGATGAACCTTGATTAGACGGGGCTGGAGAGGCGAAAGGGTTGTTGACCTGCGCTGGAGGCGCCCCGAAGGGATTGTTAGCTGGCGCCATCATGGTGAGCGAGGCAAGGCATTGGCGATCGGAGGTTTCGAGGGGAAGATAAACGGGGGGGGCCTGGGAGAGTCGCTTCGCAGCGTGACCGGCGCGGCGGAGAAATCGACGTGTCGCGGGAAGAAGAGAGTGTTTCGGTGTGTCCCAACGAAGACGATGGTGAAGACGAAATCTTTACCAGAGGTTTCGGAGAAGAAACGCACTCAGCCGTCTATTAATCGCCTCTCGAGGGTGTAGGGTGTAGGGAAAGGAGTGATGATTCGAGATGGTAAGCGTGGAGTCGTGGATCGCGATTCGCGGAGCGCACGACGCCCCCTACGTTTCCGACCAGAATCGACGCAGCGGCAGCGGCAGCATGGGCGCAGGCGAATGCTGACGCGCGCGCTGATGGATTGACAGGCTGGTGGTCGACGTGGGAATCACTTAGCTGTGCTTTTCGAGATGCGAGTTGGCGTTGGAGATGCTCAGAGGAGCACCTGCTATTCCAGCTCCTGCAAAGCCAGGACCCGCGTCTGCGGCTTTGTTGAATTAGACCCATCGTTCTAAGCGATTTTGCCATGCCAATCTGGGCGGTGAGCTGTAAAGTGGGGCTGCATTCGTGCATCCGTCCGTTACAGAGAAAGGAGGGGGGGGGGGGGCTTGGCTAATACGGTATTTTACACAAAAATTACGCACATGAAGTTAGGGAGAGAACACGACGTTGACATCAATAAAGACTGCTTACAAACGGTACAATATGGTACACGAAAGCGGAAAAATGGGTCAATGGAGATTATCTATTGTGTATTTTGTGTAGCTGGCTTTCTAAACTTGCCCTGTATCCAGCACCGGTACATCTTGAGCTTCTTGGCGCGGTTGACGAGCAGGCGATGGTCGACGGCCAAGTTCTCAATCTCGAAACTAAACGGCACACCTTCCTTTTCGTCTGCGTCGCCATTCTCCTTAGCGAACTTCTTACCGGTCCAGATATCAGCCAGCTCTTCCTTCTCAAAGAAGTAGACGCGTGTGCCGTCGCCGCGAATGTAGAAGTTCTCCTCGAGGTATCTGCCTTTCCTAAACCGCACCTGGGCGAGGTCTCCTCTTCCATAGTCGCGGAAGCATACCTCGCCGCCGGGCTTGAGCACGCGATACACATTCTCGACAGCCTTCTTCCACTGTTTGGGAGAGAGGGCGGAGAAGATGAAGATCATGATGGCCACGTCCACCGAGTTCTCCTCAAGGCCGGGGGGCAACTCCTCGCCAGCCACGTCCCAGACGTCGGCCTGCATGAGCTCCGGGTTATAGGACTCGTGGTTACGCATCACCTCAACCGCCTTTTTGGAGAAGTCGCAGGCATGAAGCTTCAACTGCGGGTTCTTATTCTTAGCCAGGATGGGGAACGCGGTGTTGCCAGCCCCGGCGCCTATTTCGAGGATCACCTTCGGCCCGGCGTCTTCCCGCGTCACCTGCTCCAAAACCGGGAACTCCTGCTGCAACCACTTGCGATCCTTAAAGAAGTGGGATGTGTTGTTCTGGTAGAACCGGTTCCACCACTTGGCTGGATCCGAATTGAAACGGTCTACTTTCGAGTTAGCCATGCATGTTTCTTGACGGAAGAGGCATTGACAACGAAAAGACGAGAAGTGCGCATCAGATGGGAGCGAAAGACTAGAAACTACAAGGTTGTCTTCATGAAAGCTCAGATGAACTATGCTTATTTTTGTAAATCATCACAAGCGCCGGGTAGAATGCCTGCAAACGGAGAGGAAAGGAAAGAAGACTCACACTTACGCTTATCAAACTCTGACACGGGCGCCGCCCGCTGCATAGCGTACTGCTGTTCAGCGTATGCCTTGTACGCATCGTCCGTCTCGACGTGATCCCACGCGTTGAACTCGAACACGTCGTCCTCTTCAGTTAGGTAGCGCGACCCGAACTGGAATGGGTCGCTACGCTTCTGGTTATTTTTGGGATCATGGGAGCGGTGCGGGGGAACCTGCATTTGCTCCTCCTTGTTCTGCTCCTGCTTCTGCTCCTGCTTCTGCTCCTGCTTCTGCTCCTGCTTCTGCTCCTGCTGGTCAGAGGAAGGGTCCTCCGCTATTTCGAGCGAGGCTATCTCAGCAGCCAGCTGTTTCTCTGCCACAGCAGCCGGGGCCGCGGCGGCCGGAGCGGGGGAGTCGGTCGTCATATTGTTGCTGAGTGCTGGGCAGCAATTATGTGAATTTAAAAAAAAATCAAGTGAATGTTCCGCAGCGCCTGGTTGAGGGCAGCTAAGAGTTGCCGCAGGTCATTGAACGGCGCTTGCGGAGTTGTGTGTCTGGCGCATCTTCTCAAACGAGAGGGGCAGGCTCGACTATGCAGACATGAGGAAGAAAAGAATTTTGGGGGGGAGAAGCGAAAATCCGATGCTAAAAATTCGGTTGCCCAATGTGGGGTCAAAACCAGCCCCTGTCTTCACCAGGGCGGGATTTGCACTAGCCCAATAGGGAAGTACTTTTGGCCTCCTACTTTATATGCTCGAAGTTTTCGAAATTGAGATCCAACATCTATCGAATGACCTTCTAACTTGATACAACAATTCCGAATGCATCACTCTAAGCTTTCTTCGCCGCCCTCTTCCTCTCGATACGCTCCAGCTCCATGTCAATCCGCTTAAAGCTCCAGCTCTTCCAGAAAGGCGGATAGAGGAACGGGCGCAAGTCGAAGCGGTTGTCATCAGGAGCTGCCAATGTTGTCAGCATATCATCCCTCCCTTCAACGTCTGGGTCGCTTACAATAGTCATTGCAATGCAGTGCCGGAGTTAGAGTGGTCATCTTATGCCCTGTTTTGCCGTTAGCCAGCCATATAGACTCACTCATTTTTCCTTTTTGCGGAAAGACTTACGGTTAATAGCATAGAAGTGGAAAAACTTCTTGACCTTATCCGCAACCTCCCTCGGCGTATAGAACGGAGCATCATCTCCAGGGACCTTCTCGCGATCAAGGCTCCAGTCATGCACCAGCCGCTGGAACATAGCGAAGGGACCAAGCTTGTTGAGCTTGCGCAGCCGTCCAAAGATGGTCAGCTCCTGATAGGTCATGCCCATGTCTGCCTCATCACTCTGAACATAGTTCTCGGTGATGGGTTCCAGCTCGGCAGTCGGGACAGCCGTCAGGAAGTCATGCAGGCAAGGGAGGTCAAAGTTCTTCTCGGCCCAAGCAATGAAGCGCTTCAAGTCGGCCTTGTCAATCGAGCCGATGGGATTGATATCGGCGCTCGAGCAGTCATACTTGGTCAGGTAGCCACGAAGACTCTCGCCAACGTTGGCACTGCCCAGAATCAGGAGGCTGCCACCGCCTGGTCTCCCCCTGGCCGTGGGTAGGATCTGGCCAAACTCGTACGCTGTCACCATCCTGATTCTGGCCTGAAGGCACTGCAAGGTAAGGTTTTCCTGGACGGTGCCGCCCTCGACCTTGAACTTCGGTTCGAAGTTCAATGCGTTGATGATAAGCTTCTTTTGCGCCTCATAGACCTCGTCGATGTCAATGTTGACATGGTAGCTGCCGATGGCGTCGGAGAGATCGCGCGCGCGCTGCCGGGTCTCCCGAGAGCTCTGCTTCTTCATGCCCATGTAGATGGTGGTGAAGACCTGATTGCACAGCTCTTGTGGGGTGTTGGGCAACACTCCTTCACCCTTGTAGCGCGCAATGCGCTTGACATCTTCGATGACCTGCTGATTTCCCTCCCGCACTGCTTGCATGACGATGCGGCACATGGAGTACACGATCACTAAAAGTTGTCAATCCATGGCTCTGAGTTTCAAGTTTGAGGCCTACGCATACCTGCGGTGGCACAAGAGTCGATACCGCCGCTCAGAGGAACTAAGTAACCAGCAGCACCGGAGCGGCGGAGATACTGTCGACTTAAGTCAGCATGAGAGCAGATAAGTCGTGGACGATCCACTCACATCCCAGAGATAGCAACCGCCACACAAAGCAATCTCCTCCTCGACGGAATGGAAGCGGGGCTGGATGGGCAGGGTCGGGGCCACGCCAACGTCCATGTCCTCATCCTCGGAGCTCAGCTCGAATGGCGTCTCAATACGCTTGTACTTGGCATTGGAGGTTGCAGCCTGGAGACCGCGAGAGATAGCAGCCCGGTAGGACCGGACTTCGTCAAGGTCGACGGTAGCGGTGACGACCTCGACGTCGTTGAGGCTGAACTGAGAGCCTTGGGCAACTGTCGTACGGTTAGGGGGGCTCAGGGGTAGCTGGGCGGACCGACGTACCGATGTCACCGTTCACTAGAAAAACGTTAGCACCGACAGTTTCTGGAATTGTGTACAAGGATCGACTTGCCGACAATCATAGCACAACCGTCGAAGTACAGGCGTTCACCACTACTGTCGTCAGACTCGTAATAGTAAATAGAAGGTGGGCACAGCATACTCGCAACCCTGCTGGTTTGCATACTTTAGGATAGTCAGCATCCGTCCAAAGCCAAGTCATAAGATGAACCACATACAAGATAGACACCACCAGATTTCCTGGTGGCCTCCATGATCAACTGGAGGCGAGTATCAAGCTTCCTCAATGTGACTTCCCGCACATTTAGCCCACAAGCGTTCTCTCATAAGGCTGCTGGTCACACATACAGTGGCTGCCACTCGAGTTCGTAAAGATTTCAACCTAAGTAGGAATCAGTAAAGAACAACTGAGAGTCTTCTACATGACACTTACACCATCGAGAGCCATATCCTAGCAAGAAGTTAGCCCAAACAACAAAGTTCACGTCGTGAGTTAGCTCAAGCACGTACGATATGAGGAGCTTTTGGTGTAAACAGTTCTTCCTGTCAAACTGTGAGCAATCATCCAATTTATTACCGTGCGAGACACCTACGCAAGTTTCTGCTCCGATGCAGGTCTCCGGGGTAGAGATGACGGCATCGCCAAAGAGAACGTGAGTCTCTCCCTGAACCTCAGCCAGCATCTTAGGCAGGTGGAAGAGTTCAGTCTCACGGGGACGCATCCAAGGTGTAAAGTGACGCATTTCCCTGTAGTTGCCGTCATTTGCAAGCCACATCTTGGGTCTCTAAGAGCTTTGTTAGCAAGAACCAGGCTTCCTCATAGACTGCTGACATACGATCAAGAGAATCTTCCCGTTGAGGCCTAAAATAGTCAGCTGTGAGTCAAGTATTCTCTAACACCAAAGCACTCACAGATGACCCGGCAGTTGTATCTCACATTGCGATGCAGCACGGGCATGCCCACATCGATGATGATATCGTGACAGCTCTTGTCCAGCAGCAAACGGCGAAGCATTTCCATGCTATGGGTGTAGACGTCCAATTCATGGAAGTGGTCCAAGCTGGAGTAGCCGCAGATCTCGAGTTCCTTGATACGTTTGTGAGCTTGCCGTCTCCGCAGCCATTGGCGTCAGTTGCGGGACTTACAGGCCCGACACGCAGGCGGGCGCCCGCGGCCTTCGCCTTATGGATAGACTCGATGATCCGGGAGAGGTTGCCCTCCCACTATGAGCGCGCATGAGGTCAACAGTCAAATATTGATATCTGAGGATGGCATATGTTGTGCTGCCGGCCACTCACATCAAGAACCCACTGGTTCAGATTGCAGGTGGCAACCGTGACGAGATGGGGCATGGTGAAGACAGGATACGATCACAGCTGATCCAATTGACGACCGTAGACAGCAAAAACAGCAGAAACAGCACTGGTGAGAGGAATTGACGCGATAATCTCAGCTGTTGTCTGTTTCGGAATATATGATGACACTGCGGAGCAATTACGGTAGATAAGCAGCTAGAGAGCTACGATTACGGTGGATGGAGATGGATCCCCGGCGGTTGGGCTCTTCTCCGCATGCCGTTTCAAACTTCACCGGACCGTTTTGCTTTCAGCACATTACAAAGAGCAGAGGAGAGGCTTGTAAAACTGTTTTAATATCTCGGGTTCATGAACAGCAGATTTGTATGATCAGTCGAAATGTTAACGTTTTGCTCCCTTTCAGTCAGCGCTTCAGCGATGAATTTTTTTTATTGTACATTGTTTTTTTTTCTGTCTGCTCTTGCTGCGCTGCCCCTCCCCCGCCTTGACAGACCTCGGAGATGGTAGTTATTGCCTGACAGTTTCGGTTAGCTTCACTGTTCGGATATCATGTTTCAAGGTCAATCGGACGCTTAACAATATCGACCTGAGGCACCTCTCCAATGTCTACAGGGCAATATTGACAAGGAGAGTATTATTGGAAATGACAAATGAATTTTAAGTGCATCAAGCCTCTCTACTATGCTTATAACTAACTTCTATTTCGGGCCCAAAGGCTTTATTCGGTAAATCTTTTAGTCTCCGGACCTACGGACTTAGCTCGGCGTCCCTCTCTTTAGGCCTAGTCTCAATAACAAGCCAGGGGCATCGGCAAAAGTTGTGGGACAGGACGAACGTGGGTTCGTCGGAATAAACGCGATCACAGTTGCCTCAGCACTCGACAAGAACGTTTTCAGGACAGCAATGGAAGGGCAATAATAACGTCGGCGACATTGCGACCGATTCTCATCGACTACGCGACCAAGGAAAAAGCATGAAAATCCCCCTGCGACAGCTCTGAGCCAGCACAATCCCTTCATCCCTGACCGCATCCACTCCGTCTTCAGTTGCAATGCCGCCCCGTCTACTGCCTTTCCTCCGCCGCCCGCAATCTCTCCTCTCCTCCAGACCGACTCAACTTCTCTCTCAAATACCAACCTTCTCGCCAACCTCACACCCCGGCCCGACCACTCAATCTCCTTCCATCCTCTCACGAACCCCTCGCCGACCCTCCACAACCTGGCTCCTCTCCGCGCTCTCCTCCCTCGCCCCCTCCCCCGGAGGAGCGCCCCGTCCACCACCCCCTAAAACCCTCCGCGCGCGCCGTGTCCTGCCCTACCCCCCCACTCACATCTACCGCCTCATCGCCGACATCGACAGCTATCGCCTCTTCTTGCCACACTGCACTCATTCCCTCGTCACGAGGTGGACAAGGCCCCTTCCAACATCACAGAATAATGGAAATGGGGGAGAAGGGACGGAATTGCCGGTTCGGCATCCAGTCTTAGCCGACCTGACAGTAGGCTGGGGCCCGTTCACACAAACCTACACCTCCCGCGTCTACTGCGTACCAGGGGAGATAGTTGAGGCCGTGTCTGGCTCCGCTTCAACAACCATCCCGCGGGAGATTCTCAAAGCAGTGGGATATGAGGATGCCGATCTAAGCCGAGAGACGACGATGGAAGGGGTGTTTGAAAGCTTGGTGACCAGGTGGACTGTCGAACCTGTTACAAGGTCGGCGGCGGCGGTGGCGACGACGACGATACCAAGGTTGACAACAGAGGTGGCGGGGAGTGATGGGGTGTGGACGGAGGTTGCGCTTAGCGTGACGTTCCAGTTTACGAATCCGGCGCTCGGGTTCGCGGTGGGCCAGTTGGCAGATGATAAGGTGGATGAGATGGTGCAGGCGTTTGAGCAGAGGGCGAGGGAGACGTATGGGAGGTAATTCTAGATGTTGTAGGGGGAATGTTGAACTGGGGGTTGTATAAACACATCGGCATGTATCACTATGATAGACCATAGACCATATGTATGTATCTACTAGACCATTTGTACCGGTGTTTTGTATTTATTCGGGTATTCTTGAGGTCTCTGGAGTTTTAACTCTGCGATCAAAGAAGAGAACAAATGGGGGTATAGAGAAGACGATAGAAGATAGATCAATGTGAAAATCTGGTAGGTAAAAGGACAGTGTATAGGCAAAGAGAACGGATTGAAGACGAAGACAAAAGCCAAAAAAAAAGCCTTCTAGAACAAAAATACTCCTGTCACACTAAGAAATGAACACACAGATACCCAAGGGACTCGACAATCTTGCGCCGGCCAGATCCATGGATATCTAATCCGCCTTTTGCGCCGCTTGATAATGTTCCGTTGTCCTTGGCAACACAGCTTCCATTATCTCTCCAGTCCAACCGAACACCATACCGTGCTCTCCCCTGCCTACTGTCATCCAACTCTACCTGCCATGCAATCCTCGATCATCCATCTATTCCCACAGGTTACCAGTCATACATCATGCCATCATCCGTCATCAGTCATCTCATCATCCATCAGTCATCCCTTCTCTTCCCAAAGCTGCAAGCAAAATTTTCTGTGAATAATATCCAAATGAGAAACAAAAGAACCAAGAAAGAAGCAAACGACGAGGTATCAAACAGATAGCCATCTCAACCAAACTTGCAACAGATGAATCTCCACAAACCAAACATGCAGAGGAACCAAAAGATAGACAGAGGGCTATGCTTGTTAGACGAAGCAATGCTGAGTCTAGCAAGTAAGCAACCTGACAAAGCACGAATAGCGATGTCTATTCCGGACACTGCATATCTTGTCTGGCATGTTCGTCCATGTCGAAACCACAGCGAACTGCTCGTTGTCAGCATCCTTACTCACCCAATGTCATCGTTTAATGCTTCTTCCTATCCAATCAGTCAGCTTTCTCACTCATTCTGACAGCCATAAGAACCACAGCAACCTACTTCTTCGTGGGCTTAGCTACAGGCTTAGCACCCGCCATCCATCCGAGCACCGGGCTGGGCTTGATCTTCTTCTCCTTGGCCTTTGCCGGAGGCACGACATCAACAATATTTGGCCGTGCCACAGGAGGCATACCCGGCGGGGGCGGGGGTGGGGGCGGCATACCACCCATGGCAGGGGTCCAACCGGCAGGAGGCTGCGGAGGACGGGGAGCAGTCCCGTTAGGGCGGACAAAGGTCGTGGAGATTCCGGGAACAGAAGTAGCACGATGGTGGTGATGGCCTGTACGCTGGCCATTGACAGCCTGGGCCTGTGCTTGGGCCTGAACCTGGGCGGGAGTGATACCAGGGGGAACGGGAGGACCAGGCTGCTGAACACGGGCCTTCTCGGTCGGCCACATCACCATAGTGATCTGCCAGTCAGGCTGAACAACTTTGTCCCAAACCATAGGGAGGATGACCTCGCCGTTGGGGCCGATCAAATCATAGTGTCCTTCCTGGACTGCCGGGCCAATGGGTTCGATGTGGAGGAAGGCCTGCTTGATGAGATCCTCCATACCCTACGAGAACCGTTAGCACGTTCAAATAATGAATGGACAGCAGAGCAACGTACCTGCCAGGTGCAAGCAATGTTCCAAGGGAACTCAAACTTGCGGCCAATGGCATCCTTGAACTTGATGGGCGGCTTCTCCTCCTGCTTCTTCTCCTCCTCAAGCTTCTTCTTGGTCTCTTCCTCAATCCTCTTCCGCTCAGCCGCCTCGGCCTTCTTGCGCTCTTCCTCAGCCTTCCTCCTCTCCTCCTCTTCCCTCTTTTCACGCTCAATACGCTCGAGGGTCTCTTTCTCGGCCTTCGCCTTCGCTTCGGCCTCGATCCTGGCAATCCTCTCGGCTTCCGCCGCGGCAGCGGCAGCAGCTGCCGCCTTTGCCTCTTCCTCGGCTTTGCGGGCCGCCTCGAGTTTTTCGCGCTCCTCGCGAAGAGCAGCCTCAAGCTTAAGCTGTTGCTCCTTCATAGCCGCCTCAAGCCTACGCTGATGTTCTTCCTCAATGCGCTTGAGCTTCTCAGCTTCCTCGGCAGCCTTCCTAGCAGCAGCCGCCTTTGCTTCTTCCTCGGCTCTACGGGCCGCTTCCATCTTCTCACGTTCTTCCCGAATGGCAGCCTCAAGCTTCGCTTGCTGCTCCTTCATAGCTGCTTCAAGCTTTCTCTGGTGCTCTTCCTCAATGCGCTTGAGCCTTTCCGCCTCCTCAGCGGCCCTCTGGGCAGCTTCTTGCTTGCGTTTTTCCTCAGCCTTAAGCTCGGCTTGCAGTCTTTCCCTCTCTTCGCGAAGGGCCTGCTCAAGCCGAGCCCTGGCCTGGGCTTCAGCCAGGGCTGCGGCCTCAGCTTCACGCTTTTTGCGTTCTTCAGCGGCCCGCAGCTCGGCCTCAAGCTTCCTCCTGGCTTCTTCCTCGAGCCTCTTTCGGGTCTCTTCCTCCTGCCGCCTCCGCTCCTCAGCAGCCCTAATTTCAGCCTCCAACTTTTCGCGGGCTTCGCGCTGGAGCCGCGCCATCTCTTCTTCCTGGCGCTTGCGGGCTTCTTCAGCAGCCTTGCGCTCTTCTTCAAGACGAGCAAGAGCTTGCTGTTGGGCTTCGAGGCGTAGGCGTTCCAGTTCCAGCCGTCTTTCCTCTTCCTCCTTCTTCCTCCTTTCTTCTTCTTGCTTTTGCCGCTCCAATTCTTGTCTTAACTTCTCTTCAGCCTCCTTTCGTGCCCTTTCCTTGAGCTCCTCCTCTTCCTTTCTCTTCCTTTCCTCCTCCTCCTTCAGCTTAAGTGCCTGCATTTGTGCTTCGAGCTGCTTTTTCATCTCCAATACTTCCGGAGGAAGCTCGACCTCCTTCTTCTTCTTTTCTTTTTCAGGCTTAGGAGTAGACCGGTCTCCAACTTCTGTTGGCGGAGGAGGAGGGGCGTTGTACATATAGTGCTGGAGGTGCCCAGGCATACCAAAGGGACCAGGGCCACCGGGGCCGTAGTAAGGATTTATCGCCTGCGACCCGTAATGCATGAGATCATACGGGTGGTGGCCACGAGGGTCGCCGTAGTAGGGGACACCGCTGCGGCGTGGGTCCGCACCATAGGGGTCCTCATAAGCCCCCCTCTGGTAGCCCCGATGATAGTCTCTTTGGTACGGATCGCCGTAGGGAATCATTTGGCCACTATATCCGTAACCGCTGTGACTAGGGGCGTAAGAATGCCTGGAATTATGGTTATAAAAAGCGCCCTGGGTGTGGGGGACTGGCGGCGGATAACCGCGGTGTCCGTAGGCCGAGTAGTAATCGTCGTCGTATGAATCACTCATTGGCTCTTGCGTAACCTGATATTGGAACGGATCAGCCTGATGCGCGGGGAGTTGGTGTCGACGTGCTGGGCCGCGATGCTCGCGAGTAGGAGTCTGAGTTCGCCGAGCGACTTGTCTCCGACCGTAATAGGAGCCGTAGCCGGTTGACGCGGAGTCCGAATGATCGTAACGACTGCTAGAATAATTTGACGATTCTTGATCAGAGTCTTCCTGTTCGGTTGACTCCTCTTCCTCTTCCTCCTCTTCGTCGTCGTCGTCAGCTAGCGATTGTTCGTCGCTGTACTGCGAGGCAGTGCGAGATTCTTCCTCCGAGTATGAATCTTCGGAACTTGAATATGATTCTTCTTTAGCAGTTATGGCAGGGCGAGTCCTGAAAGTCAGGCGTGGGGGAAGGGGAATAGTGGCAAGTCAGTACGGGGATCAAACAAAAAGTGCGAGACGGGAGAGAAACGCGGGTCGTGCACCGCGGTTACGGTTGAATGAATGCGGCGTAGCCACGGCGGCAGCTTGAGACCCGACGGGTGTTTGACAGGGGCAGGGGGGGGGAGGAGAGGGAATGAAGAGCGAGGCAAAGAGCCGGGATGGCTTACTGCGACATTGGAGGTATTTGGTGCTTGATGCGTCGTCACCCTTCGCCCGACACAATGCGCGGGGTCAAAGCTGGCAGCCAGATCGATCGGACACACCGAGGTAAGCCAATGCCGGAACCAGGGAGGAAATTGATCAGGTAGATAGATGTGTTGACAAGCCTTAAAGGTGCGTTGGACCTGAATGAGCAGAGGGATGTGTTGTATGTGCCGTTTGGGATGGATGTGTGTGCGTGGAAACGGAGCGCAAGCGGGGAAAGGTGGCTTGGAAAATCCTGTGCGCACCTGGCTTGGTTCTTTGGATGCTGGGCAGGTCGTGTGCTCAATGGGCTCTTGGAGCAAGGCGCCTAGAGATAGCCTAGGTATAAAGCTGAAGGTGTACGCCTGGTCAGACGAAGCTGTCGAGTTCAATGTGGCAGAGCCTTCGGTCAGGTGTCAGAGACGTACAGCCAAGCAGGACAACGGGCAACGGATGAGTGGTGGTGGGTTGGGCGCAAAAAAAGGAGGTGAAATCGGGTTTGTGTTTGGGGTCGCACCCAGAGGCGGCTGGGCTGGTCAAGCTGTGGCAGGGGAAGCGCCTGGTCCGGGCCACTGACCACTCAGTGCAAGTGCCTGCCTGTTGCCAACCAAAGCAAACCAAACGGCGTCCTACAATCCGTATTCAGAGCCAGAGCCGAGACCAGCCAAGCAGATCCACTTGATCTGAGGCGGGGGATGTCTTGGAGCAGGCTAAGGTAAAAGGCAAAAAGGCAGGATAAGGTGAGCAGGTGAGGGACGGGACGACGGAAAGGGTATGGCAACCCAGGCGAGCTGGATATAGAATTGCTAGCCCAATCCGACCGCCATGGTGAGATCAAGTGTGTGCAGCCAAAAAAAAAATTGTTGGAAAGGTGTCCAGGGACCGAGCTGAAGGTGTGAAAATGAGGGGCAATGCTGCCTTTATGAGGGAGGGGCAGGCGACCTGGAAGATGACTTATGGATGGATCTACCTGGACTGTATGAGGAAGGAGCACCACAGGCAGGTTAGTCAGCGCTGCTGGGCTGTTGCCTTAGCCCCAGGAGGTCTAGAAGGTGTACGTGACCTTTCCGTAGCATTTATGTGGTATATGCACTTTTGTCGCTGTTATTGAGGCGCCCGTCGATTGGAAACCCAGTGATCAGCTATGAGCTGCGCGCCGTAGCACACTCGTGACCACGACGGGGGCCTTCCCGTTGGGAGCGGCCGCCCCAGAGCAGCTGTAACAGCACAGACACACGCTTATTGGGGACTTTATATACCCCATTACCGGCTCAGTGATAGGTGTAGGGGCAAGTTGAGACGATTGGGATCTTGACTGATTTATTTGTGGCATTGGCGATTAGATAGCGGGGGAATGAGGAAACAATGTTGACGCCGGCCAAACGCAATCACTGTGTTACGTTTCAACTGATGGGCTGGGCTCAACCTCCCAACCCATCTGCAAGAATGTATTTCATCTTTTCATCAACGGTTCTTGAATATGTGGAAGTTAATACTTGAATTCAGTGCAGCTTGGCATCTGCGTTGGAGACACTGCCAAGGCATAAGGACAGCATCATCCAAGCAGCGCGTAGTATCAAGCCACCAAAATCCATAGACTCGACTTCCATGGCTTTATGTTTGAGCCAGGGAAACATAAGATCCCATATCAATGGTTTAAAAATGAGTCAGATAAGAGGATGAACGCTTATGTTATACGGCAGCCTCGGCCGCAGCAGCAAAACCAGGCAAAAGTCATACGGGAACTAGCGAAGCACGAAATGGTGAGCGAAGAAACGATTGCCATACGTACCCGCTGCGAGCTCTGGTTGGACTGATGGGAGACTTTTGATCTGCAGTGGTCGTCTGGGCTGGTCGAGTCTCTTTCCAAATTTTCGGGGGGAGGGAGGGATGGGATTGGATGGCTGGAGCCCTCTGTTGGCGGCTGGAGGGGGGACTTGGGCCTTGTCAAGGCACGCTAAAAGGGCGGGGTTCGGGGTTGGCTGAGGTTCCGTCTAAAGGGATGGAACAGGCTGTCACGTTGCGGGTAGCTCAACAATAAGTCGCAGAGCCTGTCTACGAGATGTCTAGGGGGCTTAACTTGACATCGTTGAAGCTGTGTGATAGACGTCCTAGTTAAGTGTATGTAGGAAATCAAGTCAAGAGGGGGGTTTAAGTTGGCGAAAAGGCTCGGGCCGAGCCTGAAAAACTCAGCATTAGACCGAATCGAACACCAGACGAACGCTAAGACAGTATGTAAACATGCACGTCGCAACAAATGGACAGGCCGTTTTGTGACAGCTCAGACACCAAAAGGACATGTGGCTATAACAGGATAAACGCCAACACTAACACGGAGATTGAGACAGATGGAATGTTTGCTCAAAACGGAAATCTGCGAGAGAAAATGAGGAAATGCCCGCACTTACACAGTTCCAACACCATCCGCACCCAACGACCATCATTCCAACCAGCACCCCGAGCACTGCTTTCGTGGCTCGACATCAAACCTTCTATTTGACTCGGTCGCTCAAGCCGCGCGTCAAAGGCGGTGAACAGTCCTCCAGTAGGTCGTTGCTAGCTCATGCTCGGGGTAAAGGGTGAATGATGGATTGGATGCTGGCGCAAGTGAACGAAGGCCAACGGGCAATTCTCCAAACGTCCACTCGACCAACCCCCACTGGCCTTCCTTGGTTGCTGCAACTCCACTGCCCTCTTCGTGGTCACGACTCCGGCCATGCCTTGGACTACTTCGCATGTTTTGCTTTTGGATTTTGCCCCTTCTCTTGGCTGGGATGTCACGGGTGCGGGGTCGGGAACACCAAACGATCTTGTTCTGTGAGACAACAGCATGCAACGAAACGATCGAACGTTGGGGCACGCGAGTGCAGAACACAACTCAAGTTTCAATTTTCTCTCTGTTCAACGGCAACAGGATAGGCACATGCTGTTATGAACAACGGGAGCTTGCGGATAGTAGGCTGCTAGATATAGCCATGTGCCGTTGCCATCTCGATATGTCCTTCTGTTCCTGGGTGATTTCATGCTCCTCCTCCTCCAAGCCCAAATGTGACGACAACTCGATAGCGCAGTCAACAGCTGCCGACACGTCAAATGTGACAATGCAGAGGCGTTTGGAGCTAGTGCTGAGGGTGAGCGCGGGCCGTAACAACCGGCATCTTGTGAGGTCATTGAGCAGCTGGAGTTGCCAAATTCCAGGGACTAGCATGTGCTGATGGAGTCCAGCGGGCTGTTTTCGGCAGGCGGCCATTGAGACGTTGGGTTAGGCGGAGCGCCAGCCCGACGATCTCCGATGCCATTGGTGCCCAACGAGGCACAGCAATGGAATATCAACAGCCCGGCCTTGGCCTCCGGTTGGGCTCCAAGGCCCGCACCGCGTCCCCACCCCCCATGTGCACACAAAGTTGCCGGCCTTTTTAAAAGTCTTGTTTCTACTGGTGCCACGTCTGGATGGGCAAAAGGCTTCAACCACGGCCGGTTGTACGGCCCACCAACTCGGCTAGCGCGCACATGGGAATCGAAAGCCAATGAGGGCAATCAAGAAGAACGCCTCAACGACGCCTTGGACTCCTTGCTAGATGCCATGTCGACCATGCGCGGCACACCTAGGTATTGATGCGAGACTTTTTTCGTCCCTTGCCATGACTCACATTACGCGCATCGCCGTCGAACCCTCGCTAAACACTTGCTCCGGGCGAAACTGACGCTGGGAGAAGCGGGGGGGTGGGTTGCATCACCGCTCAGTCTTTGGGGAACCCTCAGCCAAGAGCTCCCGGGCTGCGGCAATCTCAATTTCATTGTATCCACGCCAGCCTCGATCGTTCGCGGTATAATGCCGGACTATTTCGGCCAACTTAGATGTGGCGAGTTCGTGGAGCCGTTCAAGTGTCTTGGTATCCGGCAGGGCAGCCTCGTTGTCATCCGTCTGCTTTGCTGAATTATTTGTCTCGTCGCTAAGAAGCTTCTGGACGACCTGAGGAAGCATCAGCAACATGTCATCCGTCTCAAAGCCGAACGGTTCCTGCTTACCAGTTTCAGGCCATAGTAGCCCCGCAAGTAGTCGTCGCAAAGCTCAATGCTTCGTGCGAACCGTTTGACAGCCTCAACCATGTGTCGCTGGTAGGACCCGCCAGCGGCAGTTCCCTGGCCCGCTCCAGGGGCAATGGCTGCCATGTAGTGCAGCTCACCCAGACGAGCATGAATCTGAAGAGAGCCGGTTAGCATAGGGCTTAGCTGGCGATCTCCCGACGGGATTACGTACATTCCATGCATTAGGGGACAGCACAACCACCTCTTCCATGGCATAAATGGCCTGTGGGTACAGTCCCTGAGAGAGGTAGATATCGGACAGCTCGGACCAGGCTTCAGCATCGGTTGGTGAGAAGTCAAGGAGTTGCACAAGGGCTGATGTCGCGTCAGCAACGCGGCCCATTGACCTCAGCAACGAGACGCGTCTCTTGGCAATCGGCTGGAGTAAAGAGTCAGTCTCTGGGCCAACGACAGGTCTAGAAGAGGGTGACGGACGATATTCGTGTCGTTCTCAGCCAGTATATCCTCGTATTCTTTTAGGACTTCCTCCAGCTCCTTGGTGTTGGCAGCCGTAGCTTCCTTGTACAGGCCTTGGAGAGCCTGCACCCGTTCGTTGGCAGGACCGAAGCGCTCAGTCAAGCGCTCGAGACACTTCCGCGCAGCAGTATCATCACCGGTACGAAGGCACGAGATGACCAAATTTTCATACTGCACCCAGACCTCTGGCTTCTCGGTGCCAGACAACAAGTTTGTTGTACGGGAGTTGAGGACAGTTGGAGCCTTCTTGGACAGGGCCAATGCCTCCGCTGGAGACAGCTGGCTTGGGGGGAAGAGCAGAGGAGCCATGGGAGCTGGTGCTTAAGCAGCCTAAATAATAGACGGTAGCACGGCTCGGAATCCGAAGATGCAGAGTCGAGATGTTGATGCAATTCTTCTTGTTGGAAGTGATCGTTGTGGACACTTCACGGGAGCTGGCCACCGGCGTTGCTGAGCTTCCCCATGGTAGTTGCCCCACAACCAGCTCTCTCCGTCCAATCAAAAAAGCGACGGGCATGTGTAGCGGGGCTTGCAGACAGTAACTTGTGACATGTACCCGGGTTATCGTGAAGGACAAGATTGAATAGATTTCTCAAAGATGGCTGCTGTTGAATCTTGTTAAATGAGCCAGAAGATGTTCGTTCAATTATGTAGACATAATGAAGCACTTGACTATTCAAAAATGTACGTTATACCAGAGAAGATTAATATGGCGGAAGTACCCAGTATGCGCTCCACTGTGGATCACTGTGCAGTGACGTGCTGTGGCAGCCCGCAGTGTCCCTCCTTCCGACTGTGGTCAAGACACAGGCTCCAAGTGCATCACTCAACGCTCTCTGTCTGCTCCAGAGAGTATCTGTGGTTTATACTCGTCCACTGAAGACTACAACAAGATGTGTCTCTTTGTCCGGCATTCTATCGACACCTTGAGCCCAACTGACCGTCGCTGAACCCTGCCGAGCACTTAAGCGCCGCATTTGTCCATGCCCTGTGTCCCGCAGGACCTTTTGACACCTTCACGACGACGAGGACGAAAGCGACGAGCGGGAACACGAAAAGACACTCTATATACAATATACGGTCTTGGATAGACCTGAGCGGTCACGATGTATGGTTGCAGCCCCTTGCCGACTTGCGCCCAACCTGCTGACGCCGGCTGCCCTAGGTTCGAGAAATCACTATACGACCTTATTCGAGGTCTGCGCAATCACAAGGGCAGTGAGAAAGAGTATATCCAGAGCTGCCTCAAGGAATGTCGCTCAGAGATACGCAGCCAGGACATGGGTGCGTCCACCTAGCAACTCTGTGTCCCATCCATCCCCTCGCCGGCCTGGCTGACCCTTCCATGTAGACGTCAAGGCGACGGCTCTGCTAAAGCTGTGCTATCTCGAGATGCTGGGCCATGACATGTCATGGGCCTCGTTTCACGTACTTGAGGTCATGGCTTCACAAAGATACCATCAAAAGCGCGTTGGCTATTTGGCTGCCGTCCAAAGCTTCCGGTCTGACACCGACGTGCTCATGATGGCCACCAACCTGTTGAAGAAGGTTCGTTAACCTGCATGCACCGTGCTGTTTTATTTATCCTCCTAACATCTCTTCTCCTAGGATTTGGCTGCCTCATTGCCCATCATTATGTCGCTCCCCATCGGCGCCCTCCCCCATATCGTCACCCCTTCCCTCTCGATGTCCCTTCTGGGTGATCTGCTCCCGCGCCTGACCCATTCCCACTCTGCTATCCGCAAGAAGACAGTTGTGACTTTATACCGGTTAGCTCTGGTATACCCGGAAGCGCTACGTGCAGCCTGGCCGAAGATTAAGGAGCGCCTGATGGACCCCGATGAAGACCCCAGTGTGACAGCAGCCATCGTGAATGTGGTGTGTGAATTAGGCTGGCGTCGGCCACACGATTTCCTACCTCTCGCCCCGCGGCTCTTTGAGCTGCTAGTGGATGGAGGGAACAACTGGATGGCAATCAAGCTTATCAAACTCGTAAGGGAGTCTGCCTATTCTGCGTTTCTCGTAGCAACTCTCCTGACCATACTGCCTAGTTTGCGACATTAACACCCCTTGAACCACGCCTGGTGCGGAAACTGCTACCTCCTTTGACGAACCTCATCCGGACTACCCCAGCTATGTCCCTTCTCTATGAATGCATTAATGGTATTATCCAAGGAGGCATTCTTGGTGATGCTTCAGATTTCTCAGCAAGGGAAGAAATCGCTTCTCTGTGTGTGTCCAAGCTCAGGGGCATGATATCATACAGCAGCGATCCAAACTGTGGGTGTCCTCTGGTTTGATTTTACAATGTGTCGGCTAACAAATGTGCAGTAAAATACGTTGCATTGCTGGCATTCAACAAGATTGTTGCTACACATCCGTTCCTCGTTGCCGAGCAGGAGGATGTCATCCTTGAATGTATCGACAGTGAAGACATCACCATCAGGATCAAGGCCCTTGATCTAGTGCAGGGGATGGTCAGCAGCGACAACCTAATCTCCATTGTTGGTCGTCTGATGCGGCAGCTGAAGGCTGCTTCGCCATCGGCCGAACTCAACAGCTTAGATGATAGTGAGCAAGACTCGAGCGACGAAGCTAACGTGGATCCTAAGCGGCGTAGCAAACCTCAGGAGCCGCTCATCCCTCTTCCAGAAGACTACACTATCGATGTCATTGGGCGCATCCTCAAAATGTGCTCGCAAAACAACTACGCTAATATTGTTGACTTTGACTGGTACATCGACGTCCTGACCCAGCTGGTCCGGATAGCGCCTACTCCGCCGCCTCAGGAGGTCGAGTCGGACTCAGCGACATCAATCTCGAAGCTCGCGGCCGAGATTTCTGAGCGGATCGGTAATGAGCTTAGAAACGTGGCTGTCAAGGTCAAGGCAGTCCGTCCAGCTGCCGTCCGGGCCGCTGAGCTCATTATATCACGGTTGACCATTGAGACTTCGATCACTCGTCCAGCTCTAAACGGTGCGCTTAAGCCCGTAGCATGGGTCGTCGGGGAGTATGCATCTTTGTTGGCGTCAGCCGACGATGCACTTAGGAACCTGCAAGATCTTCTCCCCCGGATCCGGGATCCAGAGATCTTGGCAACTTGTTTGCAGGCGGTGTTAAAGCTATTTGCCTATGTCGCTGGGAACGACCAGATCCCGTGGACGCCAGAGCGAAAGTCGATGGTGTCCTTACTAATGGCGCGGGTCATACACGTGATCGAGAAGTTCGTGTCGCATCCATATCTCGAGGTCCAAGAGCGCGCGGTTGAATTTGTTGAATTACTCAAGTTGACTGCAGAGGCAGCTGCCGGTCAAACGCCGTCGACAGCCGAGCTGCATCAGGACCCTCCTCTTCTGCTCACACAAGCCATCCCTTCTCTATTTGCAGGCTGGGAGCTGAATTCTGTCGCTCAGGGGGCACAATATAACGTGCCAATCCCAGACGGGCTTGATCTCGACGAGCCAATTCATCCTGATTTGCCGCGCCTGCTCGCCCAGGCAGATTCATTGTCGCTTCCTGACCAGAGCGAAGACGAGTTTGCGGCGTACTATCACCAGAAACCGCCCATCACAAGCATATCCAGCACTGAGCCAGCCATCAACAAGCTGGGCGAGGCGCCCGAATACACCGGTTCATACCAGCAGCATGCGGCAGAAGAGAGCTACCTCGATCCAGACACTATCGCGCGACGCAAGGCTGAACGCATGGAGCGGTACCGCGACGATCCATTCTACATCCCTCCAGAGCCGATACGGTCGTCGACTCCGATACACAACATCTTACAGAAGGAAAATGGGCCAGATTTGGACATCGACTCCATCCCCATCATGCAACTCGACCTCGGACCTACAGGAACCCCATCATCTACACCCAAGCCAATTGCCGCCAAACCCAAACCCCGCCAACGCATTGTCGTCGCCGCCGACGAGACTCTCTCTACCTCACTCCCCAACCGCGCCAGCGGCACCTCCACACCGCGCAGCTACGACTCCGATCCCACGCTCTCCAGACCTTCTACCGCGGCTACTCGCAAAGCCAAGCAGCAATCCCTCCTCCAAGTGGACTCCAGTCACCTCGAATCCCTCAGCTTGGACGCCTCCGAGAGTGCAGCCGCGCTGGAGAGACAGCAGCGCGAGGAAGCTGAGATGCAGCAGGCCTTGCGGGAGGTGCAGAGGCTCAGGCTGGAAATGCAGAGGGCGAATGAGAGGATCATGGTTGCGCAGGCAAAGGGGGTTACGGCGGAGGGGGTTGTGGTTGCTAGCAAGCCGAAGAAGAAAAAGAAGGACGACAAGGAGAAAAGGGTGAAGGTAGGAGAGAGTGAGGGAGTTGAAGGGAAGGTTAAGAAGAAGAAAAAGAAGAAGGCTGTGGAGAGTCAAAAGGCTGAGGGGTCAGGGACTGGGAGTGGGACTGGGAGTGGGACTGGGACGGGAGAAGGGGCCAGTGAGCCAGCTGCTGTGGGAGTTGTGAAGAAGAAGAGGAGTGGGAAGGCGAAGAGATTGGTGCAATTGGATGATAGGGAAGAGGCTGGTGGTTCACAATGAAGGAATGTTAATAATATAGATATGAGGAGATGCTCTCTGCTAGAATGGCGCTAATGGGAGATAGAGCAAATGATTCTGAACATATTTTTGATATTTGTGCATGTGAAAGTTGTGGATGCTGTTCGATGAATTCGCCTTTTGCGTTCGGGTATTCTCTAGTCTACGAGTTCTATACCCATCCCTACCATATATAAACTGAATACCAGACAAATCAGCCATTCCAACCCAACCCAAACTCCAAGAAACCCAATCTAACGCATCTACGCCACTGTGGTCATATAACTCACCCTCGCGTCCCCCTAAGCACCGGCAGCAGCAACCCCCTTCTCCCCCTCTCCCTCTCCCTCCTCCTCCTTCGCCCTCTCAGCCTTCTCCGCCTCCATCTTCGACCAAGCAGGTTTATTCCTTTTTGGGTCCCCTCCCACACTTATATACTGATACCCCCTGGCCCTCGGTCGCTCCGCAGCTCCCTCCGGGAAATCAGGCTCGTACCGCAGCGCAAACTGCTTCGCCTTCTCATCGAACGTGCCATCCGCCAGCGCGGCGCGCACATTGGCGAAGAATTGGTTAAGGATAGAGTGGTTGTGGATGGAGAGGAGCGTCCAGCCCAGCATCTCGCGGGCGTTGAGCAGATGGTGGATGTAGGCGCGATGGTGGGAGGTGCAGGTGTAGCAGGAGCAGTTGGGGAGTAGAGGTTCGAGGAGGGTGCGGTTGGCGGAAGAGGAGAGATCTGTTGCTAGGGGGAGGAGGAAGCCCGCGGAGAATTCTGTTGTTGGGGGCGGGGGAAGGCAAAGGTTAGGGCCAGGCCAGCGTCAGATAGGGTGTTTACGAAGGGGAGAGCAAAGACATCGGCCCCGAGGGAGATCTGCCGGAGGAGTTGGTGCGGTGTTTGGGGGTTGGAGAGGACTAGGCGGGGAAGGGGGCCGAGGGTTGGCTGGAAGGAGAGGAGGTCGGGGAGGACGTCCATATCGTACAAGGCTAAGCCGGAGAGTTGGCCTGTGGGGAGGTAGTCTTCGGCCAGGCGGGCGACATACTCCCATTGAACGGAATAGGGGATCGGCAGAATGGGGGCGAAGGTCGAGGATGTGGCTGGTGCCGAGGCGAACCAGTCGACGATCCATTCGTCTGTACGCTCGGCCATGCGCAAGGCTCGCTTCGAGTTAGGAGTTATGTCATTATGTGTGAGATCAGAGGGTGGGATGACGATGTCGGGCTGGAGGGTCTGCGCGGCAGAGATGTACTCGACGATTGTGAGCGGCTGGAAGCCGGTCGAGGTGAAAACGGAGATCGCCTTGGAAGTGTTTCCGAGGGGAGAGGGGACAGCGGGGAGGCGGCGCGGGCTGAGAATGGTTGTGATAGAGGACGGGGTCGCGGTGAAGGCATGCAGGCGGGTAGTGTGTTTCTGAGTCGTCGGGGTCTGGTAAAGGGGAGGAGTCCGCTTGGAGTAGGCTTGGGGACGTTCGATGACTGGGCGAGGTTAGCAAGCTGTTGCAGCAGTAAGATGAAAAGATTGCTTACAATCCTCTAGCGCCATATACACACCACCAACATTCATGTGTTTTGACACATTGTCGGGGGTCAAATGGGGGATGGCGCCACGAGAGGTGACGGCGATATATGTCGGCGTCTCGACGGTAGCGCGGCCAGCGAAGGACAAACGACCAAGGCGAGTAGTACCATCGCACAGGGCGGCCTTGAGGATATCGAATCGCATGGAGGCAGTCTCTACTGTTTGGGTGTCGATAGTCATTTTGGTTCGGGTAGCCGCTCCGCAATAATTGTCACCGTCGTCGATCTGCGAAGAACGAGGGGGACCAGATTTTTTGGTTTTCTGGTGGTGTTGGCTTCCCTTTCGAGCGGGGCCTTACCCCCACCCTCATTCTTGGCTTGCAGCGCTTGGCCCACTCAGCAAGCGGCTAGTGGGGTTGCTAAAGCGCCCCGCAGGCTGAAACGGTGTCATGAAGTGGGGCATATGGGTCCGTTCCCCTCAGGAACGAGGCACGCACCGGGCACAGTGAAGAGTCCATCTCAGGTGAAGCAAACGTCTGGGGTGGCGCTCAAAATGACTGCCACGTGCGTTAACACCACACCTTGTCACTGCAGCTATATCAACTCCCATCACGAGCTTTTCATCCTGACATCCAGCCGCACGCTGATGTCTTGAATCCTCAGTCCTTTTGTATTTTTATTTCTCTGTAGGCATGTCCTTGGATTCACCTGGCCCGATCCCTCGAGGACGCATTTGACGCTTCATTGATCCGAGACATCCGACCCTTGTGTCCTACGCCAATACTCACTACGTCCATCACTAAACTTGTGTTCCCAGCTCTCACCATCGTCCCTCGTTCGAGCTGACCACAACCTCAACTTCCACCATGGGCGAGACCAGCCCTACTCCAGCCTCTCGCGCTCAGTCTAGTCGCGCTCAAGACAGCACCGACATCACGGACTCCGATGCCACTGTCGTTGGCCCTAACCACCCCGACGCCCCTATCCGCGATGCTTCTCGTCTCGAAGACCTCGAAGCCGATAGCTCGCCGCCGACCCCACGATTCATCCAAGACGAAGGATCCTGGAAGCGTTTCAAATGGGTGCCCTACCCCGTGCGGCGCGCTATCAAATACGTCGCGCGTTGGGCTCGCGGACCGCCTAACCCCGTGTTCATTCGTATCGACCCCTTCTTTCCCCGAATCCAGCACCTGCCGATCGTCTTGGTGGATAAGTACCTCCCGCGGAAGCGCCAGCGTGTGTGGGCTGTGCTGGGGTACCTGTCTGTGTGGATTATCACTTTTGCGCTAGTGATGCGTCATGGTTTGACGATATCCGAAATCCCTGGTTGGAGTGTGCCGTCTGCCATAGGATGCGGCGCTACCTTCTGGGCTGACGGCAATGAATGCGGCTTGGATGGAATTGATTGTCGGCCGTTTAACAACGGCGGCTATGCTTTCAGCTGCCCAGCAAGCTGCTCCAAGCGCATGCTGCTGAACCCCCATGCGGTTGGTGACCAGGAGATTGTCTACCAGCCGCTGGTTGTCGGAGGCCCCCCAGCTAACGGCTCCGGCCCGGCTATCTATCGCGCCGACTCCTTTCTCTGCGCTGCTGCCATTCACGCTGGCGTTATCAGCGACCGCTACGGCGGCTGCGGAGTGGCCAAGCTCGTGGGCTTCCAGCCTAACTTCACGGCTTCCACGCGCAACGGCATCAGCAGCGTCGGCTTCGATTCCTACTTCCCACGCTCTTTCAGCTTCGAAGAAGATCTCCAGTGCGAAGTTCGCGACTTCCGCTGGAACATCCTCGCCGTCTCAGTTGTCTTTTCCACGATCTTTTCCCTCTTTGTCTCCTCCGCTTGGCTATTCTTCTTTCCCGTATTCACCATACTTTTCTGGTCAGTCGGCATGGCTCTCGATCCTCCTGCACACGCTGACACGGCCACGCTCTTCTCCATTGAGATCGGCCGCTACCTACCTTCCATGTTCGTCGCCTGGGTCATGTACGACAAGATGGGAATAAAGCGCACACTTCATGGCCTAACTGCCCAAATCGAAAAAACCGTTTTCTGGCTTGGTGCCGCCTGGGTCGGCGCCCTCACCAACTACACACTCGACTTTATTCCCATCCAACGCCTGACGGGCCATGACTTGAACCAGCAACCTGGCGCACGCGCCGCCCTGGCCATCATCGTCATCATCCTGGCCGTGATTGCCGCCTCACAAATCTTCTTCTTCCGCCAAGAAGCCCGCCTCATCCCTATGCTCAAGCTCTACATCCTCTTTGGTATCGGCCTCCTCATCCTCGGCGTCCTCCCCGACCTCAACCTCCGCATTCACCACTACATCCTAGCACTCCTACTTCTCCCGGGCACATCCCTCCAAATGCGGCCCTCCCTCCTCTACCAAGGCCTGCTGGTGGGCCTCTTCATCAACGGTGTCGCCCGCTGGGACTTCGACCCCATCGTGCAGACGAGCTACGAACTGCGCGGCGACGCCCCCATGGGTTCCCCCTTGCCCGTCATCCACGACCCCATCATCATCTGGGGCGGTATCAACAACCGGTCGATCACCTTCACCTGGGACCCTCCGCCGGACCCGGCCTACGACGGCATCAGCGTGCTGGTCAACGATGTGGAGCGGTTTCGCGCCTATTTTGATGATGAACCAGGTACTGCGGGTATGGGAAGCCAGAAGAATGTCGGGACGCATAATGTCACGTGGGTTAGGCAGCCGGGCGTCGAGGCGAACGAGTACTTCCGCTTTGCGTGGATGCAGGGTAGTATGAGAGGGGATTATACTAAAGCGGGGAAGTGGGATACGGAGGGGAAGTGGACTAAGATGGAGCCGGGACCATCGAAGGTTAAGAAGAGGGGAGGAGTAGACTACAAGGTGCTGTGATCAGGAGGATTTGGCATGGGACTGGAGTATGGCGTTTTGGCTTGATTTGAGTTTGGGGAGTTTAGTATACCTAAGTTGGGCGGCGTCGCATGATTTAGAGCATTTGCTAGAATCAAGATTCGCCTTTGTGTTGTTCTGCCTATCTGACTTAGAAGAGCCAGTCGTTCACCTCAAACCCACGGACTCGGACCCCTCAACCTATCTGCAAACCACTCCATGACCGGTAACATCTCATCCCTGTTCTGCGGCATCCCATCATCCGGCTTGTTCCACCTCACCACCTTAACCTTCTCAAACTCCTCCTCCAGCGTATCGACCGCATCCTCATCCACCGCCTGACTCTGCCTCCCACAGCACACCAGCACTGGTACCTTAGCCTTCAATCTCGCACTCACACTCGGTACCATCGACGGCGGCAACGCCCCACCAATCGACACAACCCCCTTCAACGTCCTCCTCTTATTCACATCCTTCTTCTCCCCCTCAGTCACATCCACAACCCTAGCCGACACCTCCAACCCCCTTGCAACCCCCAACGCCACGCTCCCACCCTGCCCAAACCCAAACATCATCACCTCCCCCCACTCAAACTTACACTCCCCCACCAACACCTGCCCAATCACCTTCTCCACGATCCACTCCCGTGCCTTCGCAAACCCCGGATCATCATCCAGTCCCTTCGCTGAAAACTTAAGATCATCCCCCCAGTGGAATCCCTCTGGCCCTCCCTGCCCACTCGGATCTGCTGGCCCGGGCGGCAGGAGGAATGATGGCAGCCGGGAGACGCCCCGAAGGGAGATGCAGAAGACACCCGGGAGAGAGAGGTTCCGCGCTACGTGGGCGAAGGGACGTTCTGTGTCGCCCAGGCCGTGGAGGAGGATCAGAATGGCGCGGATTGGGGGGGACGGAGGGGGTATTAGGGTTATCCAGGGTTCGCAGGTTGTTGGGGGAGGGGAGTTGGGAGGGGGGCGGTAGGCGGGGTGAGAGGGGAGGATGGGGAGGAAATCTTGGGTGGTGGGGGGGCGGCCCATTTTTCGAGTGGGGTTTTGGAGGTCGTTTTTGGGGGGGGTGAAAGGCAGGTTCTGGGGAGGTGAGTTTCTGAATGCTTGTTGAATTGTCTTTGGTTCAAATTTTGTGTGCGATCAGAGAGGAAGGCTCGGGAATGGTGTTGTTGAAGAGAGAAGTTCAGCAAGGGGTACCGTTCAAAAGATACCTAGCCCTGGGATACTTTGGGAAGTGCCCCGCTCGCTGGGCTGGGGCACTGGAGAAGTGGGGTGGCTTCTCGGCGATTCGGGCCGTTTCCCGACTCCCGATGGCTCTTGGCCCCGAGTCGGTAGTGCTAGGACTTGGCTTTGGTAAGATGGTGAGCGTGTTTGTAGGTAAGTGTTTACATACTTTATGACAGCCACTGACGTCTGACGTTTCGAGATACATCATACATCATACAGGGCGACCCAATCTCTCAGTCTAGCCAATAAGCTTACGTTCGAATTGTGATTGCAACTGCATGTAATTCTCGCTTGAGAAGTTCAGAATGAAGGTGCTAGCCAATAATCCGGGGTTTATCAGATGCATCCCAACGTCCGTTATGCTTCGGCGGCACGAACACCTTGTCAATGCCCCATGCTTGGCATGTTTGGCTCCAAAGATATCATCGTCCATACCTACCTATGACTCTGTACTTATATACATTCATAAGTCCTCTTCCTGGGATTCTGCCACTGATCTCACTTGTTCAAGGCTTTTTAAACCTTCCAATCTCACTATAAATGACAGGTGCTTACGTCTCGAACAAGAAATTAGCAGCAAGCAATTATCAGCTTGGGGTTCACAACCGACGTTTCAGAGTGCTGGTTACATCAACACGACAAATTAGTCTTTCCTAGAGGACATCGTGTATGTCCCAGAGTTACTGTTGGAGGAATTGGACATCATTTCGATTTTATCACTACGATAAATGACGACGAGAAAGGATATGAAAGACCCTGGACCTGAGAGGGCTCAATTTCCTCCAAGCTGTCTCAACACAAGGCAGATTCAGCTGTGTCAATCTAACCACTCGGGCAAAGACTCCGGACTCTAGAACCAGAAGCCTTCGAGAGTCCTTGAGCCGGAAGCCTCGTATCAATACGAGAGCTCTAGACTCTAATCATGCTTATCTTCACATTCCCTTTGCTTTATGTGGGATATCATCGAAATTAGAGAGAGAGACTACTCTACCTTTATGGATAATACAGAATTCTTCATCCCGGGCAACAAACGTCCGCGCTACCAGACCAACTTCTGCCTCACAACTGTGCCGTGGGATGCGATGGATGTCTCCCGTCAACTGAATATCCGCTAAGTGTGGATAGATTCACTATGCATTATACAGAATAATATCGGTTACATCGATTGTAAGCTGGAATCCGTCTATATGAATGATAATTTTCGGAATTCCTATCTGACTATCTCTGCAACATGAGCCGACTCACCGTATGAGGGTCTATTTGCCGAACCAGAGACAGTAGAAAGCAGACCTGTCATGACTTATATCGTACCACACTTCTCGTTGGAAGCGACCAGGTTCGCGCCTCCGACTCTCGGTTTTCCTCTGCTTTCATGGTTTTTTTGCGTTCCAAGGACGCATGCTGGCATCACGGGTCGTTCATTTTTGTTGACGAGAGCTGCTCTTCGAATGCATGGAAAGCCAGGTTAGCGCATGCGTGCCTAAGATCCATAAGGAGACACAGATTCCCCTGAAGCAAAGGCTCAGCCAGTACCTCAACACGGTGGACATGGACCCATCTACATTTGTCTCTCCACATCATATGAGAGAGTTGTCAAGGTTGCGGCGTCTGGTGGTCACGGAATAGTCATCACTTCAGCTCGCCTTTGCATTTGACAAGCCGCCTGCTATATCTGGGTTAGCCAACCTTTTTCAGCGAATGACGGAATGATATTTGGCTGGATTGTAGATGCATACATTAGTCCACAACCTGTTCTGGGCTTGGGAACCAAATTTCCGCCTTGGCGACATATCTGACCTTATGGTCAATCTGTCACGGAAGGAGGAATACCTGGTTTCAAGGGAAAGCTATCGACTCATCTTTATCCTCAGCTCCTCATTCATTGGAACGAGTGTCTCCCAGTTTGTCCTGGTCATATATTGACAGGAGTAATATCTGTTCTTGGGATAGGTCTCCGGAAGACGTAAAATTATCGACAGTCAGTCTCTAGTCCTTCATTTCTTCACTCTGATGCATGTACAGTCCGCATTGTGTAAGCGTCTACTGTTCGATCCCCCTTTGCGGCGGATCTCCTCGTTGCTAGGTCGAGTCTTAGAGGTATACTAGTTTGCTGTCGATGTTTACAGATAGCATCTGCTTTTCTTCTGTGACATATCCAGTCTGATTGGCATCATAACTGGGCCTGCGTTTGCTAGGCCGGATATCACGCCATTAGCGACAAATCAAACACCATTCCTCGATCCACAGAAACTATCTATTATTCTTTTTCACCAATCTCAAGTTCCAACAGACAGGCCGAGGCTCTGTTAACCGTGGAACGACTGGCACTCATTCTCAGCGCCAAAACACATCGAGTGTTAGAGCGAGCTGCATTGCTGGGGATGTCAGACTGTCATCGAGGCTTTGATCAAAACCCACTCTCTTCAAGAACATAAGTCGGTATTTCTCGATCCAGGCGATGATTTCACCGTCAGCCTGGTAAGAAGCCGGTCGCCTAATCCGTACCTTAGCATCCGGCTACACGAATCTCCCCAATAGTCATAGCGCTCTATGAGATTGAAGGTCCGTATACTCTGTCACTTAGTCTGATCACTTTTTGTCAATATGCTCACAAGCAACGGTACTTTAGATGTGCTAAGCCCATGGAACATCACAAATCGACCTCCGTCAACAAGCTATACAGGTTCAAACAGCTCAATGACTCTTCTACGAATATAGATTCAAAAATGTATGACTCACAAGGTGTGCTTGTCACTTGGTTCCAACTTAAAAACCCTTTCTCCCACGAAGAATCCTTGTTACCAACACCGAAAATTGATGCCATCCGGATAATCTGAAGCATTAGGGCAGAGAGGGAAGTATATATATGCCTTTCCTGCTGTTGGGAGAAACCGATTTCATCAAGACGGTGCGGGCCAACTTCCGGCAGCATCAGCAGACAATCAACCTGCGAAAGCTCTCTCAAAGTTTTAGAGAGACTGTCACCGCTTCCTGGACCCTGACTGTCACATGGACACGGCAGTCCAAGGAAAGGGATGTCCCCGACTGCCAACACAAGGGACACCAGAGACAGGATGATTGTGAGCGGCACAAATACGTGGTTGATCCCGGAAGATGTCTAGAGCCGGATGACCGAAGAGAATGAGCCATATGGCCGAGGCATGATGAGGATTCTATAAAGGAAGCTGCCCGGTCATGATAGACTTCCCTTGGTTCCTCCTCTCCCTGACACAAGGACACTGAGGACCAAGAAAGATTATCACACGTAGTAATTGACTTTGCTGTGCACCCCACATCGCCAGTGGCCATCATATCTAACCAATTTGACCTATTGTCGATCCCTGCCTGCACCAGACCAAGTCACCCGTTACACTGGCATCCAATACTTGTGGATCAACCAAGAGTGAGAACTGGAAGCAGCAATCTACCTTAATTGTAGATGTCTTCCAAAGATCCTATCTGAAATTCGCTGCAACCTGCGCTGGTTCACCGTATGGTGGTCTTTTAGGAAGCTACAGACTATACACGTCGGACCGGTTATGGTTCTCGGGGCCATTCATTTTGCCTCCCCCGCCCCCGAAACACGGACCGTGAAGCCATAGCAACTGGGTGCCCTTTGCTTTCTCGTGAATGGGTGTTTCAGGAAACCATTCGAGCTCCCAGAATCGTGCACTTTTGCAAGCAGCGCTGGTTTGGGATTGTCTCCAGCGTCGTATCTGCGAATGCGGCCCCATCACGAAAACTGAGTGCTTTATAAAATCGCTGGATTCGAGCGGCCATCTACTACATATTTGGCAAAAAAAGTAGATCTTCTTTCTGAACCTACGAACTTTAGCCTCGTACGCCACGAGATTCTTTGGCATCGGCTAATGAGCAAGTATTCGGCACTTCAGCTCACATTTGCATCGTACGAGCTGCTTGTCATTTCCGGTCTTGCTGACCCATTCCAGCGACGGACAGGCCGGTAGTACCTTGTTGACCTTGCTGGTCATTGTAAAGACGCGCTTCTTGAGAACATGTGCTAAATACAAGATCCCATGTCAGCAGGTGGAAGGACCCGTCACCAAAGTCGCATTCTTTGCCCCAGATCGTTGACAAATGCGAACCCCCCCCGGTCCGGGGAACCTGGTCTTGGGCATCTTTGGATGAACTCATACTTGGCTTAGGAACTGTTCCAATCTTCTCCCAGCAGGAAAATCATTTCTGATGTCATTGGCGCTGAGTGTACGCTAGCTGGACCCTCGTCAACTGGGCCAGTCTTAAACGGGTTCGTTGGCTCCGTTGTTATCTTGTACCGATGAGCTGACTCTCAGCATAGAGTCATGCTTTGAGTATTTGGTTTATATATCCAGATTATCTTTTAAAAGAAAACTGCCAACTGAACAACGAGGGGTAGTCGTTCTTGGTTCCCTTGATTGCTTTGCCGGATCACTCAACATCATAGTCACTCCTTCTCGGGACAAGTGATTGAGACAAAAGAATCGGAAATCATAATCTAATGCTAGTAGTCCCCCAAAAAACTTCTGCAATTACCCAACTTCTTTACTGTGCTTCCATTTCCTCAGGTTGGCAAATCAGATTAGACATCACCTCCAAGTCGTGCTTCAGAATGATTAGAAGGCCCAACAAAGCCGTCCAACCCTAGATGCCAAAGCTGAATTGCCGGCTAATCCACATCAATCGAACATTCAATGTTGATTTCCAGAATTTGCTCGATTGCCGCTCTCAAAGTTGAGTTCATGCTTTTGAAGAACATGATTGAATGCTTCAGCAGCCCAATGGTTAGGAGAACATGGTCCAGTTCAATAATGACACCATCTGAGGTGACATGAAAGTTGATCGAATCATTCGGTGTTTGAATTTTGGCCGTCTTGGTCAGCTTGCACAGCCAGTATGTCTCAGGGAAGTGCGCGTCAATCTCATTTCTGTAGAAGTGCTGTTTCCAGTTGTTAAGGTTCTTCGAGATGAGTGTCAATTGGCAGCTGCGAGCTGAACACCTCAATGACTTTCTCCATTGTGAGCTTGTACCAAGTGAGTGGTTAGTGATGAGTACTACAAGGACTCAACTGAGTTTCAACCAATTTATGTGTTTTCTGGACGACTATTGGGCTAAATTACCCATATATTTGCCATGAAAGAGGTATTACATACTGGTTTTCAATCACTGAATATAAGGTTGAGTAAAACGATGGCCTTATGACTTCGTTATTTTTTTGTTGTTCCGAGGGACACCAGGAACAGACCCAACTAATCGACTGGAGCCTCAGAGAGTCAACTAGTGGAGGATTGAACGGTTTGGGGAGAAAGTTGGAAAGAGTTAGTCGGTGGGAGAAAGCTAGGCGGCATCCTTTCTATGCTCTCCCGGCAAGAGATGGAATCGATGTTCGAGCGACGTGCAGGGGATACGACACCGCAAAAGCATTTGCAGAAGCATCCACTGCATCAAACAACAATAGCATGAATCTCGAATGACTTCCATCTACCACTAATGGAGTTTTCACTGCCCCTTCTTGGCATTTCTTAGACAATAGTACAATTAAATGGACTTGACAAAAGAGGAAACAGTCTTGGAAATGTGATCAACACCCCTAGCTATTGCTTGCACGTAACGGCAGGAGTAAAGGCCTTGTGCCGAGGAAGTGAGAAGGCAATAACTGAACTTTACACAGTTACTCTTGGAACATTATGCTGTTATCGACATCCGTGCTCGGTGCCTATCGCAAAAGGTACTGTGACCATGTTTTATGAGCATGCTACTGAACGTTGGCGGAAGATATCATTTGTAAGCAGACGGTCAATTGCAACTGACTAGGTACTCAACTAGGATGAATAGAACTGACAGGGCGATCGCGATCGGCAATGAGAGAGTGGAGGCCGGCCGGTAACAACAAGGAAATCAAGCATAGGAAAAGCAGAAGAAAAAAAGAAACCAGGAGCAATCTGAGTTCATTCTCCTCACTCAGCTCACCCAGCATTGCTTTCTTATTTCACTTCAACTTGTCTGAGAAAGGACCTTGCCCCTATGTGCTGAGCCTGAAGTTCACTGATCACCGCCAGGGTTAATCTCAGTAGGGTCACGGCCAGGATAATACTTGGCGATTCACATCTTAAGGATGACATCCTTGGTGTAGTCCTTGGTGTAGTAGTTGACAGGAATGCCAGAATCACCTTCCGCGACCTTGCGGAGGTAGTCTTCGAAGGCAGTCATCATAGAGTTTATGTCGAGGACCTTGTTACGGCCGTCATCTATCTCTCCCAGAGCCGTCAGAGCAGCCTTCATTGTGCTGGTTTTCAGTGTGACCATCTCTTGGCCCTTACGAGCGGCCTCGGCTGCACCCTTAATCGAGTCTGCTTGAGCAGCAGTACTGCTGTCGAGAATACTCAGGGCCTCCATGCTACTCGCCGGATCGAACTTGGAAAAACCCTCAACGCTCAGCTGAACCTCGTTCGACACGATCGATGGGATAACACCCAGGCAGGCAAGAGTAACATGAGACTGAATATTCTGAGTGCTGAAGAGACTCTTGACGCTCTCAGCGAGATTGAAATCCGCGCCAAACCCACCGGACATTTTAGCGAACCATGAAGCTGCATCCATCTGCGCCTGTACTTGTAGCGTCTGCTTGACATCTTGCATGATCTCCTGAGCCGCGGTACTGCTAGTGTTGAGGATGTGGACCATGCCCACGAAGCAGGAACCCATGGTCATGCCCGAAATGATGGTGAACTTGTTATTTTCTTTGCCATCCGTGTTTGCAGAGGCCTTCTTGATCAGGTGATACGCATCCTCCAGCGACATGCTCGTCGACGGAATGCTGTCGTCGGGGAATAGGGTGTTCCAAACCCCGATGGCCTTGTTGACGTCAATGACAAGAGGCGCCAGGACCTTCGAGGTCTTATGGCTGCAGGACGCGGTAATCACCAGGGTGCCGATAATCGTGTGCTTGCTGGTCTGGCTGCTGACCTGAGTCGACGCAGCGTGGCTGATTTGTGTCGCGACCTCCTGGCCCAGCCAACTGAAGGTTGAAGCCACGTAGTCTCCAACTTGCTGTACGAACGTGAAGGCATCCTGCTTATTGCTGTCCAGACTGAAATACTGAACATCTAGATTGAGAGTGTCTGCCGCAAGGGGCATTTGCTTGATCGCGGTCTGGACATAGTCGATCGGACTTTCAACATCGGCATGGACTGAGGAGATCTTGGACTGCAGATCCCGAATCTGGTTCTCGGCTTCCAACTTTTTCTGCGCGTATTGTTTGCCGAGCTCCACGATTGTTTTGTTCAGGTCTCCAATGTTCCTGTCAATGTCTGTGAGCTCAGTATCCTCGATTCCGAGGTTACTGAGCTCCGTCTTGGTCATGTCAAGACGTCTCCTGGAAGCAATGAGCGTCTGAAGCTGATCCCATAATGCGTCAGGCTCGGCGGAGGCTTTGGCAATGTCAGTAAGGGTCTTGAGGGCCCTGCCCTCAAGAACACTTCCGAGAACAAGCTGAGGGTCGTATGGAAGCTTGGAAGTTATGGTGAAAGAAGAGGAAAAGAACAACTACTTGGGAAGTTTGACGAATGATTGTATGCGTAACTCGTGAAGACAGAGAAGACGTTGCGATGCTTGCTGTTGAAGTGAGAGGAAAGCGGGAAAAGGAGTGGGTGTTAGCCCCTATATATGCTTGTGTGTGCGTAGTTTGAATAATACATTGAGGCGGATGCTGTTGTCTCTCATTTCAAGAACGAGAACCCTTTATTCTCGGCAAGAAACTTCACGCACAAACGAGAATCCTCACATCTCAGCTCGCCATCGAGGCCTCTGTGACATGTTTGATGTCCCTATCCGGAATATAGTGTCACCAAGGCACTTGTTCCTACTGCAGGGAGGAGCTCAATACCAGCTGATGAGGTTCCAGATCCTTCGTGGAGGAGAGACGGCTGGCTTAGGAGGCGTGCTGAGGTGTGATGACCGCGGCTTTCTCCCAATCATTGATAAAGCATTGAACAAGAGACCAAGAATAGCACGGTAAAACTCTCCGCTGAATGAAATGTCCCCTTCAGTATCTTTCATGTCCTCCCTCAGCCAGTGTCATCACCGTCTTCCGGCGGTGAGCGGACATGATTTTGAAGAGGCCTCATTCGGGGTCAGTTGTGATGGACTAGGTTCTGCATCCACCCGGAACAGCACTGACCTACAAAGATGGCCACCTCTAGTTCAGCTGGAGAGTTGCTTGGGGGCGTCGAAGCCACTGACATGGAGATCCTTTGAGTATCCTGGGTATGGACATCCAACGTAAGAGACCGCAGTATGCATGTGGTCTTCTACCCACAGGAGATTGCTCCCTTCTGACGATCAGAAACACTGAGGCCAGGACCAAATGTGATGTTCCTATGTTTTCTTTTTGCTAAATGACACTGAAAATGATTTCTGCTAACGAATAATAGTTCCACTTGAATAGTCTGCCTACGAACCCCCAGGACTAAATTGGTACTTTTGGCTAGCCCTCAGAGCTTCAGAAGGAGGACCCAGGTTTTGATGTCAGGAGAGTGAAACGAGCTGTATCTTCTTGAGGCCTCAAAGTTGAGGTTGTTTGTGTTACGTGTACAACCAATATAGGAGAAGTTTTCACAAGATTGCTGGCCCATCTGCGCAACCGTGCTCGAAAGGGATTTTGTGATTAAGATTAGACTGTCACTTTACCGTCATGGAGAAGGAGTCATAGGACTGTCGTATCTCGTTACCTCAGTATTCCACAACACACGAATGCGAGAACTTCGGCATCTGGTATGGGAGGACCAATGGGAGCTTCAACGGACTGATTCAACGGGGATTAGGATCTCGAAGTGGAGGGCAAAAAACATGAACAGAATTCTCTGTAGCACTGTTGAACAACTGAATCTGAGCTATTGAAAGTTGATACAAGAAACTATCAGTCAAGCATACGTTTCGTCAGCAAACATGACCCCCATAACCAAGGACTTCAGCTCGCCTCTGGCCAGTGACTTCACTAATCGAGCATTCTCCACGTGGTGTTTGTTCAATACAGCTAGCCGGTGGCAAAGCATTGGTTCGGGTTTACTCCGAAAGCCACCCAGACGGATGGGGCCGCCACAAAGTCAGCCGCATTGTTGTTGCAAGTTTCCCCGCATGCTCATAGACCGAGGTGCGTACGTGTATTCATGAAATCAGAAATGTCTACTACGCGATCTCTTCCGACAGCCCGCAACCCGGTGACCGGGTACTTTTTTCCGCTTGCCATTTTTTTCCACTTTTATGGATAGGGATCCTCAGAGGTCTTGGAGTGAAAGCGAGAGGTACGAGCAAAGTCCAAACTGTGGCCGCAGCTACTGTGTTACCCCGACGATATTGACTAATTACCTCCTATATCACACTAACTCATCACAACAGAACGATGTAGGTATAGAGAACCGTACAACCTCACTCGCATTTTGCTCCAGCCACGCGGTAAGCAACAAGTAATATATCGGATATTCTCCCCCGGCTTGACAGGTTCTCGGGTAATCAGCTGAGGATCCCTTTCCGGTTCCTCCCAGTTGCCATGGACCTTGCTCCTGGTTTCCTGCTTAGCAAGACTTTCCCGGACCACCAAATCGCCGGGTAAGCATCCTCCCGCACGGTTAACAGAGCCGACGAAGGGATGTCGAGAGGAGAGGCAAGGCGTGTGGGCTACCGCTAGTGTATAGGCTCATGTATCATAAACCACAGACGATGAACAAGGTAAAGGCACGTTAGGGTTGAGGATCTGTACATGCACATCGAGTTTAAACTCCGAAATTACAATATCCACATGATGTGTTGTATCAACATAAACAGGTAGGTACCCTTCAGCAACGTATTCGTATCTGCTCGTCACCGGTCGTCCTCTCACAGGCAATTCTCTCTAGCTGCAAGCCTTCAAGCCGCCATGCCAAGCACACTTACTTGTATCATCACATACACCTATGCAGCCATATACAAAGTTCCTAAACCTGAAATATCAACTCCATCAACAGAAGCATGTCAATCATCAAGTCCATATCCAAGGCCTCATCTTCTCGGAGGACCCTCAAACTTAGTCTTAATCTCCACCGACTCAACCGGACTGCCAGGCATAGGCGAGCCACTCCCCTTTTTCTTCAACATAACTCCACTAGCCGCAGTAAGAAGACCACTACTCCTCGACGTCTTCAGTGTAGGAAGAGTGGGCGGCGGAGGAGGAAGAAAGACAGACCCACCACCAGATTTCACGCCATCACTGCTAGCCGGCCGAGCGGGGGGCGGCGTCGTCTTTCGTTCCGACATTTTCTCTGGCACAGCAGGGTTCTCAAACACTCCCAGGCCAGGGCTTTGAGAGGGCGTCTGAATCCGAGGAGGCGCAGGTGAAGGGGCATGATACAATCTCTGATCCGTCCAGCCAGCCACACTCCCATTATCCAGCCTGCTCCCGGGACTGCTCAAAGCCAGACCAAACCCCATACCCGAGGTGGAGATAGGACTACTGAATGTGCTGCTGCTCCCGCTGGGGGGCGACAAAGGCGAGTTGTTGAGCACACCGTACTCGGCAGGGTTGTACTTACGGATACCTGGCGGGGGGGGCGGAAGTAGGGGCGAAGTGCTGCGGACAGATTCGGTGGCTGAAAGAGGAGAGTTGAAGTCGGATGAGGGAGAGGTCGAGGTATGGGCCTGTGGTGGCGGAGAAGGCGGGGGAGGGACGGTGGTTGTCAGGTGATGTAACGATGGGAGAGAGGCCAGGCCGTGCTTTTTGGTCGTGGCAGTGGTTGCTGTGCTGGCCGTCTCGATGTCATCGTGCACTGAATTACCAGAGGTAAGGGCTTCGTCGACGTGCTGTGGTGCTTGCCAGACACCAGAGCTGCTGTCTGGCTGGGGAAACCCTTGAGAACCGGGATTGTTGACGCCAGGCCAAAAACGAGGGGAGAGGATGTGTGTTTGGCACTGGAAGGACAAGGACGAGGTGTGGCGTCGGGATTTGATCTCACGTGTGCGTTTGTTCTGTCGACGGCGTACACAAACGAATGTCACAGCAGCTAGGAGCAACAGGAGAGCCACTGATCCGGCAGCGATGCCGATGATTGTGGAGGTTGGCAGGACAGGTCCCTCAGAACCTCCATCGTCCTCCAGTGTTGAAGGGTCAACAATCTGTATTTGGCCCTTAGTGAATACAGTACCGTTCAGGCCGAGAATTCCCGTTCCGGGAGCGGGCTGCTGCTCACATCCGGCTTGAAGGGCAATTAGGGCTGACAAGTTAGCTGGAATCCTTATCTGTGAAGGGTATATCACTCACAATTCGCTAAGTAGTCTGTTCTATGCTCAGCAGAGATGCACTGGATACAACTATCAAAGTTGGCTGGATCCATTGCCTCACCGTTACCAGCAGAGCAATAGGAGTAAGCTGTCGTGCTTCGAGGGTCAGGTATGCCATGTTGAATGCTTTCCTGAAGGACACCACAAGCTCTGCTTGTTGTGCATGGAGAAGACTCCGCGGTTCCATTAGGGAAGCCAAAAATACAATATGATGCCTTATATCTCAGATTATCTAACGATGTGAGCAGTTGTCCACAGGCTCATCAAACTGGACCTCCACTTACAAAGGAACCACTTGACATCGCTCTCAGAACCCTGGGCGAACGAGCTCTTCTGTAAGCAGGACATACAGCTCATAAACTTAGTACCCGTGTTGCTGTTGTAGTCGGCATCCTGGCACACAATGTCCGAGTTCAGCGTGCTGGACGAGTTGGGATCTGAGACATCGAGGTGAGGAGCGTCCAAGCATTCGCGGGCACAAGGTGAGTTTGGGCTCACTTGGAGAGCCCGGCTTGGTGAATTGGAGAAAAGAGTGACGAGAGTGAGAACCGCGGTCACTGTTGTCTGTTGGCGGGCCATTTTGTGGATTTGTATCTGGGGTGTGCGAGAAAAAAAATGGCCTTAGCTAAGTTCCCGGGACCAGCCACGGAATGAATGAACTAGATACACGAAGGACAGACCGTGATTATCAAGATAATATGAGTAAAAGAGGAATGCGAGTGAACAGAAGAGCAAGTCCAATGGCCAGGGACACAGCTGATGGGGATCGGGAAGCTGGGTGACACGGGCACAATTAAGACCCAAAGTTCACCACACAGCAGCCGCCGCACGACAACACACGAGGGCGTGGCGCCGCAATGTGACGAGAGCTAGTGATGCAGGTACAGCACATGGCCACAGGCGCGCGTTGAGGACAGAAAGCTAACAGCTCCTGCTCAATTGCCGACCCAGACAGACTGGTGAGTGTGATCTCATCGCTCTCCTTTCCCCTGATGGTCCTGCAAAGACTCTCGAGGCACGATTGCCAATCAAATCTGGACGTGCTAGTATGGCGAGCATTGATCGTCTCATTAGGTATTCACGTCGTCACAGTCGCCATTGGGAAACGGTTAGCGAAGGCAGAGATAAGCTTATTCGATTTCGCACTTTCTTCCGTTTCCTTTCTCTATGGTTCCATCATTTCGTTGTCTCCATGTGAGCTCGAAGGTCTTGATGGGGAAGACGACTAAACATGTTGGTTTTTAACTATCTCAACTCGTATTCCTAGACCAACAAGCTGTGTAACGGACGAATGGCCAGCAGGAACTTAGCAAAGGTGTGCTTGCAGCCAGGTGAGCAGCTCGCAAAAGTGCCAACCAAGAAGGAGAACAAGGAACAAACCTTGGTTAAGTGGGTCACTCTCCAGAGTTTAGCTTGGCTTGGCGGGCGCTTCACCCTTGCCAAGAACTGATCTGCAACTGGGCGATCTGGGCAAGGGCCGGGGTGCGTGGGAGCTTATCTGAGCCGTTCCCGCACGCTGATTGGCTATTTTCCATGGACCCTGGCAGACGTTGAGGAAGTGCCCACCTAGCGCTAAGCACCGGGAGGCTTCGTCTCCATCCACATCACCCACATCACGGTCGTTAAGATCATCGCATCTCGTCGAGGTGATGACAAAGCTCAGCGGACGTCAGCATCACCGTTGAGGCTGAGCCCGCCTGGCTGTGACGACAAGCGCCACTTCAGCACAAGCACACTAGATTACTCAGAAAACTATTTCCAAGATCGCAGAGGTTCAGGGTGTGCCATCCTGAATGGCAATATCGGCGACGAAACTCAACAGTCCCTGTGGTGTTGATGTGACCACCAGCTTGCAATTAGACTAGCGATGAGCTCCAACTCTTCAGCTTCCACCTTCGGAATTTCTGCTCAGCAAGTCATGTTACACAAGCAGGACACGCAGATTGGTCAGCACGGGCCACCACAAGGTGTCTTTCCTGTCGTGAGTAGCTTTGCCGCCGTTGCCGGCTTGCCCCTTACCGGAAAAGTCCCGAGAGGCAGAATATCTGCGGCCCGAAAGCGGCCTTCTGGGACATGAATCTCGGCCTTAAAACGCGTCACCATTCCAGCAACCCGGATCACAGCATTGCCTACACCTTGAAAGACCTGCTGATCGGATTCGAAGCGCCAGACAGTTTCCAGGGGAGGAGGTACTTGGTCGTGTCAGCAAGTAAAAACAAAATCCATTACAAACTCCTTAGCTCCATACATACCAGTATTCATACACCCAACCCTATCCAATGCCAGTGTCCTTTCCTCCAATCCACAAGTAGGCACAGCCCGTCCCTCATGAAACAGTGACATTTCCATTCGTAGCGGCGGCGATCGCCGCTCCAAACAGACATCTCCCCTGCTCGCAGTTCCCATGGAATACTATCCAACCTCCTCCCTCAGCCCAGGCTGCACCTCCTGGCGCGGTAATGTTGAATCCATCTCCTGTCTGAATCAACGGCTTTGCTCCCACCGCTCGTTTGAAAGGCCCCTTGACACTCCCCCCATCCGCTACCTTCGACACGGCATAGTTGACGCTGTAGAGCGGGCCATCCCAGCAATGGTTGCTGTACAGCAGGACATACACTCCCCCATCATCGTCATCTTTATCTCCATTCAGCAGCGCCAACTCTGGCGCCTCAACCAACGGCCCATCAACTGCAGCATCGCGATCTAGCACCTGCACAGGCTCTCCAATCAGCGTTACTCCATCAAGTGCATCGACCTCTTGTAACATGATGGGCGTGCCGCGCTCGGGGGAAACTCCGTTATTGCACTCGCCGCCTCCGCCGAGTGAGTTGCCGTCGACTTTGTACAGGATATATCGTCGCCCAGTGGCTGGGTCGACAAACCCTGAGGGATCGATCGCACCTCCTTGTGAGAGCGGGCAGATCAACGGTGTAGGCAGCGGCGTGTAAGGGCCGAGAGGCTCATTTGGGGGCGAGAGTGCTGCGCCGATGCAATGGAGCGTTGTGTCCGTTGTTGTGACGGTTGTGTTAGTGACGATGGTTGTGTTGTCAACAGGGTTCGCAGCCGACGTGGTGATGTTGATGGTTGTTGATGGATGTAGCGCCGAGTAGTACATGACATACTGGTATGTCTGGCTGGTATCACCGGCAGCGGTGAGGTTGATGCGTACCACGGACGGCGCCCAGGTTAGTGTATCTGTTGTCGGATTTTCTTGTGGGTAGGATGTCCAGTTTCCTGCTGTCGGTAGCGGATTTGCATCTGGAAGATATGTCCAGGGTCCTCCTAGTGCAGGGGCTGAGGCAGCTTGAATGTTCTTGAATGTCGTTGTTCCCGTGCTGTCGCTCAACACTGATTGCCATGACCCGGTTCCAAATCCATACCAGGTTCCTGACAGAGGATCTCGCACGATACATGGGTCTGGGAAATCGACCGCCAGTAGCGGGGTCTTGCTGTTGCTGCCGCTACTGGTGCTACCACCACTAGTAGTGTTGCTACCGCTGTTGGAATTGCTTCCATTGGCCCCCTCTTCTGGAGCAGCAGTAGTCTGGCCAGGCACCAGGCGAGGCATAGCCAGCAACGTTGTGAATGAAAACAACACGCAAGTCGGAATTAACATTGGAATCACTGTCGTCAACAGTGGGGTACAGCAATACGGCCATGGATAGTGCCAGACGCAATAGCGGTGGCAGCGGCAGCGTCGACACCTCCTGCTCCCTCGCCTTCTCCAGGCAGCTGGGGCGATGTAGATGTGTTGGGACTCGTAGGAGTTTGGATGATCGAGATGCCTCCGATGTAACGGTAGTAGCGGGGGCGGGGATCGACTTGTTGATCTGATGTTCTGGCTCTCTGAATTCTCAGCGAGGCTTCTGATTATCCTCGTCCTGTAGTTGCTGATAGTGTTGGTCATTGATCGTATCTTCTACCCAGCACTTGTGGCCAAGAGTCCAAGCTTGGTTGGATAGGCATCGCAGGTCGTTACCCAGAAATAATGCTTGGACTGGCTGGACTGTTAGCCTTTTGGAGGTAGGTGCTGACACATTACAGGAAGCGAATGGACTTTGGGCTCTGAATCAGCTTTGACTGTTGCATACCCATTAACGATAGAAGACAAGATGATTATCAACCCAAGACTCCGGCATAAAAAGACTATGTTGTGCTTATGAAGTCAGTCTTCCAGTGCCGAGCTCACACATCGGATGGTCCCTTGGCTCACATGCTCGGCATGCATAATCCGTGGCAAGTGCGACATACGTTTCTGCAAGGCACAGACAGACCTACAAGAGAGGAATGCTGATGAGGACATGTTGACGTTAACTGGCATAGGAATTCATTTGGATTGATTCCAGTGCCGCTATGTACAACTGATTGAAATGATGAGCAGGCATACCAAGTATCTATCGAAAAAGAGTTTTGAGTTGGGGGTGAGTAAGGCAACCCCTGACACCACTATCATGAAGGCTGTTGGATAACACAGTCGTTCACTTCCAAAGCACACAGTCACAAAAGTTAAGGGAACACAAGTAGGTATCTGAGGTTTTCACATTCACTAATCTTAGAGGTATTATGAACATCCCTCCACCCCAGATTTGCAACATGAACGTCGAAAATCAAAGAATCGACCAGACCATAGACCTACAAACAAATACCGGGGCCATTAACGCCATCTTTTTGTGTTCCATGAAACACAACCTAGCCAGCCCTGAAAACGCCAGATCAGCCCACCAAATGCTTTCATATAACAGAAAAATTTCCACGAAAACCTGAAGTCATGACAAGTTAAAGGATCACTCATCCTTGTCGGACTTCTTCTTCTCCTTTTTTTCTTTCTTCTCCTTCTTCAGGCGCTTGCGCTCAGCCTTCTCCTCAGCTGTCTCATCCTTCTTGCGCTTCTTAGAGTCGCTAGCATCGGCAGACTTCTCTTCAGACTCATTCTTCTCCTCCGGAGCAGGAAGGGCAGGAGTAGAAGGGGCAGCAGCGGCATCAGCACCAGCCGGAGCCGGGAGGGCAGGAGCCTCCGAAGAGGAAACATTGTAGTCCTTGTAACTCTGGAGCCAGGAAGCCGGGGTCTTCTCGTTAGGACGGCCATACTTGTCAAGAAGGCCAGAAGCCTTGAGCTTCTTCTTTTCACTGGCCACAGGACCCATGCCCCAGCGGCGAGGATACAGGTCGCGCTCCATGATGCAACGCTTGACCTTGGCGACACAACCATGGTCACAAGTAGCAAGCCTAGTAGACAGTCAGTCAGAGCCACAAAACGGACTGTGAGAAATCGAAGAACGTACTCAACAGCGCCCATCTGAGCAATAGCAATGGCAATAGCCTCACCCTTGGTGGTCATAAGCACAACCTAGATAAAGTTAGCATCACAGGTCATTCAACCGCGTTAACAATGGGGGATGACCACTCACCTCTTCTCCCTGCTCAATGCCCTGGTCGTAACGCAGGAGGCCCGGGATCATGAGCTTCGCACCATAGCAAACCGCATTTACGGCTGTATCCTTGACAACGAGCCTCTTGTATGTGCAAAGCAGGGTCTCAAGAGGCTGGATAACCTTGCGGAGAAGAGCTTCATCGCCGTTGTTATCATACTGCCACTGGGCATCGAGAACATCGTGCAGAGTAACAAGACTCCCATCGTCCTCAGACATAACACCGCTACGAACACGGCGCAACTCCTGCATGTGGGCGCCGACACCCAGCAGAAGACCAAGATGGACACACAAAGTACGAATATAAGTACCGGCCTCGCAAGAGACCCAGAAAACACCGAGATGACGCTCGTTATCAAACTCAAGCAGACGGCTCTTGTGGATCGTGCGGATACGGAGCTGGCGCTTAACAGCAGAAATCAGCGGGGGACGCTGGAACAGTGCGCCAGTCAGGGTTTCAAGGGCCTTAGCAAAAGCAGGCTCGCCGCCGGGAACAGTGTCGTGGAAGCGAATGCAGCAGACGTATTCCTTGCCCGCACCCTGCTGGGCCTTGACGAGACGCGTGGCGCGATCGATGCAGACAACTTGTCGAAGTCAGCGGGGCTGCACAATCAAGGATTTCAGAAGCGGACTTACTGAGACAGCCAGTGACCTTGGGATCCAAAGTACCGGAATGGCCGGTCTTGTCAACTCTGTGAAACAGATTGTCAGAAAAAGGCCGCCAATTTATTTGAAGCGATCAATAAATCGTCCAAAACATACCGGAGAATGCGTTTGATCCAAGCGACAACCTCGTGAGAGGAGGGATTGGAGGGCTTGTCGAGGTTGATGACACCGCTCGAGACGTAAGACTTTATATCACGGCTCCAGGGAGCAGAACCATGGTCGGGGATCGGAGTGAAGTGAGAAGTGCGAATCAGCATCTTGTCGTAGTTCTTGAGGAGACCAGGCCAGTTGCTGGTGTCGACCTCAGCCTTGGTGTTCTCAGGCTTGATGATGAACTCCGACTTGGCCGGGGCCTTCATGATGGCAGCTGAGCCCGACATCTTGACAATGATGGGACTGTGGTATTGCGCGTTGGCGAGGCTGTTTTGGAGTGAAGATGGCGCCCCACACAAGAGTCGGTGGATTGCGCAGAAGAAAACAGGCAGGTCAACAGCACAGCGCGCGCAATTGAGAATTGAGGAAGAAAGAAGAGAGAATGTAGGTGGAACGCGAAGAAGTTCACGAACTCGGCCGGCTGGCTGGATGGTGCAGTCGGACAGTCGCCGTACGATTTTCCACCAGGCGATGCAAACTGCAGAGGTTTTCGTCGGCTTGAGGAGGTTTCGAAGCAGAAAGTAGAGAAGTTGTACCTGAAATTTTTGCTGGCCTGCAGGTGTGGGGAACTCAAGCTTGACTCGCGCTAAACCAAAAGCGTACTAATCACGTGAAGATAAGCTCATTATCATAGACATGGCATTGCGGGCGTTGTGCGTGTGGCCAGTGCGCTTGGAGCGCTCTCCCATACGCGCACCAGCCAATGTTTATTGAACAAGCAACTCCTAATATTGTCTTAAAAGGCCATTCCTATTCAACTCTGTTCAAGCCATTCTTTTGCAAGGTTCTTCTGCCTTTACCTATGTTCTAAGGACAACATGGGTAACAACTAACAAAAACTCAACAACCCCAGTAGCCCCCAAGCAAGCTAACAGGCACGGTGTGAACTATCTCGAGGGCTTAGCCAGCTTCAGTCACCAATGCATCGCAGATCGGTTTGTATCGTGATTATTGGAAACTCATTGGCTAGAGGTGCCGTTTGTATATGCGTATTACTTCAGCTGCCTTATGGGAGGATACACATGTTTCCGTATCCTAGTCCAAAGTAGTTGTAGTGCCCAGTAAACACCCTTCAAACAGATTACCACATGAGCGTGGGCTTGCCGCACAGGAGTTTAAATGCCCAAACCCATCTCAAACTGCAATCACAAACTTAGCTGGGTATTAAATACAGTAAACAGATTAAATAGACAAAGCGATGCCGCCGCTTTCAAGCCTACAGCATTCATGACACCTCGACCCCTGTCTGAGCAAGTTGCTCCCTTGACCCCTTCCTTGATCTGCCATACCCGGGGTGTTGGAGCACCGGGACTTTTGCCTGAGGTAATGAGGGCGTACTATAGGCATATGTTCCTACGGCTCCTTGTTGCTGCTGTTGTTGCCGTCCCTGACTTCCCCCATAGGGACTCTCCACCTCACGCAACTCGTACAACTCCACCCCTCTCTCAGGCTCCTTCCCCTTCGACTCGATCGGATACCCATTCTCATTAAGATTGTCGAGATTTATGCGGATGGTGTTGCCAAGGCTTTGATTTGATGTTTTTGATTGTAGGTTGGCATCCTCACCACCAAGGACAATTCCAAGACCATTACCCATCTGCTGTTCACGCTGTCCTTGCATCTGCATGAATATCTTCTCCTGAGATGCTGTTGGCCACCCCTGTTGTTGCTGTTGTTGTTGTTGTTGTTGCTGTGGCGGTGGTGGCGGTGATGGCGGTGGTGGTGGTGGTGGTGGTGGTGGTGGTGATGATGACAGTTGTTGGGTTTGATATTGCTGATTTAGCGCTGCCATCATCTGGTCAATCTGCTGCTGCGTTAGCGGCACAGTAGGCCAGTTGGCAGTAGTTGACACAGAAACGGGGCTGTTGAACTGGCTCGTATAAGGACTGAAGTAGCGAGGGAACGGGCCGTCAGTGCCGGCGCTCACGGGGCTCTCATTGTCCCAGCTGCGAAGGGGACGTTGGCTGACGGGCGTCTCAAACATGTCCGGACCAGAGCTAGGGCTGCCGCCATATCGGGTCTTGGGGTGAGACCAATTCTGACCTCCTCCTGCTCCCCTTTCTCCAGCTTGCCGAGCCTTGAGCTCGCGAAGGAAACGTTTGCGCCTCCGCTTACCATTCATGACGATACAAAAGCCGGTCAGAGCCAAGATGAAAGCTAATCCTCCGAATGCAATGCCGACGCGAGCGCCGAGGGAGACAGGACCGTAGTCGGGTGTTGGAAGAGACGAGAGTGCTGGCTCTGGCGGAACGATCTTAATTTGCTTATCGCCAAAGATGTCACCTTCGATGGAAAGCGTCCTGCCAGATTCGGGCTTTTGCTCGCATGCTGCCTCCAAGATCAACATGTAATTGCTCTTGATGATGCCGTCATCCATTTGAGCAAGGCACGGGGCACAGTTGTTATGCAGCATGTCCTGCTCCCAGTTCCGGCAGTAATCAAAGGCCCCCACCGAGGTCGAGAAGTTTTGATACGTGATCGCATCTTGGAGCTCTCCGCAAGCAAGCCTTCAGAGTTTAGTTAGGTGTTAACAAGCACGTCTTCAGAGCATTACTTACCGTGTCACACACGGGTTGGTTGGCCCGTTATAGAAGCAATGAAGTGAATTCAACCTCAGATTATCTGAAAGGTCAGTGCGTGTTAACCAGCCATCCTTGAACGGCCAGAAACATACAGAGTAGCCATTGCAGGTCCGTTTCCTTGTTTTCCGCGACGTAGGTGCTGGTAGCTAGACATTGGATGCACTGCTCCCATACGAAGCCCGTCGAAGTCTTTTTGATGGTAGCTGTGTCGCAAGGGATCTCGTCTTTGGCCGTGGACGAGAGCACATTGCCACAATATCTGGCACACGGTGATCCAGGGGCAATGCGTAGTGCGCTTACCAGCGACACTGACACAGCCGTTAGGACAAGGCTGGGAGTGTCAGGCCGCATCTTGATATCCTCCCCCTAGCACGCACTGTTCCGTGCCGTCCAGCCAGGGATTCTGTTTGTCTAGAGATCTTGAGGTTGAAACGGAGGTCGGGACGTGATTCGGGCAGGTATGAGGATTCTGCGTCCTGGCTGCCGGGGGACGGCAATACTGCAGCTCCAGGTCAAGGCTGAGCTTATTGTTGTGTAGGTAATTGTTACGACATGGCAATCCGCGTGTCTCTAACGAAGCTTCTTTGAGTCCACACCGGCGACACCGGGGGATAAAGAGAGGTCTCGAGAAGCAAAGGAAGATCCGAGGTCCGGGGATCGAGCTCTACAAGGAGCGTATTGGAATAGTGTATATGAAAACAGTCACGCAGGCGTTGAGGGATGCAGAGCCATGCGCTAGCATAGAGCCTAGAGGCACGGAACTTCAGAACAAGGCAGGGAGTGACGTGATGTTGGCGAAAGAAAGACTTGGGGTTGTTGGTGGAAGGTGGTGGATAGCCGAAACCCGTTGTCACGTTAAGGTGGCGCACATTGCGCGGCTCAATCAACGGCTGTCCACCAAGCTGTTCGCAAGCCACGAGACAGCCGATTCATCAAAGATGAGTGAATCGGAAGGAGAATCGTAGCAGATCTGAGAGGTGTTCGCCTGAGACCTTGTAGTGCCTGAAAAGCGCAGAAAAAAACCACTGGTTCCCCTCCCCTGTGCTCCCCGAACCTGGAACACCGCCCCGATCGACACCACCGCAACAGTTGCCTATGCTGCTGTGCTATGGAGCCGGGCAGCTAGCCGGCCAGCCCCCATAGTTTGATCTGTCAAAACGGTCCGCAGTCGCGGAGAATCGGGAAACGGACTTGACAAGCATGCAATGACGACCACTTCGCGCCGCTGGGCGGCAGAGGCCTGCAGCGGACTCGAGCCAATGCATTGTGAGCTGGGAGATGGATGGCGATTGACCAGTCGCGCGTCGACGTCCGGGTGCTCTCTACAAGGCCCCCTGCAAGCCCTTCATGGCCCCCACGGGCATCACGCATTTTTGATTGGCTGTCACCAGCTTTCAATGTCTGCGCCAATGGACGGAGATCCAGCCAATCATATGCATTCCTTTCTCTCCAAGCTGACAGCCCCCAATCCGGGCTTCCCCGCTTTGCAACCGTCAAGAAAGCTCACTTGGGAATAGAAACTGCAACTGCACCCTTTCTCTCCTTTGCTCGTCACCCTTTTCTGCTTTGGGGATTACACCAGAGCTCTGGTTGCATCCGGCCTCAAAAGCCGTTATTTATGTCATCCAGAGTGGGCCGATAATTGACCAAGCATTGCCACAAGAGATTGCGAAAAAAAGCTTGTCAAGAGCTTGTCCCAGGTTTGGGGTCGAGCTTCCTGGTCGCTTCCCAGCCCCCGGAGCTGTGATGCTGGCTATAAGCCCTCAACATGTTGATGAGGTCAATGCGCGCTGACAATTTGTGAGCTGACTTGGTTCTAGTCTGTGACTGGCGCCCTGGAGCGGCCCGAAACAGCTCACCTTCCTGATCCTGTCACGGTGCGCGCATGCAAAAAGCAAGACGCACGATTGCACAAGCTACAACTGCAGAAAAGCCACAAACCTCACCGGACGTGAAAAACTCCGTAGTATTATTCACATAAAGATTCCGGCAGTTTGGGTTTGCCGTCGGAGTTGATAAACCCCCTTTATTTGCTGTATGTTCCTGCCGTGTAAGCATTCAGTATTGTTGCAAACCAGTGAGTCTAAGACGCTGGCCAGAGCAGATAATGAGGGATGGTATCCATAAGTTATCTGGGTGAGGCTGGACGTTGGAGGGGACAGCCATGTGTATCTGTCATCACTTATATTGCCTACATCGGTAAATAATGCTGCAGCACGCAGTGAGCTTTACCATCGGTGCCTCGCAGAGAACAGTATCCGAATGGGGGTGTGAGGAGCTAATGTAGCGTCAGCGGCTAAAGTGGTCAGCTTGTCACACCTTCGCTGTGATGGTGGCTCCGGCAGTCACACCGTGCACTGTCCAAGGTGAGCGGACAAAACTTGGACTGTTTACGATAACCTTGCTGTCCAAGTAATCCAAGATGCTTTATTAGTCCACATTGTGCATGACGTCTAAAATGCCAAGCAGGAGAATTCTCGACCTCTTTTTTTTACATTCATATTTAATGCCAAACCTATAGGATAAGCATACTAATGATGTAATGTTATAAGAGTCATGATGCTTCACCAGAACATGCTTATAAACCTTGCAGGAACCCCTGAACCCCTTCAAAGTCTGTATCCAGCACCACGCAGTTCATTACAGGAATATCTTCCTTTGCTATCAAGCCTTCACCTGCCCCAGCCACATTCCTTCATCCTCCTCATCAACTCCCTTCGTTGCTATGCCGACATTGACCTCAGTAACAGCAATACCTGCCTTCATGCCGACATCAGCACCAACACCGCCCAAGATCCTCTTCCCAGCCACAACCTGACTATGATCGTAGGTATACTTGTGGCTCGAAACCAGATCTCTCAGTCTTGTACCCATCATCGCTGCTCCGCTCATGGCCATATCCCGAATCACCATCATCATCCTCGCAATCATGCCCCAACTCATGTTGACCATCTTCCTTGCGGAAGAACAGTCCCTGAACCCTCTGCAGTGCTGACGTCCCTTTATCATGGGGGCTGTCGTCAGTGGTTGAAAGAGATGACGATGTAGTTAGACTCGGTTCAGAAGATGTTGGAACATTGCTAGTGGGAGTCATTGTTGATGCTGTGGTATGGAGCGCCGTCGATGGACTATCAAAAATAAAGAGGTCTTCCTCTTCCATCGTATTGTCGGGTTCGAACCTGCTTGCATATTGCTGTTGGGAAGCTCCGGAGTTCTGGGCAGAATGTTGAACAGGCTGCTTGACATGGAGAGTTTTGCTCGTGCTAGCAAAACTCCTTGTAGTATTGTAGATGGGTCCTGCCCAGCTCGCTGGCCTGGGTGTTAAGAGTCTTCGGTAGGCATGAGTATAAACAACTGTCTCCCCATTTTCGTCCATGTTCGTCTTCAAGCATTGAGTTTGGCTTGAGGCATCCGCAGCTGCAGGCTGCGGATTTTTCGATGTTACACTATTATGGCCTTTGGTATCGTCAATGCGCGGTAAATTATCGGAAGAGCTGAGTAATGTTCGCCCGTCGCCAGGAGCTGGCTGCGTGTTCTCCGAGGTAGAAGTCGAGTCAGGACGAAGGCGTAACTCGTCGGGCGCTTCTGTACCTGAAGCCAGCGTCACCTCCTTAGTAGCAACAGAGTACTCGCCTACCCTATCTTGAAGTTTACTGTCCTCGCTCCGTTCGCTGCATTCAGTAGTCTCCTCCTTCACCTCAACTCCCAAACTATAACCTTCCTCTTGCAACTCTGGTTTGTCATTCCCAGGTTTGGGCTTAGCAACTCGCTGCTCTTTCTCTTCCTCCTCTTCCTGAACTGACTCCTTAAGCGCTGACAGAGTTGGCCCATGCCTCCAGAACCATCCGCCCGGCTTTGGATCAATGGGCGTTCCAGTCCATCCATCGTCATCAAATGGCGTTATGGGTGTCATACAAGCACCACCGGTGAACAGCGTTGATGAGTTGTCGCCATAATACCACGGATATGGGCTTGGCTTTGATTGATATCTCGACGCTGAGCTTGGAATGGTCAGTTTCGGGCGCGGCGGTCTCCGAACGATCGCTGGAGAAAGCGGCAAGCCAGGAGTATCGACGGCGATATCGGTGACAGCACTGTTCAGAGAAGTGTAGTTGTCCGTATGAGCACGTGAGGCTATGGGAGGTATCTGCAACCTGGTAGGAGATTTGCTGTGAACTGGAGATCCGGCTTCGTTTTCTGGAGGGGCCAACCATGGAAGACGAGGGGATGTTGCGCTCCGAGGCGATGTATGGACATACATTTCGATATTCGGTCTTGAAACTTGGGGTTCGTGTGTGAGCGGTTCAGTGACTGCGGCAGTTTGAACGGTAGACCCTGGAACAGGACTAGGGCCAACTTCGAAAGAAGTCCCTGGTAGTGGCCAGTTTGGCTCAGTCAGCTCATCCTCAAATTCAAGCCCTATATCCAGCTTGTTGGCTGCACTTTCAGCGGCAACCTCATCGGCATCTGTCAATTTCATTCTGGGTGGCTGACTGGTGTCGACAATAAGCAATCCAGTCTCACCGCGACCGAGAACTCCGTAAACGAAAACTTCCCCCAGCTTGACTCCCAAAACAGCACTTGTGCCGGTGTATGTGGCGTCATACTCTGTCCCAGTCCTGTTGCAAAACACAAAGATGATCTCATCCCCATCGTTTGAGCGGACCAGGGGCTCAAGGCGCTGGACCCAGTAGACGAGTGTATCAAGATCAGGCTCGTGAGGGTTGTGTAAAAATTGTGCAGGGTTCTGTAGAGTTTGCCAGGCCATGCTCACGATAATCACATTTGAATCCGAGTCCAGGGCATGGTAGGCAAACTCAAAATCATCCCATGGAGCCTCAAGTTTATAAGGACTGAGTGAAGTTAGCATGCTGCTTCACATCAAAATATTTCATGATACATACTTGACATCTGTACTGATGCCCAAAGCCACGTTTCCGAGACCCGGGATGTTGCCATGGAAGAAGCCCTCGGGACCTTCCAAGGCCCATGTTTCGTCGGTGTAGTAAAGAAACGACTTGCGGTAATTGACCACGATGTCCCCGTCGCCGCTGACAACGACGGCCGAGTTGTAGTACTCTGGAGAGGCTGGCCATTTGGCAGATGGATCAACTTTCTCCGGGTAACCCACGACAACTGTGCAGTCGTACTTGAGCGCCGTTGCTTTAGCCCAGAGAGAGGTGATCCCCGAGCCGAGCCCTTCAAGGTACGGGTTGATGTGTTGCAACGACTGAAAGTTGTACCCTACTCTTGGGTCAGTACCTGAGATATTCTCATCGCGTGAAGGACATAGTTCAATATCACCGGGCCGCGACTTACCCGTGAAGGCAAGCTCCGGCAGAACGAGCAAGTCTAAACGTTCAAGTTCGTCTTGAGCTGCATTACTGAGAATCTCATCTGCGCGGCTTAGATTGTTATTGACGTCGCCCAACTGCGGGGCAAACTGCAAACATGCTATCCTCATGGCTCCAGCCAGCCGGCGCCACAACGCCGGGCACGGCTTGGATCGATGAATGAAATTGACGGGTACAGCACGCTTGATATAACCCCAACAATTGTTGTGGGATAAAGAAACCGTTTCCAGGACAAAGTGAAGTCAGCACCGCTATCAGTCCGTAGCCAGCCTGTCTGCATGGATCGTGTGGAATGAGACAATCCAAATATTGTTATGAACCGAAGGCCGACGTATGGACCCCAGTGCGATGGAAGACATGGGAAAGGAGAAGAGCCCAAAGAGACGGGCGGCCAGCGGGAGGAGCATTGGGACCTGGAGATGGGCCGGTGGGGGAGAACCACGCCGACGTTTCAGGTGTCCCGATGGGAAGCAAGTAGCAGTGCTTCCATCGGGTCATAGGCACCGCCATGGCAAGATGGCCAGGCCGGGAAGGGGACACTGGGGTTGTTGTAAGCGCCCAGTGTTAGGCAAATGACGACTGTCCAATCATCCGGTGTACAGTGTTTCGGTTCCGGATGTCACACACACATCAGCAAACATCTGTGGGGGATGGTGTGGTCTCATGGCTAGCAGAAAGGTGTTCTGTGTCTTAAGCGGAAATCTAAAATTGGCCAGCTGTGGATAACTGCCGAATGCCTGGGTTTGACAGAGAAGGTTTTGAGCTGAAGATAGCGTTGTTACTTGCAGATCACCGTGATGAGAACTGGCTAAGAATTTGAGATCGGCCATGAGAAGGACGACAAGGAATACAAGATGACACAATGTTTTGCTCAGGCTTTGAAATTTCCGATCATATTTCTTCGATGGTCCACAGTTGGAAATATCTGATTCCGTTGATTGAAGATGTGGTGCAGCGATCTGCCACAGCACTGACGGTGAGTCGGGAAGAGGTTGAGGAGACAGGAACAGCGAAACTGGAAGCTCGTTCTGTGCGTTCTGTGCGTTCTGTGCGTTCTGTGATCGCCCCTCACTACTACACGCTGCACCAGGACTTTGTGGGCAACCTGGCTTTGTGCCAAGCTGCACTAAGGTCCCTTAGTCAGGGGTTTCATCCAATCAGAGTCTTCAGAAACAGTTGTTTTTGGCAACTTGCCGCCCTGATTGAGTCTCCTCTTTTCTTACTTCCGGGCACGCAAACCCAGCAAGAACGACCATCTTTTTCTAGCATCATGGTCACCTGTTTCCATAAATTCGCAAGCAATTCTACCAACCGCAAAGCACTATTTTGGGGTCAAACATTTGATGAATCTGATCGCTCGCCTCTGGAATATGCTCTCAGAACTCAGATGAAGTTTTCGTCCATTTGTAATTGATGTCGTGGACATGTTGAAGCTATGTTGACCTTGCGTCCTGGAGTTGTGTTTCCAGCGCTCGCAGCAGCGGTGGAGGAAAGGGTGTAAGTATCTCTCGAGAAAATCTCAGGGGCGGGTACAGAAAAAGGTGGTCGTTTTCCTGGATCGCCCTGGCACGTGCATGCCTGGGTCATTTCTCCAAGCCTTCATGCTGGACAGCCAACCAAATGCGTCGGCTTTCCTTCCGCAACGCAGCGCCAATAAGGCTTAAATAGGTTCGCAAACGCACGAGACAAAAGCTGACTTTGGAGCTCGAGACCATACGGAGTATTGTTTGCCCCTTATTCGCTGTCAACATAACAGTCCTTTTTTGAGTCTAGAGACGACTTTTAAGCATCGACCTCAATCTCTGGGAATGATCTTTGTCGGCCCGGATGGCAGCATGCTAGCATCATCTAACATTCAAGCCAGCGTACGTACTCATTAGATAGTCCAGAAGCTTACTCAGGCACTCTAACGGCGCAGGAAGCACTCCATTATTTTCTGGCTAGGCACGATCTGTCGTGCGTTTCGACATCAGAGTAAAGTGCCTATTTTCGGATACCAGGACACCTTCCCTGGCACACGGCTGTGTGATCTTAATGCATGATGTAGTGACTATATGTCTGCTTAAACTGCTGAAGAATAAGCTTATCGCACTATACAAGCTTGAAGAACACCGGAGCAGTCTTGCTTCGAAGTAACAGGCCGGCAGTGGCGGAAGAAGCTCATCTAAGTTGGTATACTGTGCTTGAAGCTAGCTGCGGCCCGTCTTCCGCACGAAATGTGCAGAACCCGGCCATATATATATAGCGACTCAAGACTAACTTGCTGGCTCCCTACCAGAAACCTCTTTTTCAACCACAAATCAAAACTTTCCTGCTCACATGAAGACAGGCTCATAATATTCTTACGATGAGACCTCTTGGATATTGTCTCTGATACAATTATCATCAATGTGCTCCTAGACGTTGTTGGCTCAGCGCAGTGCAAGCAAGGAACTCTTGCGCTTTGGCCCTGTCTTAGATGTACTTCTCCAAGCTCCATCACATCAAGCTAACCACGATTATAGTTTTCAACCGATTTTCTGATGCAGAACTTTCATGATACTGGGAGATGCCGAAGACTTGCAGAGATTTGGCATAGTTTGAAGCCATAAAACGCAGAGAGCATTCCATTCTTGGCCGATCGCGCTTCCATGGAGAGAAGTGCACAATCTGATGCTACCATGTCATAGAGTGAGGATTAAGCGCTTCCAGTAGGCAAACATTCAATCGAACGCTAAAATAAGCGCGATCAATGGCAAAGTGACATTGCATGTCCATCTCCTCCGGTATCGTGCACTTTGTCAATTTGGTTCAGAACCCGGAAGATAGGACTGCACGTGTAAAAAAAAAAAGAAAACAGAAAAAAATAAAAAACAAATTCAAACACGATGTCCTAAGTGTGTTTTAATAACTTCAGTCGTGTACAAAGGAAGCCTAATGCGAAGCGGCGCAGTTCTTCAACATCTTAGCTCACTCTTGGGAAACTCTGCTCATTCTACCCAACTTCACATCATTGAGCACCTTACATACCCAGACACAAGCTCCCTGAAACAACCGATATCATGAAAACACACAAAGCATCGGACCAACATCCCAAACAGGCCAAATTTGGTCAATCCCAGTGGCGGTTGTTCTTGAACCCAGGCGAGATACGCGCGCCAGCCCTTAACATCTTGCAGAGGATTCTGTTTTCATCCAGATGGTGGTACTGTATGCCATATCGAGGCCTGACATGTCATCTTGGCGCAGCATGTGTCACAGCTGCACCATACTGCGACCCATGCAGATTGTATTTGGGTTGGTTTGATGGATCTTAATTCGGCACCGCCGCCTCGGGCCGCATCATCCCTCGCCGCAGGCAGGAGAGTACCAAAGCCGGGGATTTTCCTAAGTTTTCGATACCGCTGTGTACCTACGCCGCTGGCATGAGAGGGAACATCTTCGCTCTGCCGACGTGCGGCTCGGCTTATTCCATCTTCGCTTATATGATCCCTCTTGTCCCCACCCGTCACAATGGTTCATACGACGAGCGACTCTTCGGTTCCATGGCACCGGAAAGCTTGAGGTGTATGACGAGCCCTTGTTGAAGCCGCAAGTCAGTCCACATCACGACTGACAGCAAAGCACTTCTACACGTCGGGCCATCTCCGTTTTTTTTCGTCTCTTACCCTCTTCCTCCACATCAACCAACTTAAGGGAATTTACTGCCAATCCTCGCTTTTCCTCACAGAAGCTAAACAACGTCACCTCGACACCTTCTGACCCCTTGCCTATCATTGCTATCATCGCCATCACGATCGGGGCAACCCGGCTTGTGTTTGGGTTGATCTGTCTGGTCATCGCCTGGCACAGTCGGAAAGCAAGATTTCACAGGAAAAGCAACATGTGCCCGAAACACTCAGACTATCAGAGCGTGAGAGCAAATACCCCGCTCTCGAGGCCTCCCTCGCCGAGCAGTCTTTCCTCGCTCGATACTCAAGCACTTCTCGACCTTAGTCTCGCCGTCGAGGAGGATCTCCAGGACACTAGTCTTGTCCAGACCCAACCTTTAAAGCAGGTTGTCCAAACTCAGTCACCGGTCCCCAAGGAGTCCAAGGACCGTCGAAGCGTTGACACGATCTTTGCTTTACGCTGGTATTACAATCACGGTCCTAATCGCAGGTCACAAGGAGCTTTTCTTCCCGAGCTTCCGGCAACTTCCCCTTTGGAACAGCATGTGTCATATCCCCTACTAATACCACCGCCGCAGCCACTGGAGGCATCACTTTCGCCGCCTACACCACCACCGGAACAGCACATCTCTATATCAGCTGCTTTCGAGCCTCAAATCGCCGAACTACCTGGCTCTGTGCCACCCACGGCTGTCTTATGTGCCCCTAAGTCACCTGCTTCAGACCTTCCAGAACGGCAACCTTCAGGACAGACTTCTCTTTCTGATCTTCAGGTTCGCCTGAGCAAACTAAGCAAGTCAACTCCATCATCCAGTAAGAGGACAACAGCAAAAACAAAAACGATTCCATGGACAACAAAAACGTGTCGGGCGATCTACCTCAACCCAGCTGAAGAGCCATGGGTCAGCTCACCTCCCCCGAATATCCCTTTGCCCCCTACCCCTCCAGTTCCTCGGCCATTAAGTCGCACACGTGTCCCTCCAAGGACATCCTCCCTTTCGGCAAAACATTGGTCACAACATCGGGTTTCGTCTTCGCCGCCGCAGGCTGGTCGGACAAGGCCGATCTTCTCACTCTTTCCACAGTCGCCTAGGCACATGGGATCACCCAGGACAAGCCCCAAGGTTGAGGGCGTGGCAAAGTTCGAGGAGATCCAGGGGCAAGAGGAGCAGCACCAGAGTCAATCAACTCCCCAGCACAAGGAGCAGACTCAGACTCAGGGTAAGGCCAACAAGACTCAAGCGCTGCCCCCCGACAAGGCAGCGGGCGCGTCTTTCTCTGCTGCCGCGACATTCACGACACTCAACCGCAAGCAGCCCCTAGCACCCATCAAAGTGGTGCCTAGCACTTCCCGTTCTTCGTCTCAAACTCGCCCTTCTTCATCCACTCAATCCAACCAGGTCGGCGCCAACACCACCAAGGCAGCACGCACGTTACCACCCGTAATTTTGTCCCCATACCCTATGAGCGCTCCCCTCCCCACGATTATACCCCTCGCTTCCCCTAACCAAACCACCACTGCGCCCGGCCCAGAGCCAAGCCCCAGGCATGATATTTCCTTAGATCTCAGCTCCGGCCTAGTGGTAGTCAGCCTCGGCCTTGGACTCGGCCTAGACCTAGGGCAAGTCACCTCCGCCCTGGCCCCCTCCACAGTCCCTTCCTCAGCTCCCGCTACCCGCTCCCAGTTCCCTCTCAATCCCTGCCCTAATCTCACATCATCAAATCCCCCTAGAACCCCGCAATCAACCCCCGGCCCAAACCCCAACTTCGCCCCCCTCACGCCCTCCGCAGCCGCGGCGGCTGGGATTAACCTCAACTTTGCGCCGCCGCCGAAAATTTCAGCAGGCCCTTCAGGAACGGGTCTTGAGAGAGGGGGGTTGGTTGAGTGGACGAGGAGACGGTATGGGTCGTTTCCGGGGAAGTGGTGGGGGACTGGGAGCGGAGGGAGGAGGTCGCTTACGTTATTGTCTTTTGGGGGGTGATCATGAAGGGAATGTATCCTATCTACTTGGATGTTTTTGTGGCTAGTTGGTTGTTGGTTATGGATTCCATGATTGTCTTTTGTTTGCACGTACGAATACCTGTTGTATGTTTAACTGACTTGGGCTGGAAGATTGGAGCAACAGCACTTGGGAGGACTGGGACGGTGGACGGTGGTTTGTGTCTTGGAGAAACATGGGAAGAGGGATAGATGGCTAGCGAGCTTGGGGGGCAACTCCCGCTTTGTGCAATAAAAGACTGTAACGACACTTTCTGTACGTATTATTCAAGTAGATTCATAAATGCAAACCGAGCAAGAACAAGGTTCAACAACATGGTTTGGGAGATGAACGTTGTGCGCAAAGTACGCACGGACCTGCACCTGGAGGGGCGTGGTGTGGGTTGACCGGCTAGAAGGTAGGTGATATCTTGATCGACCGCTCGGTCCATTAAAAGTGGGTCCAACTGCCGTGAGATGGACCCCAAGCCGGCCGAAACCTACGCCAAGGCTCACCGTTCCACAAAAAGTGCCTCACCACAGCTACTGTGTAAGACGTGACTCAGAGCAAATTTTCACCATTACACTCATTTATAAAGTCATGCTCCATACCATCAGCTCGACAGCAGTTGAAGCTGCGTGGCGCAGCGGAAGCGCGCCGGGCTCATAACCCGGAGGTCACTCGATCGAAACGAGTCGCAGCTAGTCATTTTTCGCTTTTTATTTTGCATTACGGCTTCACATGCCAAGTTCCCTAGATTGTGTTACAAGACCATGAAAGTGCTTATCATACATGGTTGGGCTATATCTTGTCAAATACGTTCGCGAGAAGGTATGCATATGTTGCGATCATCCACCGAGACCATGACGCCACCTAAGTGCTCTTAATCTCCCTACCAAACACAAATCCCAGAGCTCAATCCCTCAAGTACACTCGGACTCAAAACAATCGGAATGGCGCCGTCCCCTCCTGTACGGAGGAGCCCTGAATCCGATAAAGGGCTTCCTACCCTTGACCAAGGCGGCAGTGAGCCCGGTGGAGGGGAATACCATGAGCTCGTGTTTGCGAGCTGATCTAGGTCTTCCGGACAACATCCTTGGATGATAATTGGAATCGTCGCGGCGTCTTCGGATATGTTGTTGCTGAATGGTGTCCTGATAAGAGAGGGAGAGAAAAGTGATAGTGCTAGAACTGCAGAGTCTGTCACGAGAGACAGCTTTGGCCGCGCCGAGAGAGCGTTGCTCCTTGGGCTAGGAGTCTCGAGATTCCGCTGACCGTTGATATTCATATTCGCTTGCTGAGCAGTGGCGTGGGTGTGTCCTCCAGCAGATGATCTCGAGTTGCTGGGCGGTAGAGTGGGCGAGTCCACTCCCCGACCACTCCCTTCACTATTTGCCGATGGCCTCCGTGGCTCAGCTCCCGGCCGGTGATTAGTCTCCTCAGCTTCGCTATCCTCATCCTCCACCGAAGTCGTAGATCGGGTAACGAGTTCCCCCATCGGCAAATCCCGCGTGTCCACGACCAACAGTTCCTCCACATTGCGGCCAAGGATCCCGTAGATAACCACCTCGCCGTTCTTGATACCCAGAACAGTGCTTGTGCCGGCGTATGTGGCGTCATCCTCGATACCACAGCGATTGCTGAATACGACGATGGTCTCGTCACCGCTCTTGTCATGTAGCACGGGAGTTAGCCGCTGGACCCAGTAGCTTAATGTCGACAAATCGGGCTTGTCTGGCATTGAGAGAAACTTTGTGCGGTCGTCGTTCGTCAGCCACGCCATCGATAAGATTACCAGGTTGGGGCGTAAACGCTGAACGTGAAAGCCGAATTCGTAAGCATCCCAAGGCGCTTCGAATTTGTACGGGCTGTACTGGTTAGCACTGTGGTAACTAGTGGTGGGAGTGTGAATCTCACTTGATATCCATGCCTGAATGAGAGAATTAGCCAAGTATTCAACAGACAAGTAAGGTAAAACATACAAATTCCCATAGCAACCTGGCCGAAATTACCCAGTGGCCCACGGAAGAAGCCCTGGCCCTCCCGTGCCCAAGTCTCGTCGGTGTAGTACAAAAAAGACTTGCGATAGTTCGCCAGTGTCTCACCCTGGCTGTTAACGACTACAAGAGAGTTATAGTACTCTCTCTCGAATCCTTCAACCTTTTCGGGATACCCAACAGCGACAGTGCAGCCGTACTCACGGGCCTTTTCACGAGCCCATTGAGCACTGGGACCTGCTGTTGTAGGCTCAAGATGAGGCTCGATGTGCTCGCGAGACTTGAAGTTGTAACCTATCGGAATCAGTCAAGGTCCCAGCTCAGCTCATACAACATGCACATTCAGCGACAAAATCGTAAAACACATGCTTACCGCTCAAAGCCATCTCGGGGAGCACAAGCAAATCCAGGCTCTGGAGGTCCTCAGGGTCGGCTCGCGCAAGAATAGCTTCAGCTCGGGATTTGTTACTTTCAAACTCGCCTACCCGGGGCGCGAACTGAAGACAGCCGATTCTCATCCTGGCCGTCCGAAGCGATTGGCAGTAAACCTGGAGACCGGGAACATTTAGCCACGGGGAGCCAGCAGCATAAGGCGGACCGACTGGGTTCAAAGTTCCCTCACTGATTCTTACGGTTTACTTGCCGCCTTTATAAACTGACAGCGGAAGCTCAAAAAATAGATAAATGGTTTCAGGGTAGTACTTCATTATTTATTGATGTTAAGTCAGCTCGGAGGATATTTTTGTCGCCTGTCTGCACAATTTAAACGAGGGAGGGGCCTTGACTGGCTCGCCCGCATGGCACAGTAGGTTCTTGCAGCTTGCCCCCTCATCGAACAGAACAAACCCAGGAAAACCCTGGTGCTTACTGTGGCCTGTGCACCCTAAAATGCAGACCCGTTTAAGCCAGGTGGTATGATGATTTAGGCTCTGATTGGAACAACCTACTTTAGCTGGATCACCTCTACTTCACCTGCACCCCCTTAACGTGCTGCGACCATTCTTAGACGCTGACTGTTCTATTTTCTATCCAGAAAAGCTAGCTGTGGAACAAACAGACTTTCTTCTATTACTGTAGCTTCGAGACACTGGAAAGAGAAGACTTTGGAGAGCAGCCAGTGTTCAAAGAGCCCGAGTGCTGTCCGTTGATTACGGGCCGCCAACCTTTGACCTCTGAGATTCAAAGGCAACCTCATAACTCATTCCAGCTGATAATGTTACACATCACTTAAATCAGCCAGAGAAGATAGATATCATGCACAGCCTGAGTAATAAACAGGCTCCTTTCGTGAGTTTCCCAAATACAAGGCTTTGTTGACGTGGTCGAACCCAAACCAAGCACTTGTTCCATTTCTCGGGCTATGGAACAGATATTGTTAGTCAAGTTTAATCCATAAGTTTCCCGAAGACTTACTAGCACACGGTCATCACTGCGCTATCGGCCCTGCCGTTGTATCCCCATGAAATGGTGAAGTCTCTGCCACACGCCTTGCCATACCAGCTCTCTCGGGGGTCTGTGCCACGGATGGCAAGGGAACAATGCGTCTCTGCACCGACGTTGTCGATGATGCTAAACGAGATATCGGTCGCGTTGAGGCTGAGGTCGGGGACTGCAGACATCCCTAGTCAGCTTACTCAACCATTCAAGGGCAACTCAAGGGATAAGGGAGAGGCAACTTACACCTGGTCAATCCTTTGACCTGCCACATCCTCCCTTCGACCTTCTTCCACTCCTGAACATCCAGCGCCATCACTTTGATTGCGTGCTCCCCCTCATTGACATTATCATTATCCCTTTTGATTTTCCCCTCAAAACCCCAAACCTCAACTCCCCTTTCGAAGGTCCCAACCTTCAATGCCTTGGCCTTCTTCGCCTCTTTGGCAGTCACCCCGCTCTCCAGCTCCTCCTCAGGATATCCAAAGAAGGCATACGCATCCCTCTTCCGATCGGTTGGTACAATCGTCCAGAAATTGCCCACCCTATCATAACCTCCGTTGACCACAAACCGAGGCTGGCTGTCCGGTTGCGACGGCTGCTCTACGAGCCGACTTTCCCAGCAATCCACGGCCTTGAAGGAGGTCTCGTTCGCCAGGAGATTGGGCGGGTTATCCTCAGGAAAGGCACCAGCTTTTACGGAAAAGCCGCATTCAGAACCGACCTTAGTCTCTGCGTTCGGATCGGTTGTGTTCGGAAAATACTCGATGCTGATGTCTAGGGAGTATTGACAAGACTTGCCGTCAGCATCGCATGTACGCGTAAGAGATCGCAACGTCCATTCACCCAGAACCTCTGCAGTTGTGAAGGGGAGGTGAACTACGTGGAAGAGAAGGGACAGAATGAACCGCATTGCTTCTGAGTCTTGATAAGTAAGCCGGTGAAATAGCCTGTTTCCAAAAGTAAGTGGCCAGAATGTCCAGGTGCTGCTGTATGGCAAGAGATCGATTATCGAGCATCCATGTCACTGTTGCTCTACCCTTCGTACCATCGGCCTTGAGGGGTGGAAGCACCGGGCAGTTTTATACTTCCCAAATCATGTTGGGGCCAGCATGTTTGACGAACATCTCGCCCCCAGAACGGCTTGGAATGTGCGGTGTCTCGCCATGTCTTTCCATCACCGTCCCTCCCTTCACCGCTCGTATTGTTATCCACGCAAGTGGAACGGGCAACAGCTGGGATACAATCGATCAAGCTTGATGGGAGACGGCCCGTGTCATCAACCTGTCACGATGTGTCAGGCTGTCAAACCGAGTTGCCAGGCTGTCTCGGCTCCAGGTACCTGGGTCAATGTAGCTTTCCATGCGTCATGATCAAACAACCCCGATTATTCGCCGGATCTCAGAGACAAAAGACACGCTTATCCCTTAATAGCCTTGGGTAAGGTGTTTACTGTATGACTCAGGGCTGTCCCAGTCTCCGACTGGCTGGGATGGTGAGCAGCAAGACACGCCTTGTTGTGCACGGCCTCCCTGCTCATCTGATGGAAATACAAACATTCTGGTGACATTTTCATCATACGACAAGCCAGAGTTGGTATGTTGCACCTGATAAAGTCGCAGTTGCAGCTTGGAACGTGATCGATTCTTTTGCTGGGACAAATACCGGAGTTAAGCTTCAGGAACTAAGTAGTCGTAGTCGGCAACTCAGGCAGTTAAAACGTCCAAGACCTGATCTTGCGGAAATGACTCTCCCTGAGACATCACCTTCATTTAAAGCTAGGTATTGCGTGATCATCTCATGCTGTCATCCAGCTGTTTGTATGTTGTCGTCACTCCAAGAGGAGCAATCAGGACAAGCTGAATTCACATTGTCCTTGACTTGAGTGACCACTCTGATCGTGTACAGCCTCGATTGTCACCTGAATACCGCAATAGGACAGCACAGGACGCAATCCAGAGCTGAGATACACAAGGTGCAGTGTGTCTGTTGCGGCCGCTGTGAGAGTTAGGGCCAACGGGACAGGGTAGCCTCTGTGACCTTCGCCCGCGGACAGTGGGGTGAAGCGATACGGACGACAACTCGGCATGCCCTGTGCCGCAAAGCTCCTCTCGTCCGCCTCATCAGCGACCGACGGCGAGAATGCCGTGGCAGACCGAGAAGTGTAGGATTTAAATCAAGGTCTGCCGGCCAATCAGAGATCTGTCATGGATGCTAACGAGGGTCGAGTTGGGGTTATGTCGCACAGAGGAAAGCGGGGTTCTTGTGAAAATGCTTTTTCCCGGACGGATTGGACGCCCATGTCTTCTGTTCGGGCCGTTGAACCCAACTGTTCCTGAGCTGACGGTCTCCCGTCATGGCCGCAGGAGAGGCAGGCAAACAAATGACATGAACGCGGGAAGCCTGATGAGGCAAAAAAAAACAAAAAAAGATCATGACTTGCCTGCCAGTCGTCAGCCAGCGAAGGTTCAGGCGGGGAAACGCGGGAAGGACGCTCCCGGCAGGATGGTACTTAGCGCCCGACGCTACCCTCCATACCTGATGGCTTGCTGATAAGATGCTGCATGGCGTTGTCACAAGCTCTGGGTTGGATATTCTCTCACGTTAATGATAACCCTTCCCCAAGGAGGGAAATTCGGTGATCGAACTTGGGAAAATGCTTTGAGTCTTGAAATGTCAAGTTTGAGACCATCGACGAATACAATTCTAGGAAGTGCTTTGACAGGTTGAGACATGCTCCCAACCCAGATGGTCTGGCCTTTCGATGATGGAGGGTAGACACAGGGTTTCAATGTTCGACGAGCACTGTCGTCGCCAATGCTCTCCTGGCACCTTGCAAGTGTCCTTGTCGCGATCAGGGCTGATGAATATGTTTTTGAATTCCAGAGTTCTGCGGTATCTTTCAATAACGAGGCCAAAACCTAGCAATCAACCTTTCGTTGTTCGCAACGATCAGCAGTGCTGCTGCCATTAGGCAATCCCAGTAAGAGACAAACACGGAAACGGCCTGCGTGGCAGAAAGGTTTATCACATCTTAGCTTTCGACTCGAGCTCAGGCGGAAGGACGGGAAGACACATGCGCATTTTCCTGATGCAGTAGAGAAAGCCAGGTGACCTGGTCCTTGTACTGCTGCGCTGCGTGTTGCACCGTTCACGATGAAAGATGGAGGAGGGCGACGCGAAGAGAACGGTGCGAAGCTTTCGCTAACCCGTGGGGTGGGTCCCGTTTGGTAGGATGATCTTTTTGCTGAGTTGAAAGACAGCAATGGCTTGGAGAGGGGCAGTTCCAACCATCCGACCGCGATCCAAAATCCACCACAAAAGTCCCTTGCCAAGCTCCGCCGCAGGTTGCTGCACGCTTCTGCGGGTCCTCGTGGTTCTTGTCGCAGACCTTGTCATCGACCCTCGCTTGTCCAGCCAGCGAGAGACGCCGACGGCACTTCCCATGATCTCCCGCATCGGTCATTCAACGGTCGCACGCCGCTGTTTACGCGCCAACCATATAAGTTTGCAAACCCTGTGCAGCCTGTGATTGGTTGGCTTCCCTCAGGGCCTGCTCACGAACTCTCCAGCAACTGCCTCTCTGGGCACCCTCCACACTCCCCCATGGCTCATCTTTGCCTTGCTTGCGCCCATCTCGCTTGCGTCTGTTATTCCCTTTGATCGGTCCCGCTATGTAGCCCCCATGGTACACTGATCTGTGCCAACCGTCGAGGAAAACCTCACCTTGCACCCCTTGCCTTGCCCCTACCGACAGGCACCTTAATCGGAGCGCGGGCAGGTCGACGGGAGAGGAAGCCTTGTCTTGCATCGAACCCAGTGCGACCTGACTTGAGGAATAGCCAGACGCTAGGTTGATACTGAGACATAGGACGTCGGGGTTGGGGAAGATTGTAGATTTAGTCCCCAATAAGTAACCTTACCTATCTGGCTGTTCTTGAAGGGTTTACAATGGATGAACTGGCCAATATTTCTCGACGTAGGAGACGTCTCCATCGATTCTAATTACCGCGGATGCCCACATACAGCTATGCTAGTTCATCCAAATAAGCAGGCATATTGTGTGACCCTAACCACACTAAGCCTACTACAGATGGCGAACAGAACCAACTGCATGACGGATAGATTGCACACTGTATCTCTCAGCCTGCACGGCAGAGTATTCCTGCAGTGCTTTGCCGTAGACAAGCGTAGTGGCTTGTTTGCTTGCTTGCTCGCTAGCTGGCTTGTTGTCTTCCCGATCAACTCCAGCTACCGCCTTACTGGAGGTATACGGGTTAGATTATATTTCAACCCAGACTCCTCCCTACCTGCTCAAGCCCCATGTCTGGTTTTCTGGTGCTTCTCGGCAATCAATTGTGGTGCTTTGCACCACTTGCTTTGGGACGTCTGAGTAGGCCCGGCCTTTGGGAGGAGCATTTCAAACGATCCGATGAGGAGCTAACCTAACCCATGGCCCCTCCTATTCCTCCTCGGGTGCTACCCCGGGACTCCGAGTCCGGTGGTAAGAGCCTCTCGTCCGGCGCTATCGTCGGGATTGCTATCGTCGCCGGTGCTTTGTCCGTGGGAGCTATTGCCCTGTTCTACTGGCATTGGCGCCGACAGCGTCGGTTTGACCTGGAAGATGCTTCCACGCGAGACAGCTTCGACGAGCCAATGTCACCATCAGCTATCCCTCCGAACGTTGCGTATACCCTGGACTACAAGATGGACCAGCAGAATTATGGAGGCGGCGACCAAGAATCTTCGTGCACTTACTCCCCCGAAAAGAGCATTTATACAATCTCGCCGTTGGGAGCACCACCTGTGCCAAGTGCGATGCCTACACATCCAGCTTATATCCCACGAGCACTGGTCAGGGGCTCAACGAGCCCAAGCCATCGATCATCCTCAACGACAGCAGTTGCTAGCTCGCCTCCAATACCATCACATTCCTTGAAGATAAGGCCCGACGACCCGTTCGTCCCGGCCTATCTCAAGGTGGCACAAGAACAAACCGACCAATCCCAAATCACGAGCTCTTCGACCTCAGCAACGCCGCAAAGCCTGATAGAAGAGCAGCTACAACGCCAAACTCAATCCCCTGACTCTGGCTCGTACTCGTCAGGTCTTCCTCTTCATCCAAGCCAACGTCAATCCGGAACACCAAGTCCCGAATCCAAGGAGCAGCATCACCCACGCAAGAAAGTCCCCCCACGCCTGATTCTCTCCAGCTCAACCTTCACAGCCGCAAATGCGCCAAAGACCGTTATCGAAGTCTCGGTGCCAGGGGTAGGAAACACCATGTCCTCAACAACAGCGTCGACCCCAGCATCCCCCAACGACGCCACAGCTGCCTTTATAACCGCGGCTGCCTTAAGCAGAAGCAGCACCGGACTGGCCCTTCAACCTCTACTTCCCTTCCCCGTCCTCCTTATCGATAAACCCTTACTCGGCAAAGAGAACACAACCATCAGCGGCCCACTAGCCTTCCCACAACACTACATCCCACCACCCCGCTCACCCCCTTCAACAGGCTTCTCCCAAACCTTCTTTTCCAACAAAAAGTCCAAAGCCAAGAAGAGCAAGCGGCGGTGTAGGAGCCGATCAGGCTGGAAGGGGAAACGCGATTCAGTCGCCACGTTGGACGGGGCGACAGACGCGGATGAGGAGGATGAGGTGGATGACGAAGAGCAGGAGAGCAGCCGGCACCATCATAGGATGGCGTTCAAGAGTCGGCTGGAACATCAAAGTGCGCACGAGAAGGGCAAGGATAGAGACAGGAAAGAAAAAAAGAGGAATAGCGGGAACCGATACTATGCAGAAGTTGAAATTGGGAATGGAAACGACATTTGGTAGGGGACTGCTCGGCAATTTTGTTATCGGAGATTTGGCGTACGGCGAACAGGAGTTCAGACAGTTAATGGGCGGACTCTGGTTTAAGCTGGATTGTCTAGAGTTCGGAGTTCTTTGCGGCTGGTCTCATGTTGATGCTTCGATGCTGAGAATTAAGGCGCATCTAAGAAACCTTTTTGCATTACTGAGTCGTTGGTGTGATGAGGCTGGACCTGTGACAGCAATATCCCCAACTGGGACCAAAGTTCATGTCGTGTAGAATATTACGTATGCATTATGGTAGTAGAGTGGAAAACAGAGCTTCATAACAGCCACATTCTTCAATCACCACCCAAGCGACGTCCAGGACCTCTTGTCTTCCACGACTCAGGCAAAACCGAACCGGTTAACGCTCCGGTAGAGCGGCCGGATGCCCTGCTGTTTGCTTCTTGGCCTGAACGACTAATAATAAATCCGTAGTCGCGCAACAACTGGGTAAACCAGCCTAGGAATCCAGGAGTTGGCCACAGGTTCCGGCCACCACCAAACTCCGGCCACAGGCGTGTCAGGAAGTCGTGCAGATGGGCGGCTAGGAGACCAAGGATTTGCACGTGGACATGCCCACCCCCAAACATGAAATCGGTCAAGATCATACAAAACGGCAGAGCTTGAGCGGGTACAGGCAAGACAAGCCAGGTAACCTTGGCGCCGCGCTTGTCCTGGCATGCGGTGTAGGCTAACGCGACTATGAGACCTGGGAGCAGCTGTGGGAAGCCCATCATGGCTCGATTTCCGAGCTTCATTCAAATATGATCAGCTTCAAGCGTCCAAGACCAATAGTGGTATTACGATAGCTGAAATGTAGGGAGCATGAAAACCACCCGAGTACACACGGAGATAGAAGTGCTCGAGTCATCCATATGGCATCCCACCATACCCGCACCCCAACTGACCCCGTTGGATCAGCCGACATACGAGCGGTAATCTTCCTCGATTCCAGGAACCGCGATAGTTGGGAGCGCAGCACTATGCGGGCAGATATTCGAGGTGCAAGTGATGTGGCATTGAGTGATGCGACTTTTAAGAGAAAAGGGAGAGGAACCTACCACTATGAAGCCGCAGACCGTGAGCAAATACCAGATGAGGTCCTCCCGTTTCGCGAACTTGGGATTGGCTCCTTCCAACTGGCTCAGGAACTGGTAGGCTGTTTGAGGGTCAGAAGACACTCGTCGCCAGTTGCTATTATGTAGGGCCCATACTAAAGTAGGGATCAAAAAGCATCCCAAGCATGGGGCGCGTGATCAAAAAGGTAGTGAAAAACCGCCAGATTTGGGGTGGAAATGTGAACACCTTCTCGTCCACGAACAATAGCCAGCCCAGTGGGATCAAGCGCAACATAACCCCAGCAGTGGTGATGACGATTGCAGCGGTAACTGTTCTGGCTATGGGCGGGGCGGCCCAATAAGCGTTCAGAATGTCGGACATATTTTGGGTTCTGGTGTTATGTTTGAAGAGGAAAATATGAGAACAGGGTGTTGGGAGAGGTGGTCAAGGAAAATTGTGTGGTCAAAATATTCACTAGAAGATCCCAAGGCTAGAAACCCTCAAAAAGCAAACAACATTGGGACGAAAGAAATTGGAAATGACGCGCATGTACACGAGGGGCAATGGAAGGGCAAGAATGCGGTTTCCTTCGAACACAAACAGCTGATGATGACTCGTGGCTTCTTGAAAGTTGGAAGTTGTCAAAGATTGAAACGCGACGTTTGCATCAACCGAAACTGTTTTTATGGAGATCAGTTGGGTGGAGCCAATCGCAGGGCTGCACTAGCCACACGGACCTCGGCACCGAATCTCCGATAGCTGCTCAGCCACTTCTATGGGCGCTTTTGCTTGCAACAACCCTGTGGCTGAAGCTGGAAGAAAGGAACTGAAGACCCCAGATGTTGCAAATTTACCACCCGAGCTAATTGAATTAGGAATTTAGAATGGTAAACCTATAGCGGTTGAGGCCCAGTGTATGAGTTAACTTCGTGACCTGACCATAGCGAAATATAAACATGCAGCTGTCCTGTTGTGGTAGCGGCTCAGATCTGAGCGTGACCGGCTCCGGTGTCGCTAACAATCTCCAAGCTTTCAACCCTGAAAGTGACTGGTGCTTCTTCACCCTTCGCTTTCAATCTTAGCCCAACTTGTTGCAAACCTCGTGATCAGCACTCACAGCAGCGCTTAATCAGTGGCAGTATGCTGAACCAACTTAGGCAATCACAGACGCTGCTGCGTCGCATTGGCCAAACCCAAATGCGGGCGTACTCTGCTCTCCCCAGCGGCGGCATGGCCATTCCTGCCGCCAAGAAGAAGTATGTTCCGACAACAGGCACATATCCCCTTGGTTTCCGTGCTTCGGGCACTATTGTCGGCATCAAGCCGTCTAACAAGACCAAACCTGATCTCGCGCTGTTGGCGTCGGACATACCCTGCACTGCTGCCGCGGTCTTTACCAAGAACAAGTTTCAGGCTGCGCCCGTGACGTTCAGCCGGAGCTTGTTGCAGAAGAAGGCCAACCAGGGGATCCAAGGTGTCATTATCAACTCTGGCTGCGCAAATGCAGTTACGGGAAAGGGAGGACTGGAGGATGCTGCTAAGATGGCCCGAGAAGCGGATAAGTTCCTCGGCCAACCCGACGGCACCATCGTCATGAGCACAGGAGTTATTGGTCAGCGCTTGCCCATTGAGAAGATTCTCAACAAGGTTCCCGATGCCTATAAGGCACTGGGTAGCTCCCATGATAGCTGGTTGACTGCAGCTAAGGCTATCTGCACCACCGATACCTTCCCCAAGCTCAGGTCGCGCAACTTCACCCTGCCCTCATCCCCCGGTATCGAGTACAGAATCGCCGGCATGGCCAAGGGTGCTGGCATGATCCACCCCAACATGGCTACCCTGCTGGGTGTCATCACCACCGATGCCCCCGTCTCTTCTGCAGCTCTGCCTTCCCTGCTGAAGTATGCAGTCGATCGCTCGTTCAACAGCATCACCATTGACGGTGACACATCCACCAACGACACCATCACCCTGCTGGCCAACGGCGCTGCCGGTGGCAAGGAAGTCGCCGAGGGTTCTCCGGACTACGAGGTCTTCCGTGACGTCCTGACAGACTTCTCTGCTGAGCTAGCCCAGCTGGTCGTTCGCGATGGTGAGGGTGCCACGAAGTTCGTCACCATCCGTGTGGTCGAGTCTCCTACGGAAGAGGCTGCCCGCAAGATTGCCAGCACTATTGCTCGTTCCCCTTTGGTCAAGACTGCCCTGTACGGCAAGGATGCTAACTGGTAAGTTGCCTGCTCTTATCTGCGTCAAGTCATACTGACAATTTCACTTTCAGGGGTCGTATTTTGTGTGCCACTGGCTATGCTCTCATTTCCGACCCCGGCCAGGGCGTTAATGATGTGCCCGAAATTGTTCCAGAGAAGACGAACGTCTCCTTCATTCCCACTGATGGCACCCCTGAGCTGAAGCTTCTGGTTAACGGTGAGCCGGAGCAGGTGGACGAGGTAAGAAAAATAATATAAGCTTCTAGTAATACAAGATGTGTGCTAACTCTGAATAGGAGCGCGCTTCGCAAATTCTTGAGCTTGAGGACCTCGAAATCCTGGTCAAGCTTGGAACTGGTGATAAGCAAGCTACCTATTGGACCTGTGACTACAGCCATGAATACATGTAAGTGATATTCCCTGGGGTTCACCAAAGAAGGCTCGCTGACCAGAACTTAGCACCATCAATGGTGATTATCGCACATGAATGGATCATTAAAGCATCATAATCTAGATAAATTTGGAATATAACCGTAGTTCTACAAGTCCTCCTGCAATAGAAAAAAACAGTAGATCCCGTCGAGTCAACGAACCATTTTTGGCGCACTCCACAGGGATAGGTTTCTGGTGGGCAGAAAGTTCAAGGGTTAGGGTTAAGAGATGAACTGTGGGGACCACTTTAACAGAACGCGCTTCAACGCGTCACGTCGCTTTTCGGATTCCAGGCATTTGATCTTCAGTCCTCCATAACCTTTTCTCTAACACCACCCAGTCGCAACCCAGTGACTCCCAACTTCAACTCGTGCATAAAAGACCCAAATTAAGATGCCTGCTCGCCCATTAAAACCAGAGGAAAAAGGGGAGTCGTCCACTGCTCCCCACAAGGCACTGACTGCCAACCTGAATGCAAATCCGACTTACGAGCTTCCATGGTGAGTTTAAGATGGTGTTTGCTTCCTTCATCAACACCATGCTGATAGGAAACAGGGTTGAGAAGTATAGGCCAGTTTTCCTGGATGATATAGTCGGCAACACTGAGACAATCGAGCGACTGAAGATCATCGCACGCGATGGTAACATGCCACATCTTATCATTTCAGGCATGCCGGGCATTGGCAAAACAACCAGTGTACTATGCCTGGCTCGGCAATTGCTTGGCGATGCATATAAAGAAGCTGTTCTAGAATTGAACGCCAGCGATGAACGAGGCATTGACGTGGTTCGGCAGCGCATCAAGGGCTTTGCTCAAAAGAAAGTGACGCTCCCCCCTGGGAGGCACAAGATTGTGATCCTCGATGAAGCCGACAGCATGACATCAGGTGCACAGCAGGCTCTCCGGCGGACAATGGAAATCTATTCCAACACAACACGATTCGCATTTGCGTGTAACCAGTCCAACAAGATTATCGAGCCGCTTCAATCACGCTGTGCGATTCTGCGCTATTCCAAGTTGACGGATGCTCAAATTGTCAAGCGACTCATGCAAATCATTGAGGCAGAAAAGGTTGAATACAGTGATGATGGCTTGGCAGCACTTGTGTTCACTGCCGAGGGTGACATGCGGCAGGCCATCAACAATCTGCAGTCAACAGTTGCTGGTTTCGGCTTTGTCTCGGGTGACAATGTCTTCAAAGTTGTTGACTCGCCTCACCCTATCAAGGTCCAGGCGATGATCAAGGCCTGCTATGAGGGCAAAATTGACCAAGCCCTCGACACACTACGGGAGCTGTGGGATCTGGGCTACTCTAGCCATGATATCATCAGCACTATGTTCAAGGTCACCAAGACAATTCCTACCCTAAGTGAGCATGCCAAGCTGGAGTTCATTAAAGAGATTGGCTTCACGCATATGAAGATCTTGGAGGGTGTTCAAACACTGCTGCAATTGAGTGGGTGTGTGGCCCGTTTGTGCAAGCTGAACATGGACCCTAAACTTTTCGAGACACCCAAGATTTAGCGTGCACTGGAGTAGTAAAGATACCCAATTCGAAGATCTGGTCAATTAGAGATTTGTTGTATTTAAACAAAACATGGTATGAATGGTGACAAAATGTACAAGCGCTTTGAGAAATACAGGACATTCCGCAGCAGGCTCCCACATGCCTTAGCAACTTCCAAACAACGCTCTCCTCAGATTATGCAATCACTCATCATCATCCTTGCCGTAAGTCCTCTCAAAAGCCTCCCAGTAGGCTCTCTGTTTAGCCCTCCGCCGCTCCATCTTGATCCGTTCCTCAAATGCCCTCAGCCGAGCATCAGCCTCGATCATGCTCCCCAACACCATGCCTGACATCTGGATATACCTGTTTGCCCCTGTAATCAGCGTCCCGCATTGCTACCTTCAGGCTCGTGCAGTCCGAAAAGGAACATACACCTTAAACTGGAACGTCAGGCTACGGTATACTGGCGACATGTAGTATCCGAGACCACTCAGTAGGGCCATACCGACGCCCCATTTCAAGGCGCCAGAAACGGCGCCACGGCAGGCTTCCCATGAAGCCTCGCTCGCTTCTTCGTGCTTGGAGTCGTTGAGGGATGGCATTTTGGCTGTCTTTGTTGGGTATACAATGATAGGCGGTAGGGAGGACAGATGGCGTAACACCCGCGCTCCTTCTGGGTCGTTTTAGCTGAGAGCATGACAAGAGTCGGGACTCGACGTTGGCTCACTCCTGACCTTCAAACTCAGATCCTGCCCTCAAGACCCCCGTTGATTATTTACTCTACTAATCAGATGTGAATTTTTACCGAGGGAGGCCGCCCTGCATTCATCAGGCAAGTCCAAATCGGGTCACGACAGAACTGGCGCGTCCTTGCAGAATTTGAGATGTAAGAAACCTTTCACAGCGCGTCTGGCGGAGATGGATGTTTCCTGAAAGACGCAACGAAGATTAGCGTCTTATTCGATTGTGAGACTGTAACTGCGGGGCGGATTGGGAGGGTTCGAGTCCCTGGGAGTTGGATGTGTTGTTTTGATATCCGCCAGTTAAACCAAGGTTTCGACGTCATTGAAGATCATCCCACCCCGACAGCCGGAATTGGTGGGGCTCCGTGCCGAGCCGGCAGCCGCCCCGCAAACCTACGGCAGCCGGCAAGGACGATGCCACTGCATTCATGGCATTGGGGAACTCTGTAACAATGACATTCAAAATCTTGAGTCGCAGCATGGGACAACATCTTTAGTCATATAAAAGGGGTATCTAGATGTTTTCACTGAATATCGTTCTTGAAGCCCCCTTTTTTTTGACCATTCTCTGCAACCCCTAAACCTGGCAATCCTGCTGCCGGCTTATGTTCAGTACCAAAGTTCATAAACTAACGGTGAGAATACCCAAACGGAAAACCATCAACATGCATCTAATACTAATTCTTAAACACTCAGTGTACCCTTCGTGCTTGGCACCTCCCCCTCACGCCCAGCCACCTTGCTCGTAGCCTGGCGCAGCGCAACAGCAAGCGCCTTGAAGGCGCTCTCAGCGCGGTGATGATCGTTGTCACCCCGCAGGCAGTCAACGTGCAGCGTGATACGCGCTGCCTGTGCAAAGCTCTGCAAACAGTGCGGCAGCATTTCAGTGCTCAGGTCACCAATCTTCTCCCGGCGCAAGCCCAGGTCCACGACAGCATACGGCCGGTTCGACAGGTCCACGACCGCCCGTGAGAGAGCCTCGTCCAGAGGAGCGTACGCTGAGCCGAACCGGGCCAGTCCCGTGGGTGTGCCGAGGGCCTTTGCGAAGGCGTATCCGAGGGAGATGCAGACATCCTCGGCGGTGTGGTGGTCATCGACTGTTTAAAAAAGCAGCGGTTAGCTGGATGTTGTGGAAAGCGGAGGAGGGATCGAGGAGGATAGGACGCACTCCATAGATCGCCTTTGCAGGCCAGGGCTAGACTCCAGCCAGCATGCTTCGCCAGAGCATGCAACATATGGTCAAGGAAGCCGATGCCAGTATTAATCTTGATTGTCTGGGACTTGGTCGATTGAGAGGCATGCCCCTCCGTCGCAGAGTCTACTTGCAGACGGGGGTCCGTCTCAGGGGGAAATGAGCCGCCGTCCAAGTTGATGGCGACCTGAATCTTGGTCTCATTGGTGTCACGGGCGAAGGCCGCCCACCGAGGAGCGTTCTGTTGTGAGCTCATTGTGTTTAATTTGTATGTTTCGGTGTGTGGTGTTGGAGAACAATCTTCAACTCTTCGTCAGGCTTCTCCTGGAATTTTGGATCGGCCCCGCGATCGGCGGCGCGACAAGACAGAGCAAACTTGGCGGGCGCCGTTGCCTGCCGGAAAACTCAGCCCCACCCCTGCAGGAACCCCCGGCAGCCCCACCTCTAGCATCGATAACACTTACGATAAGGGACGTTCCCAAAATTTTCGGGCATTGGATGAACCAAGTCAACCAGTCGAGGGTCAGATTGAAATCACGCCTTAGAATCACTCGCCGCCACTGAAATTTCGGGCCATAATTCCTACCTATATCAGCAACAATGGGCAAAACGCGTACAATAAAAAACAAACACGCCGAGCCGTCCAAGAAGAAGGCGAAAAAGGCTGGTGATGGCGGCGTCAAGAAAACCAAGGACCGTGCCGGGTCCAAGTCCAAAGCGAAGGTCCCTGCCATTGAGGTCAAGGGCAAGCCGAATCTCGGTCAGGATAAGAAGAAGCAGAAGCGCGTCTACTCAGAAAAGGAGCTCGGCATCCCACAGCTCAATACGGTGACCCCCGTCGGTGTAACCAAGCCGAAGGGCAAGAAGAAAGGGAAGGTGTTCGTGGATGATAGGGTGCGTTTGACCAATTCTCTGAACTAATTGTTCGTCAGGAGCCGGAAAGACTGACAACCCTTCAGGAAAGTATGAACACAATTCTTGCTATGGTCGAGGCCGAGAAGCAGGGTCAGATCGAATCCAAGATTATGCGCGCGCGTCAGCTCGAGGAGATTCGTGAGGCACGCCGCATAGAGGCCGAAAAAAAGGAGGCGGAACGCAAGGCGTTGCTTGAAAATACGAAGGAGCAGCTGCGCAAGAAGAGGAAGAAGAACAAGAAGGGTGGTGACCAGAAGAGTTCCGAGGATGAGGGACCCAGTCTCAAGGAACTCACATCCACTGGGTCGAAGGCAGTCAAGTCTAAGAAGAAGAAGAAGGTTTCGTTCGCTACGCCGGAGTAGGTATCTCGTAATTAGGTGAGATTGGTTTGGAAAGCGCATGGAGGAGCTTCACCCGATGGCGGTCACTAGTCTTTATGTCGCATGGCGGGCGTCTGGCGTTGTTGGACTGCGGTTATCAAAATCTGGGTTCTGTTGGCATTTCTGGAAGAAGATACCAACTAGAGGTTTGTATAAACAAACTCTAAAAAGTGCTATTAACAGCCTCTTTGTAAGCTATAGCTGGCACAGCACATATACAGACGGCTAATGTTTCATGTTGACAATATGTGGATCGTGATCTTGTGCAGCGCCGGCAGTCCGTCTAGAGTCTATCGCTATGCCTCGCTATCTATGATCATGTTTATTACAAATACCTGTCTAGTGTACAAGATTGCATGTAGACATGCTCGCCTAGTTAAGAGAGACCTCCAGCTTTCTTCTCACAGGATGGAACTCTCCTGCAAACTCCGACGGCTCGAAGATGCCGGTTACATCAGGCTTGATGGAATCCAGGTCGATCTCCTTTACCATTCGGTTGAGGAAGTTGCAGATCTACGTCAATCAGCAACTGTTCGTTGGTCGACGATTAATGCTGTTAGATTACTTACCGGTTTCGCATGCCATCTGCCACCCCCGACCTCAAACCAAGAAAGATGACCACCAAGAGAGGTTGTACAGAGCACGGTATATGGGTTCTGCTGGAACTCTTGATATGGGATAGCCTCACATACGGCAATCTAAGCAAGGTTTGTGTCAGCATGGCACTCTGGCTTAACAACGATATTATGGGAAACTAACTGGATCATCAAGCGCGGAAAGAGCCAGGAAGGGTATCCTAATGCCAAGAACAGCATCTGATGAAGAAGCATCGCGATAGTAAGCGTTTTCAGTAGGATAGCCCCAGGTGACAGTCCTGGAAATCACCTGTTAATTCCTCACGCTAAGCAGCATAGGTTGAAAGCAAACACATACTGGACTTCGCGATCAAACTCGTGCAAGTATGTGATGTTTTGTATCCGGTCAAAGTTCAGATTTGTATACTTAATAATTTCGTCCTTGTGTAAGTCCATGAGCCTTTTCATGTTCGCTGCAAGTGTTGTCAGTAACTGTGATGCGAGTCTCAGGATCATGGAACATGTTTGCGGAGACGTACAGCCCATAATTCGCGAATAGAGTCTTCCCAACTGTGTCCGTTGAAGGGCCTTATTGGCGAGCTCCAGGTCGAAAGGATTGCCAACGACGATCGCACCTTTCAAGGAGCAGTTTGCGCCTTCTTCACCAACATACTGTCCGTTTCCATCAGCCACCCATTCCGTTCCTGTGGAGGACGTGGGCTAAACCTACGTTCGTCAAAATATTGGCACCAAGGGAAAAGCCCAGAGCGAACAGCGGTCTATTGGGAAATGTCTTCCGCGCCCAGTTCACAACTTGCCTAACATCCCACGTCGCCCTCGCATTGTACAAAATACCGCTGGTGATCCTGCTGTTGGCGCAACCGCGGGAGTTCACCACAGCGACCTCCCAACCGCCTCCGTTCAGGATTAGTGGTGCAATCGCGTGTCTGAGATACACTTCATGAGAGCCACCAGATAGGCCATGAAGAACAATCAGCATAGGCCTGCTGTCATCTGATCCAATCTTGGCCCACTCTTCCTCAGAAAAGTACGCAGTCCTAGGCGGGAGGGTGTCATCGACTTCATCGTGAGGGGGCACAGCGAAATCGACGGCAAAAGTACCCTTATAAGTCGTATGCTCGGCATTAAAAATCTTGCGGCGGTAGTAGATGGTCGGGCCAGGGTCCTTGACAGACGTCCACATAGTCTGGACGTGACCGTTGAAAAGCAAAGGGTTAAGCTGGCATGGTGGGACGGAATCCTCGCAGATGCGACGGAGGTCGGTAAATGAGCCATCCTTCCGCTTTAAGGGAAGCGGCGAGGGGCAGTGGGTGAAAGCGATTCTGGCACGGCCGAGCCATTCCATCGTCGTCGTCGTTGTTATTGTGGCTCGGAGGTGGCGAGGGAACAGTGAGAGGCTTCCACAAGAAAGCAAGGCGCGAATATTTAACAACGTTGGAAAGTGAATAGGGGAAGAGCAGTTCGGATGAAATGAGTGACTTTTGAAGTTTGAAAATAAGTGACTATGTTTCTGGTCAAGGTAAGCAACAAGGGGGAAGATTGGACAAGCTGGGGTCTTTGGGCTCTTTCAAGACCGATAAGAGAGAGGCACGATCACAAGCAGCCAAGGAGATCCTGTGGGGTCTTGTGTAGCATTGGAAGCGAAAATGCCAGCACGTTTGATGGGCAGATCGCTGCCTTGACATGGGGTAGGCTTCGAAGAGCCGCAAAGAGGAACAGGAGCAGTTGAAAATGTCTGGTGGTTTGACTTGATAAAAGGGAGAGCAGAGTGAACAGAAGACGGTCATTACATCAGCAAACTTCTCCGAAAATCCCCCCAATGATGACTGTCATGACACGCAAATCTATGGTCACGCTAGACAAGGCCCCAAAAAAAAGATGCAGATCTCGGAGTCCACATTAAAAAACAGTTTCACGAGGATATTGGCGCCATGGTAAGATCCTGGTCGAACAGTGAGATGATGGGTCAACTTCCAAACATGGAACTTGCCGAGGCAGTGGAACCCATGGAAACTTCTGTCGGCGTTCGCTCGCGCCGGTCCACCGACGGCCCGCTTCTGCACCCCACTTCGTTCATCACTCCTGGGCCCACTAGCCCCTCTTGTCGCGTGGTGCACGGCTCTGACTGTGGTTCGTGCACGCGCTATGGCCTGTCACTGATCCCCTGGTCTTGCAGGTGATGTGGGTGCGCTCATGTGCCGCGACAGCGCGTCTGCCAGAAGCGTATCCGTCCAACATCCCATCCATGACAGCAACGCTCGCTAACAGCCGGCCAGATCAATCACAAAACCACGCAGGAGGATCTACATAGAAGTGTCTGGCCGGCAACAGGCAGCACGATGCCTCCGGGCGACGTCTTCGCCTCTGAGGGCCAGCAGTTCCAGTTCCCGTATCCACGACCGCAGCAACAGCACCACCAACAGCCATCGCGACAGGTGCAAGCCCATCCTTATCTTCATCCACAGCAAGTTCAAACCCAACAGCAACAACAGCCCCAGACACCACATCATTTATTACCACCATTATCACCTAGTCCCCAGGTTTCTCAGCATCCTGCTTTGTACGCGAACGCGCGCGTGAACGGCAACCAGCAGGCGTATCAACACCAGCAGCATGTCCGTTATGTCCACCCTGCCTTTGTTACCGGCCAGCAGCCGCTGGCCACGCAGTTTTATGCCAACAATGCTCCACAACAGAACCAACATCAGACTCAGCAGCAGCAATATTCCAACTTCAATGCAGGTTTCCACCAGCCGCAGCCGCTGCACCCGCAAACCTGGCAGCTCCCACCACTCCAGCATATCCAGGTGCCGCCGGCTGCTCAAGTCGCTGCCTCTTCGCCAACCGCATCGTCGATGCACTTCCTCAACTCTCCTTATGCCCAGCAGTCGCCTGATTCACGCCCACTTGCCCATAACTTTCCAACATCGCAACCGACTGCGATGAGCCCACAGCTTCCCCGTGTCACGCCCTCGCAGCCGTTGCCGCAGCCACAAGCACAATATCAGTCTCAACCACGGCCACAACCCCAAACCCATTTGCAATCGCAGATACATCAGTCCCCCATACAAGCTCGGCCGCCTCTCCAATCGCACATACAGCCACAACCACAGCTGCAGTCTCCAGCTCAAATCCTGCCACAACAGCAATCCCAACCTCTGCCACAACTACAACAGACAAAATCGCAGCTGCAAGTGCTGCCATCTCCTCAGTTACAGCAGCAACCTCGGCCCCAGCCTGCGTCTCAGCCACAGGCAAGGCCACAACTGCAGTCACCCATTCAGATACAACCGCAGCAACAACCCCAGCCTGTTGGTCAGCCACAGCCAGCATTTCAACCAGTGCGGCAACAGTCTCGGCAGCAACCTCAGCAGCAGGTGCGTCTGCAAGTACAGCAGACACCTCGGCAGCCGCAACCCCAGATACAACAGCAGTCTTCTATTCAGTCACAGCCTAAAGCACATCAGCACCACGCCCAGCAGCAAACACAGCATAATCAGGTCAGACAGTCTCAACCTCGTCCTCCGGTCCAGCAGCCACAAGCTCGGCAACCACAGCAACCACAGCAACCACAGCAACCGCAACCGCAGCCTCAACCTCAACCTCAAATTCAGCAGCAGACACCGACGGCAAAGGCTAGCCCGATAGTTTCGGCACGCCAGTCCCAAGAGTCCCAGACGAGGGAGCAGGCGGAGGACCAAAGACGGCTCAGCGCCACGGCTGGGGTATCAAAGTCTCCTGCTTCAGTTTTAGCGCCTGCGGATACGCTCCCCCTTCTTATCTTGGTTGCAGAGGACTGCTTCGAGAAAGCCAATGTTGCTGCACAGCAGGTCGCTCGGTCTATGACGGAGGGCGAGGTGGCAGAGCACCACAAGCTGGTAGCTACAGGGTTAGGCTGTTTGGAGGTTGCGTTAAAGTCTAGAAAGTTGTGGCCTCGTCTGGAAGCGAGGCTGATGCTGCGCTATGCTAGCGTTCTGGTTGAGGAGACAACCAATATTGAAAAGGCCGAGACTGTGCTCTCGAAGGGAATATCGTTATGTGAGAAAGTAAGTTTTGAATCCAGTCTATCCCTAAGGGCTTGAGCTGATTATCGTCTTAGCACCGATTTCTCGACTTGAAATACAATACCATTTGGCTTCATATGAAGGTGCTCTTTCAGCGGAATCAAAAGGCTGCTTTGATATCCATTGAGAATCATATTGCTGATTGTACAAGGTATGTTTAGAGAGTGTCATGTACAATCTCCCGCCTCTGGGTGCTAACAGTATTTTAGCTATAAGCATCTCCCCTGGATATATGCCTTCCGTTTTCTCAAGGCAGCCTTCCATCTACAATCGACCACGGGCCCTGACCATCATGCGATAGAAAACCTTCGGAAAATTGCAGGCCTCGCCAGCCAGCGTGACGACAAGGCCATCTTCGTTATGGCCATGCTGCTGGAGGGGCTCGCGCATCTTGCGAGCCGTAAGGACGATTGGGTCAACCGCGTGCAGACATGTATTGCCCATGCGGCAAAGTTACAGATGGATGATTCTGTTCATCATCCTCAGTCTGATGTCCTAATACTTCTTCTCGATCTGGCATGTAGCCTTCACCAGAAGGCGTATAACATGTCAGCACAGAAGATGGGTGCGCTGCAGAAGCGGCTGGAGGAGCTGAAGCAGTCGCCTGATTGGCCTTCTCGTTCGGGCGAGATGTTGTTGCCCATCAAACGGATACCAAATGTGCAGCAAACAGTCAGCACCGACACGCGAGCTGTTTTGCGTCCTGGGGATGACGATGTGGATTATTTAGTGTTATCAGCACTGGGCAAACAGGAGGCGTTCGCATTGGCGTAAGTATCTTTGCTCTCCACCGAGACAAATGGGTATTAACCGTTTTGCAGGTTTGTATTCAATGGCATCGTGGCCTGCTATAAGGCTTCGACCCCTGCTCGTAGTTCGTCCATGTGGGGAGAGGCGATCAGGTTGCTGGAAGGTGAGCATACTGTATCCCCACGACGTTCCCCTAGCTAACTCATGCTTCAGACGGCAAAGCAGTATCGCCACCGCAACCACTTCCTGTTGCCCTTGAGCAAGCCGAGTGGGCAAGAGAGCTGTCTTGCTATGCGCACATCCTCACCGGTCTGCAGGCAGCAACGCTGTCCGATTGGGCCAAGGTTAAAGTGTGCCTAGAAACAGCCCAGAATTGCAGTTCGCAGACCGACTTCCTTGACATCTTGACACTCTACCTTCAGGGTGTCTTCTACCAAGGAACAGCTCAACTCGAGAAAGCTATCGAGATCTGGAAGGATCCGGCCTTCGAGGTAGACCCGACCGGCATCCCTAAGCCAGGTACTAGTCGCATCCAAATGGAACTTTCCATCTTGGCTGCGCTCAACCGGATTTGGATTATGCAAGAGCCGGGACAACGCGACGACGCCGAGCTGGCCGAAATCATTGACCTGCTGCGGCCGATCTGCGAAGACAACCCGGATCATGAGATCAGAACGGTCTACAACTTAGTACTTTCATGCGCCCAGCTTAATCCTCCCCTTTCCATTAACCAGGTCAAGCGCCACATCCAGAACTCGTTGGGCGGTGCGCAAATGACATGCAACACGCAGCACCTGGCGATTGCGCTGAATGTGATGCGCTGCCGGCTGTTTGAGAATGTGGTGGGCGAGCAGGCACTCAAGAGCGCTAAGGCGGGCGCTGCGCAGGCACGTAAGAGCGGCAACGTGTTATGGATGAGCGTTGCCGAAGGTATGCTGGCGCAGTCTTATGAAATGCAGGGCGCGTTGGAGTTGGCCAGAGAAGCCCATGAGAGTGGTGTTAAGTATGCGAATGAGGCGTATCACAGGACGCAAGTCTGACTTTGAGCTCTTATGTCTGGCTATTTATCTGTGCTTGAATGTTTGCTTTTCTGCTACTTGTGAAGGTGGTAATGATGGGGGATACAAATCATGAAAAGCAGGCATTTTGTTCGGTGCTGGGTCTGTTGGGGCGAGGTGTGTTTGTCTCGGTATAGAGGACATGTCAGGCACCATTTGGCACATCACAGTGTTATACCCACTTGATATCATTAGCTTGGTGTTCTTGTACATTATACATCTGTATTGTTCGGTTGCCCGTCTACATCTCTCAAAACCAGTTGTCACCGTATGATTCAATTGCCTACTTGTTACGGTGGTCACCTAGGTGGTTGGTGGCTTATCGATAGTCCCGTCTGTGGTAATCCTTATCGAAAATATCGGATAGCCCACTGTTATCGATAAAGATTTTGGGACTGGCAACCTTTGCGACCTTTTTGCCCGGAGACGACGTCGACATCTCAACTATTGTTACACAATCCCCCGCTGACAAGCTTCTAAACCTCTCTGGCTGACGTTCATCCTCACAAGTGAGCACAATTAGTTGGTCTAGTGCTTTCACTCAGTCTGTCAAAATGAAGTCAGACAACCAACAACCCCCTTCCATCGAGCCCACCTCAAATACAACAACCATAACAACTACCCACTCCTCCAACCCTTTCACCAAGTTCGCAGCATGGGGCATCGCCGTACTAGGCCCCATTGCTCTCTTCCTTCCCGGGCGTGGCGGTGCGACCAAGTCGACCTTCCAGAATGCCATTCTCGCCGGCTCCACTTTCTGGGGCTACAACACTCTTGCGGCAGAGTACACGGGTAAGAGCATCACACAGCGCTCATCAGAACGGTGGCGCTCGCTGCTGGGGCTTCCCGAAAAGAAGCCTGAGGAGGAGAAGCGCAAAAAGGGCGGTGTGTTTGCAGATCTGCCGACAGAGCGTGCCGCGCAGGTAAAGATGTTACTTGAGGAGGAGAGGCGCAGACGGGCGGCGGCTGAAGGGCGGGAGTATAAGCCGAAGGATACGAGGGGGTTTTTGGAGAGGGTGTGGATGGGTAATGAGGAGGAAGGGTGGAAGGAGAAGAGGTTGGAAGAGGAGAGGAAAGCTTTGGAGAGTGGGAAAGGGTATGGGGATTTGATAATCGAACAGGTGAAGGAGGTGTTTGGGAAAAGGGATAACGGGAAGAAGGAGTGAGGGGGCCATTATGGCTAAGGAGCAAAGGGCGAGGGGCTCCGCAGAGGGCATACGAACCTGTTCAACGTATCCGGTTGATGTGATGTATAATACAGCGGGTATCTGGGATACTGTACAATAGTTCGGTCCGGCTGTGATAATTTACAAGGAGATAAGAGGCGTTCTCTATCACTCATCTCTATCTGATTCCTCCATTTCCCTACGATAGCAAGCTTGGAGCATACCTTGCCTTCTTGAACATGCCCTTCTTCTTCAATTTCTCACGCTTCTTGGCCGTTCGCTCCCACTTCTTCATACGCCTTTCGGTATCCTTCTGGTCCTCCATCACCAGCCACATGGCTAACTCCAGATCAACCCGCTCATCCCGCTCGGTTGACCCTGGCTCAATGCCGTATTTCTTCTGCAACTGAAGCTTTTTTCGAGCCGCCATCTCCAGTCGGCGCTTGATGCGACGCCTCTCGTGGTGATTCAGGCGATTTTCTTGCTTCTCCGGTGGCCGCCATGGTTCCCATGGCTTCTCTAGATATTCTAAAAGGCGGCGTTTCTCTTCTTCGGGGTCAAGGGGCTGCTGGCCTTTCCGGGGACGTGGGTCTGGTGACAGGTCGATATCGAGAGGGGTTGTGAACTTTTCTGGATCAACAGGAGAATCAGGGTCTAGCTCCGGTTCAATAAGGGTGTCGGTAAGTTTGACCTTTTTACGCGTCTTCTGCTGACTGGGGAAAACACAAGTCTCATCTTCCTTTTCGGCCACCTTTGAGTCGAGCTCTATGGGCTTCGTGTCTTCTAGAGAAGGCTTTTGGTCTTCTACCAAGTTGAAATTTGCAGAACCTTTGTCCTTTGAAATAGGCTGTTGCCGCTTTGTGAATTTGAGTCCTCCAAACTCTTCGTCTTCCACATCAGACTGCTCAATCCCCTCCCAGTCGAATTCCACGGATTCGATGTCTTTGGACGAAGGCAGGTTGTTCTCAACATCTTCCGAATGCCCCATAGAGTACATTGTATCATTGAAAAAAGCACTTAACCCCGCTCCCGGAGCACTATCTCCCGGTTTGGAGCTTGTAGAGCTGAGAAGATGCTCAATGTATTTTCGTTCCTTGAGCTTTCGGCGTTGGTAGGGGCTTAACTTGTCTTTCTGTTGCTGCTTTTGCTTCTTTTTCTTGCTTTTTCGAGATGAATAGTTGCGGCATAGGGAGTCTGGGTAACTAATTGGCAAGTGTCGAGTAAGGGCGAATGAAGGAGATGACCTCTCAGCCATCGGCAACTGACGTGAAAACAGCCACGATGGTGGTTGCCCAAAAGGTGCCAAAGGCTGGCGGAGGGCGCGGCCAGCTAATCTGCGGAGAAGCATTTTCACCGTTGACCAGAGTGCATATAGTTCAAATTTCAGTACTCACGTAGCTTCTAATGCCAATATAGAGCGACTGATTGGATGTCTTCAATTGCGCCGGCGACGTCGTTGATCTTAGGTGGTGTTTTCACCTCGCGCTGAACTCTTGGCATCTCAAAACCTTATCTTATCATTATCGATAAAGTGATTGATTAACCCTCACATGACAAAAGGTTAAAGACCATGCTGGAAACGACGTAGATTTGCGTAACTCTAACCTCAACTTTGTGAGCGTAATGACATCTGGGAGATACTAGGCTCTGCAGTTGGCCATCACCTGCAGCTGCCATCTTACCCCCAACTCCCCACTAGTCTCCGATGGCACACACATTCCCTTCCTCGCCTCCGAAAGCTTGCTATGAGCCCCGCAACCGCGCAAGAGGCTGGTTAAGCACAGGAGCCCGACCCTGCTTCAACTCCTCATATCGTGTCCATACGGAGGAGAAAGCAGACGATAACTGTCCAATCGACTGAAGCGCCACGTCAACTTGTGGCTGGGTACAAGTCTGCCTCCATAACAGCCACGGATGAACCGGTTTCCTGCAGCCAAACACCTTTGACAGCCTGTCAATGTAGGACAACAGAGGTATGGTTAATATTTACAGCTCGGCCGGTTGTCCTGAGGATACCCAATTTAATGATGAAGGCTATTTGTAAGTAAGAATGCAGAACTCTTCAATTAGCTGATGTGATGATCACCATCACAGCCTTGTGAGTATGCCTTTCGGTGGTAGCCTTGTACGGATCCGTAACTGTGGTTGACGTGAAACTGACAGCTGCGTGCTCTAGAAATAGCGCCCATTTCGCATAGCCCAGCACAGCCGGATGGGTGGATGTCAAACATCGAGCAAGGTTGGACGCGGCGGCCTGCGCCCCAGTTGGGCATGTCGTGCTGTTGCCGGGAAGGTCACCGCAACAAGATACTGTGTGCGATTGCGAAACGGACAATTTCGCACTGTATCTTCAACTGCTCAAGTTGAGCAATGATAGGCTCTCATCTAAGTTCCTCCAAACGTTAGCAGATAAATATCCGCAGTCTCTTTATGGCTTGAAACAAGCAAAAGCAAGGAGATTGCAGTTTAGTTGTATATTGTCGAGCAGTGTCTTTGCCGTTCAGCGACTCGCAGTGTGGTGTAATTTGGTCTGATCATTACGCTGGTCTTATTAGCCCTGTACCATAGTTGCGGTTCAGATATCCCTACTCCCGCTGCGCCTGGCTAGCTCAGCAGTGGACCCTCCTCCTGTGTGAAGCAACCGGGGAGATCCTCCCGAAACACCAAAGCCCAAGGAAGTCCTGTCGCAACCTCCAGGTCCTCTTTCAACACTCAACAACATCTTGCCCACAACAAGCTCCGTGATTTATCATCCTGCTGCATCCGACCTGACTGCATTCCCGATCATTATTACTGTTTCTTGATTCTGATTGCAATTCATTGTCAGCCAGCTGCCAGGTCAGGTTCCAGGTTGCGTTTGCAGGGCACGCCGCCCTATCCGTTGCTCGCTCGCGTGGTTGTCCTCTCGTTTCTCCCGACATCCCACCACAGTATCTGCATAAACATCATTTCGACTCTAGTTCGAGGAGCCCGAAGAGCCCGGGCCTGCCATCGTTCGCAAAAGAGCAAGCATGGCAAGCGCAGACTACTACAACCAACGACCTCATCTCGACGCGGGATCCCAATATTCCGGGTATTATGGCGGCCGGTCATCGCCCTCGGCCAGCTCACAGCAGCACCTTGCACCTGGAAGCCAGCCATCGCAAGGTGTGTCTCCTTTTGAAACAGCATTTGACGACCATGTCTATCCAGCGAGTTCGTACCGTCCAACCCCGGCCTCGAGCCATCACAGTCTGAGCCACCAGGACCCGGACACGGGATACCACGGCGCCTCTCCAGACGACTTTGCTTACCAAGCTTACCATCACCAAGCAGATGATATCCCTCTCCAAACCAATCCTCAGCGCCTCTCGGTGAAGGACGCTGAGATGCCGGATCACGTCTACGACGCTCCCCAGCCTAGGCCTGAACGGAGACGCCGCATCCGCTTCGGCGAGCTAGGCATGCTTGGGTCAAACCACAAGAAGATACCGCTCGTTGTCTACTTCCTCACCGTTGTTCAGATAGCCGTCTTTGTGGGTGAAATTGTTAAGAATGGCAAGTCGTATCTGTTCCAGAGCATCGAAAGTCTAAGGATCGTTGGACTAACTTGTATATGTGTGCAGCAACCCTCACAGGCTCGCCCATCATGCTCAAGCCCAGCTTCAACCCCATGATCGGCCCCTCCACCTATGTTCTCATAAACATGGGAGCCCGTTTCGTCCCATGCATGCATAATGTCGAAGGCATCCAGAATGCTACCACCGTGGTCTACTGGCCCTGTCCATGGTCAAAGTCCAACGACCCGAGCCTCCCCGAGAACCAGTGCACCTTGTCACAGCTCTGCGGCTTCGGCGGCGTTCCCGAGCCCAAGTACGCCCCAGGTGCATCCATGGACGACAAGCCCGAGCCTAATCAGTGGTTCCGCTTCATTATCCCCATTTTTATGCATGCCGGCGTCATTCATATCGGCTTCAACCTGCTGCTCCAGCTCACCCTTGGTCGTGACATGGAGAGATCCATCGGCTCCATCCGCTTCTTCCTGGTCTACATGTGCTCAGGGATCTTCGGGTTCGTCATGGGCGGCAACTTTGCGGCCACTGGTATCGCTTCCACTGGCGCGTCGGGTTCTCTCTTTGGCATCATTGCATTGACCCTCCTCGACCTATTTTACTCCTGGAAGGATCGCATGAACCCTGTCAAAGATCTCTCCTACATTCTTCTCAATGTCATCATCTCCTTCGTCCTGGGTCTGCTCCCTGGTCTCGACAACTTCTCGCACATCGGCGGCTTTCTGATGGGCCTCGCTCTGGGCATCTGCGTCCTGCACTCCCCTAACTCGCTGCGCCGCCGCATTGGCGGCGATGTCCCGTATGCAAGCTCACATGTTTCGAGTGGCTATGCCTCCCAGGGCACACCGCCGAGCTTCTTTAAGAACCCAGTTGGCTTTTTCAAGGGTCGCAAGCCTCTCTGGTGGGCTTGGTGGCTCATCCGTGCCGGCGCTCTGATCCTTGTCTTGGTTGTCTTCATCCTCATGCTCAACAACTTCTACGTCTACCACACCAAGTGCAGCTGGTGCAAGTACCTCAGTTGCATGGTATGTTGTCTTTCCTGCTTAATACCTTCCAGAACCGGCTAACCAAAGACACAGCCTGTCAGCAATTGGTGTGAAATTGGCAACCTTAAGTTGTCAAGCTGAACGTTCAGCGACATACGCGTGATTTCTTTATTCCTCTCCATTGTCAAAAAACAAGACAGTCTGACGGTTTTAAAGAAGGGATAAAAATAAAAAAAAAGAGAAAGAGAACTTAAATACATACTGATTACTATCCAACGCATAACAGTGTGTCGGCTGTTTTGGATCATGGGGTCCATGGCTATGAACGGATGGGGTAAGACTTGAAAAAATCGAGGCGGCATGGTGTAGTTTCTCGGTTCTCGAGTGCATAGCAATGGCGTTTCGGGTTTTGGGGTTGGTTTTTTGTCCACTTCTGGAGACCGACAGTTCTGGCTAATTAGGCAGGCGAAGCTACAGACTAGGGGATCTGTGGCAACGGTATCATACCAAAGATGAAAATGACATCGATGGTTTGGGCTCAAGGAAATGTGCAGGGCACATTCCATATCTGTGCGTTCACAGCCTGGCAAGTAGAGTCGAACTTCCCAGCCCTTAATTTAACACTGGTAAGAAACGCATCGGGACTAGTTAACAAAATATTCCAAGGGAGAACGCGTTCCAGAAATCTATCTCGTATAGATCCATTCCAGTCAAAATTCCCGGTTCCTTCAGAATGGGGGATCGATCGCGACCTATAATACACCTATGGTACATCTTACATGAAATCAAATCTATGTCTAACTTTGCGAGACCGTTCCTTTCCCCAAACCCCCTGACACCGTTCAAAGAGTCGAGTAGTTGTACAAATGTTGAATACCTCACTGGCTTCTCAACCATGCGCCTGACCGATTGCTCCAGACAGATCCAAGAGTTTTGCCGACAAGCCCCATGTGGTGGCATAGATAACACACATTATGTTACGACAACTATTCTGCCATTTGGCTTCAGTCCTTCTTTCCTTTGGCTAGGAACTGCTCAGAAACAGAAGAGGGCGGCAATTGAGTCTTTGTGGCACTAGAGCAGTTGACGGCTGCTACTCAGCAACCTTGTTGTCACCGTTCTGCTCCTCTGCCTGTTCCGCAGCTTTCGTAGCTGCTTCTCCTGTTTTCAGTTCCCCCTTTTTGGCATGTTGTACCTTGTCCGCGAGTGACTGCATTGCCTGTGCCAATGTCATTTGCTTCTCTTTCTTCTCCTTTTTTGTCTCGTGCCTCTTCTCCGCTTTTGTAAGCTTTGCAGACTCCACAGGCTGTGCAACTTGAGATGTTGAGGGTTGAGAAGCAACGTCAGCATCATCTGCAGCAGCCTTGCTTTGCTGCGTGGTCTCAACAGCAGTCTTCCCAGCCTCAGCATCAGCGGCCGCAGCCAACCTGGCTTGGGCCTTTTCCTTCTCCATTCTCCGTCGTTCCCTATTAGCCCACCTGGTGGACCATGGCTTATACGGTTTTCGCCCGTCTTTCTGCGAGTCTTCGAAGACGGACGGCCAGGTGTACCCAACCTTTTCGCCGTACACGAACACGGGTTTGAGCCGGTTTTTCTCGTTGAGGCGCTGGCGCCTATCCCGACCACGACGGCTGTAGTACTGCAGTTTGCCCTGGAACATCTTGTACCACGTGCTGTCCTTCTCCTTTTCCGACGTAGAACGAAGCTTCTTGCGACGAGCCAGGCACATGACATACAAGTTGCGCGCACGTTGTTCGGGAATCTCTTCGATCGTGTACTCAACAATCCACTGGTCTTGCTTGGTCATGTTCTCGGGTCGTTCAACATATTTACCGTTAACACGGTTGCGAACCAAGAGCATCATGCCATAGACTTCCTCATCGGCGCCTAGTGCATCGACCTTAGTAGCGGGTATTATAGTGTCTGCAGCAGGATCGTCTTCAGGCTCTTCTTCCTCCTCGACCTCTTCTGAATTCTGCTTGCTAGATGTCTCCTGCACTGGCGTCTGCACTGAGGATTCGGGGTTCACTTCAGTGATCGTAGATTCGGGTACCGAATCCTTCTCCACAACCCGCTCGGCTTCCTCGCCCACAGACTCAAATGCAAGGCTGCCCTTTTCAAGGATCTTGTTGGGATCATCACAGGGTCCTCCGCGCTTCTCAACCAACTCGAAGAGGATCTGCCAAACATCCCGTAGTTTTTGATCAGCCAACAGCGCGTTCTTATCCTTTTGTTCGTTGGATTCGAACGCGGAGTACGAACTCTTGACGTGGGTTGCCAGCTTGACAATGAGATCTTTTAGGGATGTCTCTTCGGCATCAGCTTTGACTGCAGTCAAGTTGGCCTGCTTGGTGTCACTTGCTTTTGACGGAGTCTGACTTGACTGAGTCGACTGGGGAGTCATGTCCGTTTCAGTTGACTCGCTGCTTGCAGTGACGTCGGTTTCGTTTTTCTTCGATCCAGCAGACCAAGACCTTCCAGTAAGAGCGTCAAGGAATGCGTCAACGTAGCGCTGCGTCTCTTCGGGAGAGGCTTCTTGAAGAAGGCCGCTCTCCTGGAAAGCATCTTGTATGGCATCTCGAACGACGGCCACACCGTTTTCCTCATCAACCATTTCACTTTCAACCTTTTCCAGCAAATCTTCCCAAGGGTCAAGGCCCATTTTCCCTTCATCCTCGCCCCCTTGAGCCATTTCGTTGGACAGCTTCTGGACGGCGTCAAGTGTGGCGTTCGATACAGCATCGTCATAGTCTTCCTCGTCCTCGTCCTCAAGATCCTCATCGAAGTCATCCTCAACGATCTCCTCAACAACTTCCTCCCCCTCCGCAGCAGGCTCCAAGATGCGACGCTCCCACTCCTCGATCGCGCGTTGAGTGGCGCCCTGGATCTCGTCGATCTCCTTGTCCGTGACCGGCTTGGCGAAGATATACATGAAAGGTGCACCAGTGGCCTCCCTGGTCTCGAAATGGATCCGAAGTGTGCGTCCAGGGTACTTTGCTGTCGCCTTGTCGAGAACTTTGTTCAACAAATGGAGACTCAGACGGAACTCACGGTCGCCAAGAACCTTGTTCCTCTGACCGTGGAGAGAAAGATCCATCTCTGCGAGAGGAATGTATTGAAAGCCAAAGATTCGCTCAGTGTTGTGGTAGGCAACAAAGATGCCATCCATGCGGCCCATCCGAACTTGAAGGGAGTACTTAAGGAAGGCCGACCGGATCATGTCGTAATACTCGCGCTCGAATGACTCCCACTGGCCATGGCGTTGACGAATCTCATATCCGACACCTTTTTGGTAACCTTGGGCATCCATGCGGATGGAAACAACGGCTCTGGTTTTTAAATCAAACATGCCCGTACCGGGAAGCCTGTGGTCATAGGCATCCAACTGCGACCGCATCAGAAAATCGCCCATGGTGGTGTAATGATAACTCTCGGGTCCATCGCGCTCTTTGTCCGTCAGCTCGTGAGAGCGCGACCTGCGATACTGCTCGAATTTCCTCTTAGGAAGTGTAAGAAGCTTTTCCATAGACTTGCCCAACATGCTGAGGATATTGGCCGTGTCGAACTCCTTGTCAGCATCAATGGCGTAGGTACCATCCTTCCAGTGCAGGAAGGTAGCAGCTGGAGCGCGGTTGATGCGAGTGAACCTGGTTGAGTCGACCTTGAAGTCCCGGGACATCATGCAAGGGTTAATGGGGCGCCACGCAGAAAGCAGGTAGTGGAAGTGAGCTAGTGTGGTTGTCATGCTCGAAGTCGATCCTGCATACTTCTTCTCAAGTTCCGACGCAGTTTTGATGAGAATATCGTCCTTGGATGAGGTGACATATTTCTTGAGTGCCTTGAAGTCGAACTCAGAAATAGGCATGATACGGGCGAGATAAGGGTCGAAATTGTAGACGCCGGAATGAGGGTCCTGGAGACAATAAGGCCCCGGATTGAACAGGACGCGGTCTAGGCCATAGGAGAGACCCGGCACTGGTGGTTGCCCTTTCTTGACAACAGGGACCAGCTTGAGGCGTGCAGCATCTACAGTCTCAATCGCCAAGCCACGGCGCTTTTTTTCCCATTCTTTGAGGCTCAAGTTGGGATTTGCTTTCTCTTCAGCTGATGGCGGAGCAATTAAATTCACCTTTGAGACCTGTGGCAGGCACTTCTGGGGAGTTTCGGGTGCTGGAGCCTTTGTGAATGATGAAGCAGCTGGTACCTCTGTAAATGATGAGGCAGCTGGCGCCTGTGATGTTTGTTCCGCTGTTAATGCGTCAACATCGTTGCTCTGCGTAGTTGACTGTTTCTTCTTCTTCTTCTTCTTTTTGTTCTTGGTCTTTCCCTCCTGAACAGCCGTCTCTGCCGGAGCGAGCGTGTCCTGATCCAGTTCAACTTTCTCGGCTTTCTCTTTATTGACTGGGCTCATTTGCTGGCCCGCGAGAATGGGGGATTCATCCTTGTCACCTTCAGCCGACTTGATCTCCTCGGCAGCCTGGCTCTTCTCAGAAGGTGTACTCTCTGAGATGCCCGCTGTCACCACCTGCGAGGCAGTAGAGGTCTGCTTTGCTCTCTCTTCTGCCTTTTTCGCTTTCATCAACTTCTCCCACTTCTCATAAGCTCGTTTCCCCTCCCATTTTTCCGGCTCCTCCAAAAGTACAGCCTCTCCCTCCTTAGCTATTCGCTCAGCTTTCTCCTTGAGCTTTATCTCCTTCTCCCGTTTTAATTTTTCTTTCCGTCGTCTCCGAGACTCCTTGATTGCTTTCGCTCGCTCTCTTCCAGAGTTGATTTGAGCCATAACGGCCTTTTTGAATTGCTTTTTACGTGCAGATTTCGACAGCGGCTCTGGATCTGGTTGCTTCTTCTCCGCAGGGGGAACTGGTAAAAGTTTGGATTCTTCCTCATCCGGTAATTCTTTTTTGTTCGCCAAAAAACCCTGAAGAAGCGCCAGCCTCTCATTCTCTTTCTGGGCTCTGGCCTGCCAGCGAAGCTGTTTCTTCTCCCTCCATGTCAACTTCGGCGATTCCGTACCGTCAGACTCTGACGTGGGGCTGGCTGGACTCGGCGCGTCCTTGACGTCGGCATTCTGTATTGTCTGGCTAGCATTTTTAGCTACGAAGGCTAATTGTTCTGGTTGGTCTGGAGGGCTCGTAGTAAGTTCTGGGTTAAGTGAGGTGGCCAACGCCTGCGCTTGTTGCTGAGGCTCAGTCGAGTATAATTGGCGGCTCGCTGGACAGGGCCTAGCTGCGACGGCGGGCAACCTCACGGCAGCGCCGCTGGCCAGAAGCAGACGGCATGATGCGCAGACGAAGGGAGCCCTTAGTGTGCGAAATGAGGCTTGTCTGGTCAATTGCAACATGGCAACACTGGGCCCTGGGTGTCCTCGATCCGGGGAACTTTGAGGTTGACGACCAGGGGTTTCGCACTTCTCCGACTTGCCCCGTCCGGCTCGTTAGCGTGCCGTTGATCGAGGTTGGAAAAAAACGAAGTCTGCACACAGGCGCGTCTGCTCTCGTGCGCGTCCAGCGAGGTGGCGAGACCCTGTCGTAGGCTCTGAGTGCGTTACCGAAACTTTTTTTTTCGGTACCCCACTTGTCCAACGCTTTCCCCCTTCACTCTGGGTTCGGGTTGACGTGAGCCAAGCATAGATGACATAAGCAATCACAGGCTAGACCTTCTCTGGTCATGAAGATGATGGTAATGACACATCTTTCATGAACTGGTAATGTTACGCAGACTTGGCTTCGTAACCTTGTGCTTCGCTAGGTATTGGACATGCATTGGGGGTGTTTTCTTATTGTCACGAGAGATCTCGATCGGTAATCATCTCACAATCTTTTGACGAGAAACACATAACAATGATATTTGTGAATTCTACGTTGTCATTCGAGACCACAGCGCGATCAAACCAATCTCCGTTCTGTTGATGCCTATCGCCATGGATTTGTCACTGCATGACCTGCGAGGTGGCAGCCAACGAGTTGACAAGCTCCAAGAACATGCCTGGGAATGGACAATGCCCAGTAAATATCACCACCAATGGAGCTTTCAGACTGTGCCATGCATCAACTACCACCCTGCCAAAGAAGCAGTGACGTATAGGTAAGCCTACCAGACGGCCGTTCCTCCCGACCCGCACCGAGCTGCTCCTCAGACATTGATGGACAACCCACCACCTGTCGACATTGCCATCCTGAATTGTCATGGCGCTTGGTGCGGCAAGTCTGCGCGGGAAGCCAGCAGTGGGTGGAGCGAGCAAAACGGCGACTCCGTCCAAGTCTTTGGAAATGGAGCGGAAACCCCACGGTCGCAGGGGAGGTGTGGGTTCCATTACCTAATGCGCTGTCGGAGCGCCAGCATCCGCCAAGACGAGGCGGCGGGTGTCCCCTCTCTCAAGGCTGAAATTTTTAGGTCAAGCGATGGCTTTCACCTGTTGATTTCATCGTCGACGAGGTCTGCTAGTAAGTCTGCTAGGTCGACGTGTAAGTAGGCGTTGTTCCTGGACTAGTGGCGATCAAGATTGCCAACGGCGCCACGCTCGATCAAGTCATGCCAGTTGGTCCAATGGAGAACGGGAAGACGGAGATGCAGGACGACCGACAGCAAAGGATGGGAAGGGAGACCTGACGACATCCTGGCCTGACATCACACATCACCTGAGTTGAGAGCGGTCCTCCCTCATGGTGCCAATCTCCCCAGCACACACACAGCCAGCACCAAGCTGTGCTTCGGAATTCCTTCCTGGGTCCTGAGGCACTGGCTTACATCCTAGTGTTCGCTGGCCGCCAATTCTTTGACACTGGGCTGGGGAGAACAGTTTGTCTGGTGAGCAGTCGCCCGCCACGGAGCAGCTAATTCTTCCGACTCGGTTTCGGGTCGTTGACTAAAACGCCAGGGTTAAGCCTGCTCGCACACACAGCGATACCTATCTGGATATCGCCCATGTTCTATTGCGCTCAGAGGTACAAGACAAACTGGAATAGAAGAAGAGCCCTCTTTCGATCAACGCCGGACAGCAAGGAGTGGACACTCTGCTGTATCATCTGGACGACGTTGCATCTTGTCCTAGTCCTCCCGTGTTGCAGCGCTCGGCTTTGCAACGCCCCTCAAGAACAAACGGCGATTGGACGGCAGGCCAAGAAGCCAGTCTTGTTCTGATTGCGACCAAAGCCTCATAAATCACGAAACCGTTTTGCGCGGTGCGCGCCAGCCCAACACAGGTTCAGTCAGTGCTCGGGCGGCGCTCGCATCGCGCGTCCATACTATAGACAAAAAATAAAGGAGAACGGTTATCGCAGTCTCACTGACCTCATTCTTGCATATGTGAAATGTCAGATAGGGCAGATCGTTCAGACAGCCACTTTTCACATACACACCGGGAATGTCTCAGAATCTGGCCAAAATCTGGCCGGGCTGAGTCACCGCACATTTGATATCAACGTCTTATCGTGATATACTCAACCCCCTCCCCCACCGCAACGAGAGGTTGCACAGCCGTGCTGTGTTTACTAGAATGAAGCCTTGTTAGGACCAGCAGTTGGGAATGTCAGCTGTTGCCTCATTACACGGGCAAAACCAACGTCTGCTGGCAGCCAACGTGCACTGCGGGCTGCTGCAGTCCAGAGTCATATGGGCATTTGGGCAATGGAAGGATGGAAACCTAAGCGGGTGGAAGGGTGGATGGATGGTTACGTGCCGGGCTGGACGGCGCGCATACAGACAACCACACACCCCTCCCCTCCTTATCATGGACCTCTGAATCCCGTCATGCAGCACAGTGGGCTCTGTGCAACAGATACCAGACTCAACAACCGCACAGGCACGGGCGGGCGGCCGGCACCGTGAGTCGGTTACTGGGGATTTGGACAATTTGGGCATATGAATTCCATATGTACGACCAAGGGTTGCCCAACACTGTTCCAACAAACCAGGACAATGTCGATCGCGAAATGCCCCATGGGGGAAGGAAGGTGCCGGCCCTCCTCGCTTTCTCCATATGGCTGGGAGGGCCTGTCTGGTACATGCCGTGAACTTGGATTCCCGGTGAATCCAGCAAGCAACTCAGCGACAGGCACAGCGTTGTTCACACCGGATATTGGCGATGAATTGACTATCTGAAAGTTTGCGACATGGGCGCTCAGCCGTTTGCTTGCTTGCTGAGAGGCGCTTATCTCGCAGCGGCTGTCAGAAACATCTCCAAACCGGTGGCCGGTCAGTATTTATGCGGATGAGCGATGTGATGCATCTCGGGGCCCGGAGAAGGACGGACGTCTGGATGTCTGGATGTAGGTACATGCTACACAATCCGTGGGCGGTCCATGCCCGGTGGACGATGTTATGTGTGCTTGTCGGTCGGTAGATATCTCGACCAAGAATCCATGCGGCGTGTGCAGAGATAGTATGGGCGGCCCTGATGGCTCGGTCGAATGGGAAGTGTTCCGGCTGACGGGCGTTTAGATCGATGGGATCCATGTCTCTACTCATTCTCTTGTTCGACGCCTTAAGGCTTCTTCTGGCCTGCTGCTGATCAGGCTTGGCCTGGTTTCGGATGTCGTGGCGCTGTTCTGGTTGCCTGCCTTATCGGCAGCTGTCCGTGCAGTCTGCCAAGATCAAAAATACCGGCTCGTCGGGCCTGCCGCATCTGGAACAGACGGGACGAGATCAGAGACAGGAAGCTGGCTGTTGTGGGCGCCGAAGCACGCTGCCGTCGTTGTGGCCTTACAGTTTAGGCCATGAACCCTTATCTTGGACCCCCACAGGGGCCCCAGCTGGGGAACCCTGTGAGATTGGCAGATTGCCCATGTGGCATGCCTTGGCTTTCCTCCCCACTCACATCCTTGCATGAATCCTTACCGCGGCCCCTCCAGCGGTCGCCCCGTGCCACTCAGCCAGAAAGCGGCCGATAAGTCGTCGTGCTGTGTTGGAAAGCAAGCCCGTTGGATGGAGAACGAGAGGACAATTTCTGACGATATGCTACCTGGAGTGAGCTGATGCCAGGCAGACGGGCAGACGACGAGTTGGAGATGTTGCAGCGCAGAAAAAAGTGGGCGATGGCACCAAAAGGCGCAGTAGACAGAGCTGCCCCAGCAACAAAGGGCAAGCTCCAAAAAATCTTGACTCCATAACCCACCCACCCGCAAACGTCTCCCACGTTCCACCCGCGCTTGCGAAAAAAAAGCTTTCATCCTTGCGTCCACCTGTCCCCATCAGGTACCCATCGGTTCGTAATGGATAACACACGGCATCCACCATTCCCGCACAACAAATCCAGCACGAACTGGTCACCCCAGCATCGCTTGGCCGCCGCTTGCCGGCTCTCAGCAGAGCAGCTTCATGCTCCGCGCCATGGCCAGGCCCTTCTCAGCAGCCAGCACTGCTTGAGCGCACAAGAATCACCACGCCCGCGGGACGGCTTGTTAGGCGATTTGGCGCGGCCCGGGCTTGCAGACGACATGGTAATTGTCACGTCACTTGTCGCAATCGCTGCAGCAACGGGGGGGTGGCAATTTTGTGAGTTTTCGTTTCTGATTCTGATGATGTGAAAAGTACTGTGTTGATCCATATGGATTAAGTAGTGTAGCTAAGTGGAGGGGCGCCCGTAGTGCCACATAGGATAGAACCTCCCCACACGGCTACCCGACCCTCGGACTGGGCCGTACCTCATTAATGCAGAGGACCCGCCCAGAGCAGCTCCTAACGGGCTGGCACTTTCTGGAACCCGAAAAGCAGAAAGGGCCGACAGATATTGACAGAGGCAGGCTGGGTAGCGCCCCCAGCAGCTGGAGACACAGCATACGTAGCGAGTGAAGAGGAGCACAGCAATTTATCTCGCTCGGCCTGGGAAGTCCGCAGCAGATGGGCAGGCACTATCTCTGCCTGTCTTCCCCACACCACGGGCTTCCATCCTCACCCTCACCCTTTTTCCAGATTCCATCTTCTTCAACGTGCTTGTTCGACAGCAAATCGAAGGCACTCGCCTCTCTCCGTCTGGCCTCTGATCCACGATCCAGCTCTTTGATCCTTCCACTTCAGGTTCCATTCCCCATCGCCAGACTCACCGTCTTTCTCATCCCGGACCCCATCTGAAGAACTGACACATCCACACTCATACTCACACTCCACTCTTCCTATCTCAGACATCTGTCTTGGCTTTATCTGCCGCTCTCCCCGGTCCCATCTAGTCTCCCGCTCAGCTCCCTTGCTCACCGACCTATAACGCGGGCGCTTTTTCTTATTACCCAGCAGGCACCACCATCTCGGTTTTTTTTTTATCTCTCGTCGCAGACTCGACATCTTGCGCTCTCTCACGACCTACACTGCCTAACCGCCTACAGCACCGCAAAACGGTGTCGTGCCTAAACATCAAAGACCCTCGACGTCTTTTTGTTACCCCCCCCCGGGCTGGCCGTTATCAGGGCGGCTTAGATGCGCACGTTCTGAGATCAACCGGGTACTCAGGCTCGGCTCCCTTGCAACGTGCCGTACTCGTACAGTACTCCGTACCTTACAAACTTTACTTCCCTTATCTCCACTGCGACGGCACACCAACCTACCCTACGGGCCCGGCGTCAAGCTGCATCGGGTATCAGAGATAACTGCCCCAACGTGCCGCCAGCCTTGACAAACGCTGCCCCAGAATTTGACCGAGGGTTCCCCGTCTCCCCAGACCAACCCCGCGTCTCGTTGTGTTTGCTGGTCTTGTCGTCCCTCCCAGGCTATCCCCGTTTATCAGTCGTCTGGTCCATTGGTCCCTGTTCCCCGGGGCCGGCTGCCTTGCTTTCCGCTGCGATCGAATCGAACCGCATATCTGGCATACAAGAGAAGCCCCCAGGTACATATCTCCGCCTGATAACGGGGCGCACTGTCGCCCTGTTCTCCCCCTTCCCCCTCCCGGCCACACACATGCTCACACGCACACAAGCTACAGAACCCAGCGACTCTCCGTGACACGACATATATGCTGGCACGGAGCCACCACAGTGGACCCCTGAACAGCCGGCATCATATCTGAGAAGCAAACTACCGCTGTCCCGAAGCAGCAGGGCTCACTCGCGCGTTCACACGCTCCTACGCTGCCAAATCGTCGACCCAGGTGTTTGTCTCGCTGCGCCCAGGAACTGTGTGACGCTCGTCGACAACAGGGACTATCGCTGCCCCATGGATATAACCCGGCCAACGCTCCGTAACATTGCCATGTTTGATTTCCGATAGTCCCTCCTCGTCTTCACGTCACTTCAACTCCCTCTTTTACTCACCTGCCTTGAATACCAGCATCATCACTTGCCTTTATCTCCTATCTTTGGCTTGTTAACCACCTTCGACACCACAATTCTTGCTGGATTTGCCAGTGGTCTCATCCCAGTGTGATCATTTAACCCGGTACCTCCCTTGGAATCATATTGACCAATCATCGATCCCCTTACACGACGGTTCCATTTCACTTCCGGTCATGACAGACCAGCGTTCAGCCTCGCCCTCTCCGTTACAGATGGCAGCCAAGAATCGGGAGGGCGAGGCAAGGTTGCCCAAGGGCCATTGTCGGTACATCCTGCTCCTTCCTGAGATTAAGGGTCAGCGGTGTGCTTGCGTGGCCTTCTCTCTCAACAAGGAGATCCCAAGTGCCACCTGTGATTGTGGCCACCTTGCATGCTACCATACTAACGATCCCGAACCATCAACAGACCAGAGGCAAGAGCTCGAAGCTTTAAAGCAGAAGGTATATCAGCTTGAGGCTGCTCTCTCCAGAGGACATGATGACGTGGTGGACAGGTTTGCGAGCCGATTTGCCGAAGTGGAGGATCATGTGGAAAGGCACAAGGAAGAGGTTGGAGAATCGGTCAAGAATGTGTACCGGAATGTTTGTCTCAACTGGGACACTATCCAGCAGACGAACCGCAGGCTCCAACAGCAGGAAGAGCAAATACGTGAGATGCAGAGCAAGCTTAAGCAACACGCCGAGCAGATTGACGAACTCCACGCCAGCCAACTCGAGCTCAGGGACGCCGACATTAGCCTGGAAGAGCGCATCGAAAACTTGACAGAGTTGATGGAAGAGCAAGAAGAAATGCGCCAATCCTCGTCTCGTCCATCCCGAAGAAGGTCAACATCTGATGCCTCCCACCCAAACGTCCCACTGACCCCTTTAGGGCAAGGGGCCGCCCCGTCGTCAGACTCGTCCCAACGCCCGTCCCGATCGCCAGCGGGCGGCCCCGTCAATCCCAGCCCCAGCAGGTCAGGACATGGCGAAGGAACCGGGCGAGAAGGCAGCCGCCCTCCAATGACGTCTCTGACAACGATGGTGACGAGACCTATCCGCCTCATTCCCCCGCTTTCAGCCCGCTCCACCGAAGCCTGGACAGTTCACATCTCGCTGCTACCGCACGCCTCCCTCCCGATGCCCTTCGAGCGCAACACCAATGCCTACCAACGCTGCCTGTCCCGCGGCCTGCACCAGATGGTGGCGGTCCAGGGCCGCGACTGGCCTGCGTTCAAAACGGCCGTCGAGAAGGCGTTTGGCCGCTTCCTCCGCGGCCGCGAGTGGATGCCCCTTCAAGCCAAGCTCTGCGATGCCGAAACTCTCCAGGGTCTCCCGATGCTTCGCCAGCTCGATCCCCGCTTGATTGATTTCGAACGCGGCTATGACCACGCCTTCCTTCGCCGACACTGCGCGGTGTGCGACTCGAACGGCATGATTGATTCTCTTTATATCGCCATGCGGTATCATACTATCAGCTGGCATACGTTGCGCCATTCACCCGTTTACCTCGACGGCCTTGAAGGTTGCTGGAAGTACGACCACTTGCTAGACAGCGGTGATCCGTTCCCCGACAGTGACGACGCTATCGATGATCAGGCGCGGCCTGCCGCCGGTGATATCACCACCGTGCTGCCAAACGTAAGGTCTCAAGTTACAGCTACCGGAGTGAAGCGTCCGCTCTCCGAGATGAGCAGGTCGGCAAGCTTTGGTTCGGCGACAGCAGTACAGCCAGGTCCTATGGTTGTCGGATCGTCACCATCATCATCATCATCATCATCGGCCACAGCTGTTCCGGAGCTTCATGAAGACCAACCCAGGGCAGCCAAACGCATGTGTCCGGCCGTACCTATTCCTGTCACCGTGCCGGTACCGGTGTCTGTCTCTAGTGCAGCAAGTCCAATCGTTGAGGTGAGAAGGCGGGATATCAAAACTGCATGATTGAGCCGTGATCTTGTTTGTTTCACCCCGCCTCATGTTCCGAAACGGGATGGGAACCTTGGTCACGTCGAGGTTAGACAAGCAATCGATTCTTTAGCCTGGCTAGCACTATGGTTAGACGGTGTGAATGGATATCTACCCTAGACTTGAGATGAAAGCGTAACTGGATAGGATGTACTAAGATGTCAGAAAGACATATCAGAGGGAGGAAGCGCACATACACATGCACACATACTGTTGCCATTTTTATAGATCGGGCTGGATGGAGTTGGCGGGTTAGGTACAGGTTATACACGGTGTCCGTCCCTTGCTGAGGTATCTTAGTTCTTTGGCACACATACGAGGAGGATTCGGTCGTAGGAGGGACTCTGATTTGTTCTTAGTAGTGCAATATCTTTAGGAACTTAGAAAGGGATGGTACTTGGGATGGATGGTTTGGGTGGCGTTCTATGGGGGTTTCTTTGCTATTTCTTGCTTCCCTCACTCTCCAGATCTCTCTCGTAGGAGGATTGAAACTTTGAGGGAAGGTAGCTGACTCTCTTCCCCATGATTTATCCGCATGATCATGGACTGCCTGCTGCGGCTGTTTGTCCTTGGTTGTGAAACATTCCTCTCCATCTCAGTCTGTATTACCTCCTGATGGTAGCTCCATTCGTTCATATATATGAGTGCTTATATTGTCTTTTCTTGGTAATAACACTGACACCTGATGTCACTATCGTCTTTCATATCTCATGTAACTCGATCTGCCCTCAAATCAACGATGTTTCCGAAAGATTTTTGTTTCAGAACACGGTCTTCATTATCTCTAGATGTGTCCAAGAAGGGCCCGTTCTCAGGACATAAGCCGGGAGTCACGCAGAACGTGGGCCGTCTCCCCTAACAGCACCAGAGATATGGATGCATCGAGACAGACTTGAAATTTTTTATGGAGAAACTAGTCGACAAGAAGGTCCATAAAATCATTCGGGCACCTTCTCGTATGCTTGTGGAGGATAGATACGTGGGCAAGAGCGGTGGTTGATATGAATCGCTCTAAGCAAGTAACCCCAGGCGGCAGTTGGTCAGAACTCTCATCCTGGCTCAGCAGTGGTAGCAAGGGGTTCAGCTCCCGAGAGCTTCAGAGAGACAATCATACCTATTTTGGCCGTCGCAAGTCCTTTTTAGTGGGCCTTTCCATTGTTGCAATGGTGGTGCCAATTTTGAGATGTCTCAGCATAGTAATTCAGGCTCAGGCTTTGTAAATTGAATCAGTGAAACCCACTGAACTTAATCAGAGCTGAGAGAGGTTAACAACTGAGGTTGTTGTCTCCACAGGGAGCCGGACCCCGCAGAGCAAGAGCCCAGTACATCTGTACACAGTGCAATAGCGCATAGTTGGATCTGGAGCACGGGCCAGTTTGAAACGGTTGCAGCGGGGCTAGCCGCGCGACCTTGGCTGGAAGTTCGACTTCGTGCGAAAAGCGTGCCGGCGCCTCAACGCCTCACCGACCATCGTCGCCGCAGACCTGTGCCTCTCTCTGTGTGCATGACAGCCAAGGCTTGTGTGCACCACGGAGCAGTTAATCTCACCCAACAGCATATTGCCTCTGCCAACCAGCCGCATCCATTGTGGTTGTTCTCTTTCAACCAATCGACCAACCTGTCGATCTGCTCCAACTTTCATCCAAAGCACTTTGACTCCCACATCTTTTTTGCCGACCTTTGATTTCCAAGCTCTCTACAGCTGCGACCTAAACCGAGAATCACATCACCAACACAAGCTTCCTTCAGCTTCTTCTTTTCTCACACGGCGGCAGTGAAATACTCACGTTGCGCCCTCTACAACCATGGATCTCGACATTGAAATGGACGTCGATGACGTCCAGGACATGTCGGTCCCCACAGTTCCTGAAGGATACACAAATGATATAATCACCGGGGAGGAACAGGTTCGATTCGGCGACACCGCCCCGTGACTTTCTATCCTCCGTCCCCCCGTCCAAAGCGCTGACCAGTCCTTCACCTACCTAGGAACCTGGTGAGGTGGACGAGCCCAACAACAACCAAGCGAATGGCAGCGCAGCTGCCGACACCGAAGTCGTCCCATACAAGGTTCATATCCATGGTTTAGACACCTTCAACCCTGACGACGTCAAGAACTACCTTGCCGAGCACTACAGCACCTCTCAGCTTAATCGGGTAGAGTGGATCGATGACAGCTCGGCCAACTACATATTCAAGTCTGAAGCGATCGCGCAAGAGGCGCTGGTTGCACTCGCCGCGGTAGAGATCGCCGATGCGACGCAGCTTCCGCCACTTGAGGAAATCCCCGCCAAACCATTCTCACAGAAGCCCGAATGTCCTCTCCGAATCCGCTTCGCAGTCACATCCGACAAGAAGGCTCCCAATGCAGCTGTGCGCAGTCGGTTTTACCTCCTTCACCCTGAATACGACCCTGAAGAACGGCGCAGGCGTGGAGAGTGGAGGGACAGAGATAGGGAACGATATCGCGACCGTCGCGATGGCCGCGATCGGCGAGACAGGCGGAGGGATCGGAGGAGCAAAGAGCGTGAAGACGAAGAGTTGGAGACCTACGAAGCCAGCATGTACGACGATGATGCGTCCGCATTGGCAAAGAGGGCGTCATCGCGCAGGCTCTCACATGCCAGAAGGCGTTCGCGATCTCGGGGCTCTAGCACAGGTCGGGACTCATCGCACTCTCGACGGAACCGTGAGAAGGAACTGTTCCCAGACAGATTTGGCGGTAGTGGGCGCCTTCGCGACCGGTCAGCCTCGCCGCCGAGAGAGAGAGACCGTGATCGCGATGCAACGATGGATCTGGATCAGGATGAAGATGCGCGGACAGCGGCCTCCCTGCGCAATAGGGAGAAAAGCCGTGCGATAAAGGAGCGGTTATTACGGGAGAGCCGAGATAACGGCGTCAAGGAGCTGTTCCCAGAGAAGTTGCAAAAGGGGACGAAGGAGCTCTTCCCTGAAAAGCTTGGCAGTGTAGGCGGCAAGGCGGCGATGGACCAAGTCACCGAGACGACTAAGGTCACAAGCGGTATGTCAAAACTGTCACCCACGGTGGCGGCCCTTACAATATTTAACTTGCACCCTACTCCTAAGAAATGATGCTCCTCGCTGCATCAAGGCTGCAGTGAGGGTTGATCAATACGCCCCTCCCGACACCCGCTGTGGCAAGGTTCGCAGCGTGTTTCTCCATTCACAGTTCCCATTTCAGCAACCACTATTGATTCTGCAGTTGACTATCTCGTTCAGTCATTATCATCAACCAACCAGAGTTATCCCCAGCAAGTTTATATGAGCATACGCTGTTAACGCTTTTTGCAGCAAAACTCGCAGATAGGATCACAGCACCACCTAGCAGCAGCAGTGATAACGGCAGTACCGAACTCCATATACGCGGCATGGCGAGTAAGCAGGCTCCTGACAAAGGCTTCCGTATCAAGGGAGCTAGTGGGACAACTGTCAAAGAGTTGTTCCCAGAAAAAATTGGGAATAATGCTGGCAAGGAGCTTTTCGCCGAGAAGCTGGAAGGAAGGAACAAAAAGAGACAGAAGGCCGAAGATTTGTTTTATTGATCTTTGGCTAGCATGTAACAAGTTTTCTTAGGAAACGTGTTAGGATGGGTCAAACTTAATCAAGAAGTTTCGGCGTTAATCATGGCCAGTGAGAGCGATAGTGTTTCTTGGGCAACGTTAGCTTGCTGACTTATTCCTCATCAGACCTATACATATAGCTACATGACCCAGTATCGGATGGGCGATGTTTCCCTGGAACTAAACTTCCTACCGACTATCCCAAAAGGGTTCAGAGTCTTCGTAAGGTCAACCAGGGCAGGCCAAGTAGGTAAGAAGGAACTATGGGGTCTCTTCCATTTGTACAATTTGATAATTACAAATGGTGTTGCTGCATATATTGAGTCAAAAGAGGCCTACGGCTTCTAACCCTCTATGTCTCTATTGTTGCATATTCATCGGCCACAACCAAGATCTATGAAATGTCAGCATTCACATGACATTGGCTGGCTGGACTTTATTTCTGTTGATGAGAAGGCGCAATGCAGTGCAACCGACCAGCACAGAAGCCAGCCAACCGTTCTTTCCGTCTTGAAACCTGTAAGAGCACTTCTGACCTGTAATCCTTCCGCGCGTGCCTGCCGTTGAGCTTTCGTTCGATTTCCAACTCAGATTTGAAGTTAATTACGCTTCATCTTCTTCCATTACTCCTCAGTTAAGTTGCGACCTTTACAGCTTTGCATTTTCGTCGAATCCGAGCACCGACTTTTCAGGAATTTCATCCGATTCTGGGGGACTCTTCGGGGCCTTCATGGAGCCTGCGGTCGATTACATAGACGACGAAACATCGTCCGAACAAGCACACTCTTACAAAGAAGTTCTGATCATATCCTCGAGAATGACTTAGTCAACTGCAATATCTCGAGTAAACAAGTTTGAGCCTATCGACTTCGAGCTGCCATAACAACTCAAGGGATCGCAATTATGACCGACAGCAACAGTGCCTCGAGTGGATCAAGTTGGTTTCGACCCTTCTCTCGTGCTCGCAACAATGTGCCGGCAGCTAGTCAACCGAATAGCAGTGATAGTACCGAGTCTCCTCAACTGCAGCGACACCCTTCTCCGGAGCAACCTGTCTGCCATTCCACCAACTTTTCGCCCTCTCCCTCTCCTTCTCCGACAACAACCACGTTCTCGTCTCCTCGCCGACCACCGGTTCCTCCTAGGCCGAAAAGCACCACCAACCTTCACCAGCAGGCTCAGCAGCACGAGCTTCGTCAGTCACCGCCGAGTCGCCTTCACGTCCCTCATCATTCCCGCCCCTCTCTATCCATGTCAGCGACGTTGGGTCGTCGCCCGGCGTCAAGCAACCCCCTGAAGCATGTTTCTAGCTTCCTGAAAATGGAGCTCCATGGGTTGAGAGGGAGCCATAAAGAACGCGGCCGTGAACAAGATGTGCTGGGAGATGACGTCGACCGAGAAAAGGATGACCAGAATCAAGTTGAGGAGGAAGTTCAGGATGAAGTTGCCAAAGATGGAGATGAAGAAAAGGTGAAGAAAAAAGAAAGGGGGAGAAAAGCCGAGCTGCATCCAGCAATGAAGATTCTTGCACCGACGTCCACTACGTTGTCTCCTTTGATGGACTCGAGCAAAGAGGAGAGACGAGACAGTTACGGGAGCAGGTCAGGAAATGACTCAACCACAGGGAGAAATGCCCAGAAGGGGAGAACTCGAGATCCCCTCTCTGAATGGCATAGTCCTAAAGTTTGGGAGATGATGGAGACATTGAAGAGTGTTATGATGACGAAAGATGCCCGGGATGGTTTGCCTGCCAAGTAAGTTAGCTATGTTTCGTCTACAGAAGGCGCACTTAAGACTAATCGATGGTTCAGGTACAGCTCATATGTCTTGACTCTACTGGAAGGCTTTATCTGCCTGACACAGCGTCTCCATGAAGCCACAAACGAGCTCAGCGAGCTCAAAACGTTGCGTGACAAGGAGCTTGAGGAGTTCCGAGACTTGAGTGAGGAGTGGCTCCAACGTGAGAACGATTACAAAGCTGAAATCAAGCGACTTGAGCTTGTGCTGGCCAAGGAGAGCAAGGATGGCGTTGGCTGTGTGGCTGTCTCCAGACACAACAGCATTGTTGACCGTTCTGGTAGTAAGAGATTCCAAGCAAGGGTGAAGAGAGCCAGAAGCCCTCAGCGTGGAGGTACGAGTGGTAGTCGGCACCGAGGATTTGGTCAGGACACACTGACAGCACAACTCACAGATGGAAGGAAAGGCATTATGATGGCCTGGCCAACACAGTCCAGACCTCCTTCGGCTAATGACAAGTCTTATGAGATTTCAGGTGTGCTGTTTCTAATCTAGTATCGATCTCTCGCTACTTACTGACAAGGTCAAGCTACCCTTCCCAGGATCTTGGACTCCCAGAATGACGTCTTGATGAGCCGCTTTATCGAGAGACGTGAGAGAGAAGACAGGCTTCTGAACTCGCACCTTCATCTTGGTCCTGGTACCACGTACAATCCTCCTATTGCGCAGGACCACCGCAGGTCAGACGTTAAACCATTCGAACCCAAAGCTGTTCAGGGTACTGCCATAGATAGAAACACGCTCGCAGAACAACTTGCGACAAACATGAAAGGCTCTGAAAGCAATTCTTCTGGCAAGGACTATGGCTTTGAGATACCACAGCGCACAAAGCCGCAAAGACAGCCAATCTTTACGATATCTACGTCTGATTCAGGAAGCAGCACAGAGTCAGCAATTGAACCCTTGTCATCGAGTAGCGGATCTGCCGTCGAACAGCACCATATCGGCAACCAGGCAAAGGATCCGCCGCAGATAACGATCTTAACATCACCCTCCGTAGATGACACGACAAAGGAGGAACTTCGGGCTGCTATGCAAGAGCCTTTGCCTTTTCAGCCACTTTCTGAGGATATAGCCCTCTCGGACCGAACTACGAGATGCTTCTCATTCCAGGAAGGCGATGATAGGGTCCTTCCTGTTTTATCACCTCAGGCATGGGAATCGGAGATTTACGATCTAGAGAGAATACCCCATCGACGAGGATATTGGGAGTACGATAAAACAAGCACCGTGTTCAATAGAGCTGAGATCGAACAACCCGGGACCGGATTGGGTAATGGAATGACCGGTCACACTGTTGAGAACAGCGATGTGAAGCCCGGAAATGACGTTCTTTTCCCTCTTGGCCCTGATACGGACGCTTCACCGGCGTCTCACTCTGAGTGTCTTTGTTCATCATCAGGGCTTGGCCCCGATCAGCCAGTTTATTTGCAAGGTTCTTTCTACGATAGTTACCTTCACCGTCAGGAATTCCCAGAACAAGCAAGAATGAGCTCACAAGACAGGGCCCTCATGAATGGACATCGTCGGCTTTCGCACTCAGAATCTACAGGGTCTGTTGTCTGGATTGGTGACAGCGTTTCTCAAGAGGAGCAGCAAAAGAAGAGCGATACGATTAAGAAGAATGAGGCTTGAGGTCACCACGGACATCCGCATTAAACAGGATATTCTTGAAGAGGGTTGAGGAATTTAGAATGGTTCTTGGACAGCAATTTGGGCGCCGTCCTCTCTTAGTGTTCGATACACTACCTTACTATCAGCAATAGCTGGTTTTCTCGGTCTTAGAACTTATCTTTGACCGAGATGAGACATACATAGCAACAGCCCAACTTCAGTATTGTACTGAACGTCTGTGGTTTAGCTAATCTGTAATAAGTAGACAACGCGTGCATATCCTGCCTTGTTACAGGCCCTGGGTTTCCCCTACTCCGTTGAGATCATCACAACTTTTGTGACCTGTTTTCTGATGGCTTTGAAGTTCTCACCTCGTCAATGGAATGATTCGTCTAAGAGCCAATATGTATGCTCCTTAGAAATCCCTTCTGACTTGCCAAAACTGCTACCTTCTCATCACTGCACACTATCATCTATAGTTGCTTCAATGCAGTAGGTAGTTGGCATGATGAGTTGTTCATTGCACGCTCAATGCTTCTCCACCTTTATCATCCCACATTATTACATTGTAATGCTGTCACCAGGATCACGTGCCGAGATTGCAAGGTGTATCATCTTTTCCGTCATCAATCCTACTTGGTTGCAACTGCCGTGAGATCTTCGCCTTGGGGCATCCTTGTCCTGGTGGCGAGTCCAAAACACGAGTAAAAAACGGGGATCCCCACACAACACCTGCGGATTTATTTCCTGCGAACTGGCAAAGAACCTCGAAGATCGTCGTGGCAAAGAGGGCAACGAACGAACAAGGACCAGCTGTCGAACTGTCTCCCCGCTCTTCCGCGTCACGCCATTTGCTTTACGGCTTGGTTGATCAGATTGGTGTCATGGATCCCTTTCTTCCTGACCCTGATGCTGCAGGACTGGACTGGAGGCTTTGGATGACCCCAGCCGTTTGGCGGAATCTCGGCCAGGAAGTGGATAGCTGGACCGGAGATGGAATGGAGATGATTTTGTGGAGGCATGGAGGAGAAGGAGAAGCGCCGGCGGCGGCGGTGTCCTACGGGCCGAGGTTCGTTCTGATGTGCTGGAGACGGTGTCTTAGGTAACACCTTGGCCTGGATGAATCGAGTTGGAGACTTTTAGAATTCAATGGTTATCAATGAGAGCAAGAGAAATTGACCCGAGCCGAGTTGTCTGTGGACATTGAATCGAGTTGGGAGATAAGCAAACAAAACGAAAGGGGAAACAACCTCCACAATAGGACCGCCGTTGTAGGTCCGAGGCCGGTATAATCCGCATGTGGTGTTGGCTGTGGGATGCGTGAAGAAATTTGAGCGTCTGCAGTTCAGCTCAATTCATTGCAACATAGAAAGATAGTTGACAAAGAAAAGTATCGCCATCGTCATCGCCGTCAAAACTACCCCGACATCTGGCGTTACATCCAGATCTTACTCCGAGTTCAACTTGTCACTCCTAAAAAGGCAGGTGGTTATGAGGTGCCTGCCCAGCGTGCTTCTTTGCGGGCGGTCTTGGTTGCGTTTTGCCCTCTCCCCCTTTTCCGAGCGGCGGGAGGCGAGCGGGAAGACGCGCAGGGGACAGAACACCGCTGGCAGGGCGGGCAGGTCAAGGTAAGGAAGGATCTGGTAGGCCCGATACGCGAAAAGCCGTTTGGGGCCCAGATCGTCGGGAGACTGATCTGTCCGCACGCTGTGATTGGCTGGTTCGGGCTGTTTAGAGGGCTGGTGGAACTGGGACTTACCAACGACCGACTGGTCAGCCGGCAATGCTGCCGTGTGGTGGTGATGGTGGTGGTGGTGGGCTGCTGCTGGAAGGATTCACTTTCCTCTCTCTTTTGTGGCTTGTAATTTGCGTCTTATTCGCAATTCTACTGTATCTTATTTTCCGGGTTTTAATCAGCAATGAATCGAGATTTAAGGTTGGCAACAAGGGTATAAACATGACGATATTTGAGGATTACTTTGAGTCCCTCCCATTTTTGTGGGCTTCTTGGCGGGTTCCACAAGTCTTGGAGAGACCGGAGCATAGGTCTCGAAACCATCTCTCCAATATCCCATCCACAATCTAGCCAATCTGCACTCACAACATTGGCCGATTTGAATAGAGAAATCCAGCAAAGATCGTGTGTGGGGGTTTCGAATCAAAACATCAGCGGAAGCGGCAGCGGCAGCCAAGGCCAACAACAACAAATTGCTTGCTCCGCAACACCCCCCACGTCCTGTGGCCCCTTTCAATCATCTCCCGGACGAGCGGCTGTTCACTTGTTCCTGGCAGAGGTCACCGTCATGGCTTACCACAGCATTTTCTCAATTCATGTATGTAATGAGTACCGAGCTCATACTCCCTCGCGAGGTACACCCTCTCACCACACGCGGATCGGCCCTTTTCTTTTTCTCTCTCGACTCCTGTTGGTTCCATCGCTGGAAAAAGCTCTAGCCGAGCACAGCTGGGCGATATGAGCCCGCTGAACCGGGCTCTCCGAGAGAACAAGTTACAAAGGGACCAGTGGCGGTTTTCGTTCTTGACCTCTCGGTTTCCGGTCCATAAGAAGAAAAACTGCCTGCTCATTGCTTCAAACGGTTAATGCAAAGAAGACGGGGAGGCTTTTCCACAGAACAAGCTTGCGTTGGTTTGATGCGGCTTGTGCGCAGGCGCCCCGCACCGAGGATGCAGGAGAAGGGGAGGAGGAAGAGAGAAAAAAAAGTTCATCCCAGGTCTTTTTTTCGCCACCGTTGGCGCCAAACCAGACACAGTTGTGCCGTGTGGCAGCCGGAAGCCGGTCCTAGTCGGTGTTTCCCACCGGTTTTCTTGCTCCTTCCCTGCCCTGATCTACCCCCCTGTGGTGCTGAAAAGGGGAGCAGGCTCGTGGTCACCAGCGATGAAAGCGGAAACTCTGTGGGGATGCACACAGATGCAGACATGCATCGACAGGGCGTTTTCCTTTCCAGGGAAGCCCATGTTCGGCCGCGCTATCGGCGCGCTATTGACCGAGCGAAAACGGGCAGCCTGGAAAAATGAGTGATCCATGTGTGGAAAGATGAGCCGGCCAAGAAGTTAAACGATGAGAAACGGGGGACGGTTGAGGAGGACGACCAACGTCGACCTGCGCGCACATGGCGACGAGGATGTGATGGGTTGACCGTTGTTCCAACGTGTTTTTTTGCGTCACGCACTTTCGTATTTTGAGCCAACCATATGTTGCTGGCCGGTCAAACATTCTCGTCACACACAACCCTCGCTTGCTCTTGAGCGGTATGAGGATCGCCATAAATAGGCATGTATCCGGGCGTTTTGTTCATCAACGGCTATGTTTGCCCGTTGCACACGCTGTATAGTATGCTTCCTGCCTACGCCCTAGGTAGAACTGCCTGGCTACAGTGTCCTGCCGCCGACTGTGTCGTTTGCTCTGCACCAGGCGCTGACCTTGACTTCGAAGATAAGCTGCTGACTCGGAGGAGCTCGGCTTCACTGAGAGCATTGGGGCAAGAATAGCCCGTGGCCGATGATGCCTCCGGCGGCTTAAAGCGGTTCAGTTTGCCAGACTTAAACTCCAGATAAGCTCCAACGTCGTTCCTGGGCTTTAGAGGAGGACCCCCAACTCTACACGGCGGTGGTGTTCGATGTGCCGTCGCCGTTGATTTGACAAAGGCCGAGACTCAGTTGTGCTCTTGTCAAGGCACCCCCATCTGGTCAAAGGCCCGTCAGAGTGGAATCGCGAAAGATCACTCTCTTCACAACAACAGGCATCCATTAGCCAGGGCACGTGAATCCTTATCTCTCCGCTTTCGGCGTCTGCTTGTTTCACCGTTGGAGTCTTGCAAAAAAAAAAAAAAGAATGCGATCGGCAAACCCTGGCGCTATGTAGGGAAAACGCCGGTATCGTTTCCCCCTTGCCTCAAACTCACACTCCTCTACCTCTGTTGATTGCTGGATTTGGTTGCCTTCTTTGCTGCATTTGGTTGCCTTCTTTGCTGCCTGCGGGGAGCTGCAGGACAATGGTCTCGCGGCGCCCGGATTCTACGGGCAGTATTCCCTCTTGCCCCGCAACCGTTGTCTCCAGTCCGGAAGCCTGGGCGTCAGTTCCTAGGGACATATGTAGGCACTCCTGCACTGTACATGTAGAGGCCTGGTGACCTGCAATTCATGGAATGTCGCAGTTTCCTCACATGAAGAAAAGGAATGAGAGTGAAGTTGGAGGTAATCATCAACGGTACACTACATGCCCGAAGTGGACCAATGTCGTGTAATCCCCGGGGGCGACCTGTCTTAAGTTGTTTTGTAGCACGAGAGTCTTTGGACGTACGACATCAACTACGCTCTTGTTACCCAGAAGCCAAAGCGTTCCCCTGAGGCTGTCATCAGGGAAAGAATTGTGCTAGAAAGCCAGCTATCAATTTGTCCTGATCGGCATACATAGGTCCTGTACCTGAAACCTTTTATCAGCCGTCGGCCATATAAGCTCGAACGCTACGGATTGGTTTTCCAGATGATCCGTACACCGTAGCAGAAATAACTGATTATCTAGGCATCTTTCTCAGTCCTTTATCTCCGGTCCACCAGACCTCGGTAAGTAGCGATCCAGGCCATGACAGATGTTTTTGAATCATGAAAACTCCACCATGGGTGTTGTGTCGTCTATCAGGGCGTCAGCTATGGTCATAGCCAAGGGCGTTTTATGAAATGGCTGTTATAGTGAGGTCCAAGCAGTTGCGGGATCTACAACCTAATTGCACAGACACTAAGGTAATTTTCAATACTACGCTACACACTCCTACGCTACACTACACAGCTGCAAGCGTTGCGAGGTCGCCGACTTGTGTTCCTAATGTGAGGGCACTGGGTACCTTTTGGGTGATACAACACCCCGCGTTTCTATGATCTTATACCGGACAGTATAACCCGTGCATCAGCTCGGGACCGTGCCGTCACTTTTTTGATACAGCAACAGCGGAGGCCAAAAACCGTCGGGCGGTGCCGGCAGCAGCCCGTGGGCTTACCAGCATTAAAAGCGGGCTGAACCTGGACAGCAGGCTCGCCAGCAGCGCCGGTTGACGGTCGTCTGGCTAGGATTTGGGGAAGAGAGCATCGCCCTCGAGATTTGCCAGGGCTCTGGAACCCAAAGGACCCGGACGAGCAAAGACGAACCGCGGCTCTGGTGGATTACCCACATCCCAAAACCGCACTGTTTTGGCGCGCGGCCCATCCGTGCTTGTTCCCGGGACCAGGATACAGCTGTCCTGTCTCAGCCGCTTTTGGCGGAGACACGACCGCTTCGCAGCCAGCCACTCACATCCCGCGACAGCGCAAGCCAAAAGAGAAAAAAAGGAAAGAAGGATCCATTCCATTGCCGGGGACCGGGATCGGCCAAGTCTGCATTAGTCTTGGAATTTGCTTTGCTTGCGAGCGAGAAATACCTTCTCCCACCACCCCCCCCCAAAACTGGCCCACACTCACGTCCACGCCCCTCCCTCTTCGGTCCTCTCCATGACTGGCATCGCGATGATCAGCAAGGAGAGATCCGCAAGCCATGTGGGAGAGATGCCGAATCTGCGTTTTCGGATGGTGGGTGGGTTGGGAGCTCGAGCGTCTTCTCGAGGAGAAAGGATGGGAAGGATACCTGAGTATTACGGTCAAGGAAGCAACCAAGGTCGATCAATGTTTGATCCCGCCAGTTTGGCTCTCATGTTGTGGCACAGATGAAATTGCTGTGTAACAAGGCAAAGTTCATGTAAGTAAACAAGAAGCAAGTACGTCTAGCTTCGTTTTACATACAGGAGTGCATTGGTCTAATATCATGTAAGCTTTGATTATCTCAACAATGGCTTTTTTCCAGGAGAAAAGTCGGCCTATGTACATACTGCTTCTAGCTAGCGTTTGTCGGCGTTTAGCCCACCGTTGTGATCTGCAAGATTGCATTAGTGAGGTCCGGAAATCTCGCCTTCGGGCTGGCTCCCCGATGCCGGGGCTGATCAGCCAGTAGCGCTCGGCAAGCAGAGAGAAAATGCAGTGCAGGACAAGACAGAACAGTGAGGTGCGTGGAAAAGTTCCTCGTTGGTCGTTTTGGCGTTGGCTGTTGGAAAAGTCGATCCCATCAACTGTGAAGACTGTCATCCAACGTGGTATGGCTGCCATGTTTGCGCCCCAAGCATGCCTTTCTGGATGCCCACCAATTGCTAGCAGTCCATACAGGAAGTCCTTTTCCATCTTCGTGCAGGATCTTATCCGTAATAACAAAAGAAAATGCCTGACTCTAGGTGATGATGGCTCGACAAGCCTTCTTCCTTCCCGGTGCTCAACTGCTCAAGGCATGGCGTCAGACTACCCCTGTCCAGCCCTTGCTTCTTCCTGCATTGTTCTGTTCGCTGGGCATAAGCAGCTTTGCCGGTTCTTAGGAACTCGACGGTGTCTTTCCAACTCCTTACTTACTGGTTGCTTATTCTGATAACTCACATCGCAAGGGATCATTAGTCTAGATGTTTTACCTGATTTAAAAACTCTGCTTACTGATGCTATTCTATGGCAACATTTGTTCCATGATATACGGAGCCAGTCATGGCCGTAAGCCATTGGGGCTCGCCTGGCACAGGCTTCAAGGATGCTATCTTGGTATTCCCAAAAAAACGTCCAGGAAGAATTGGAGCGCTTTTGACCATCTGGTTCGACACAATTCATGTTTATAGTGACACTTGAGCTTAACATTTTCCTCATCTGTTGAGATTGACTGGTACAATTATCATAGTGTACATTCCAAGTACTCTTTGCTCACAGCCTTCTGCGCTATATTCCCCCTCGACACAAATTACCAGCGGTTGTACTGTGTGTCTGTTTTATGTGGTAGATTACATGATATGAATTAAGTAGAGGATAAGGGGGAAAGGCGCGATATACGTGATCCAGTAATAGTCAAGAAATGGGTATCGCTTGAGAACACATTATCTCCCGACAAACGCCATGCCCCTGTGCAGTGCTTTCAAATGATCCAAACCACCCCCCTATTGTTAGATTAGATGATGACAAAAGAAAAATATAAATATTCGGTGTCGTAGTGGATGCTCTTTATGCGAGCAGTGAGGATACCGGGATAGACTTGTATTCCTCATCCCTGGGCTTAGAGACTGGCCGATGAACATCGGCCGGAGAATTCGGTGCCGTAGGGAGCCAGTGCCTCGAGGGGTAGGCATCAATGCCTTGTTGTTGAGGCTGGTGGTAGTACTGACGAGGCGAGACAGGAGCCTGAGGACTGGCTGACCCCGGTGAGGGCAAAGGAACTATCGAGTTCAAAGGGGGGAGCTTTGATGTGGGAGGAGGAGTCCAATCCCTCCCAGGGAGAACGGCACCCTCTCCCGGAATCATGAGCGGAGGGAAGGATGGAGGGCTGCGCTGCCTTGATTGGTACTGGGGCTGAGGTTGAGGCTGTGACGGAGTCTGGAACAGCTCCCTCTCCGAGGGCAAGGAGATGGGCGAGGGGGAAGGCAGCGGCGTCTCGATCCTGTAACTGCTGATGCTGCTGGAGCTGCTATGAGAGAGGGAGTATGGTGGCGGCAGAGTGATCGAGGTCCGCCTGGGATCCGGGAGAGTCCGGTACGAGACGGGGCCCGAAACAGAGTGATGGCGCTGTTGTTGCTGCTGCTGTTGCTGGCGCTGTTGTTGCTTCATCTGTTCCAGCTGCTGAACCCGGGCCTCGCGTCTCTCCTCCCTCTTCCTACGATTCTGGGCACCATTCCACCAGTTCTTGATGGCATTGTCGCAACGGTTCGTGCCCAGTATCCTTGCAATCTCAGCCCACTTAGGGCCAATCTCACGAACAAGCGCCTCGATCTGCTCGCCCTCCTGCTGGCTGATCGGCGAGTGGTTGAGCCCGGGCTTGAGGTTCTGGTGGAAGCGTTCGCGGCACTGTTTGGGCGTCCTTGTGCCCATGGCATTGGAGATCTTGACCCAGTTGGGATGCTGGTTGCTTTCACCGATGAGGAGCAAAAGACGAGTATCCTCGGCTTGTGACCAAGGGCCGCGCTTGTGGCCGCCAGGATAGGGAGCAGGAGTGGGCGCCATAGTGAACATTGGTCCCGATTGGTCCATAGTCAAATTCATGCTTGAGAGGGAGATGTTGATGTAGGTAGAACGGTGGTCCTCAACTATTGGGGTACCACCACTCTTCGATGTAAGTGGTCAATCTAACTTGGGAGGGAGCTCGGCGAGTCGTGATGTTGGTGAGGTGGTGTAGTGTGTGAGTATGTGTGTGTGAGTGAGAGAGAAAGAGAGAGAGCGTGTGTGTGTGTGTGTGTGTGTGTGTGTGTGTGTGTGTGTGTGTGTGTGTGT